TCATTTCCAAGGGGGTCCAGACTGATAGGGAAGGGTTGAAATCGGGTAGGGGGTTTAGATATGGCTACATAATTATTCAACATTGCTTGAGAGCAGACCATCAAGATGTGTATCAAGGCAAACCTATAGCAACACCACATATTTTTAAATTATATAAGTACTTAAAATTTGTACAGCATATGAAATTTGTAAATGTAAAATTCATTTTCAGCTCATGTAATTCAAGTGGGGCTTTAATTTATTATTTATACATAAAACTAATTGAGGCTCACACTTACATTCAGCTGTAAGTGGTTGCTGGGATGCACAAGTTGGGCGATAATCCGTTCCACCAGCGTGCACACTTCTTGCATAAAATCAGGATGATCTTCCAGCCATGTGAAATTTTCAATTGTGGAAGTAACACTATGGGCAGCTTGACACAAACAGGCTTCTGAGACTGTCATAATATTTCTGCTGATGATATCACTTATTGTTCTGATGGATATTTTTGCAGTTTCCACTAAATTAGAATTCTTTGAAAAATAAAATAAAACATTTTTATTTTCTCAGAGTTAAAACTAACAATAACGTTTAAGATTAATATACCCAGTAGCCTATATAAATTCAAATCGTAGTTAACGCTGTGAGTAAAATACTCTCTATTGACCATATAGACCAGGGGTCTCCAAACTTTTCAGCCAGAGGGCCGCATTAACTATCATCAAACAGTAGTTCGCGGGCCGACTGCACACACGAGCAGGGTTCCTTTCAGCGCAATCTCGGGGGGCACGAGTAGGGCATGAGGAGGGCATCCCCCCCCAAAAAAAAAACGTAAAACCCCCCCCCCCCCCCTACCCGGAAAATTTCTGAAATAATCACTGCACTTGAGGTCCAAATAAAAAATAATCAAAACATGGATGTTGTTTTTAATTATTTATATAATATTTCATTCAGTTAATGACTTCCAGCTGCAGTTACTCTGGGCAACTGGCCACATCTGTTTCAATTGGGTTTTGAAAAAGTCTCACTTCTTCTGCCTTTAAATCTGAGTCAGAAAACCGCTTCTGAAAATGCAGCAGGGGGTCTTTGATGATCTCGCATGCAAATGACGTGGGGAACTCCGCTGTTGCTTCAGCCATGAAGACCGTCCACTTCTACAAGAGCGTAAAGTTGTTGGCCTGTACTTGTTCCAAAAACAAGACGAGTTTGGATCTGAGGGCCTTTAAGAGGTGTATAGATCTTGTGTTATGTTCATGTCTTCAACAACACTCCTAACGAACACAGGCAGTTGAGGGGTGGAACAGCTGTCAAGCGATTCATCCATTGCAAATAAAAATTGGCATTTTTCGATATTTGAGTCACAATGTTTTCACCCATGTCTGCAACATGTCATTTTATTGACTGTCAACGAAAGTAGAAAAACTAAGCATCGAATAAGATTTTGCAAAGTAATGATCGGTTAGAAAACACTACTGCGCGCCTCTATTTTAATTCGGTAAAAACATAACGTCCACGAAAGCGGCGTCTGATCTTGTCAGGATACACGTACTTTTGAGAATTTTTTTATTCCGTTTACAAAAGGTCTCCGCGGGCCGTAGTTTGGAGACCCCTGATATAGATAATTCCTGAGATTTGGTTAATGCAAATAGGTGGCGACTGACAAGAAATAACTCAGAATCAACAACTTGATTCTAATTTAATGATTTTAAAATAAAATAATATTAAAAAATACTTTTTTAAAAACATGCTTTTCCAAAAATGTACTAAAAAGTATAAAATAAATGTCCCCCAAAACTTCAGAGTTGTTACAGTCATAGGAGTAAAAAATCGCACAGCGCCCATGCAAATTGCAAAAACATACAAGCACAATCGATGGGAACATACAACAGTAAGGCAAGGGAGATGTAAGAACTCTTATTTCCATAATCAAATAATCTGTATCACAACACTTATTTGCAGAAATTCGTCCAGTCATATGGCATAATTGTATTTCAATTCAAAGTATTTTTTAATTATATTTTATTTTGTACAATTTAGCACATGAAATGCAAAAATGTGAAAGGTCAGTGGTGACATTTATGCTGTTGAAAAATTGTTGTCATTGTTGATTGTTATCAGGAGTGAGTAACCATGCGTAAAGAAACGCTGTAGTGAAAACCTGATATCCAAACACTTTTCATTCCTGAGACATCTGCAGAGGTCACTCAAGGGTCCGTGGAGGTTACAGGTGACCTACTGATCATGAAGTGTTGTATGCCTACTGTCTTCAAGGGCGGGTAAATGAACAAAGTTCCACTCATTTGGACATCAATAAGTGGGTCAATAAGGAGATGAATTATTACACCCCAAACTAACAAACAAACAAATGGACAGAGCAGCATAAAAAAAATGTATAATAAAATAAACCATTCCTGAATCGATCTTAATAAATTTATATAAACCTTTTACCTCAAAAGATGGATATTCTTTTTCAAGGTTTGCAAGAGTTATCGTGCTCTGTATAAACATTGTGTTTTCCGCATAGACTGCTTCTCTCTTGCCATTAAGTGTTGCACTGTCTCGCAACTAAACAAGAAATAATTATATGTTTTTAACTTTTTTCCGAAATTTTTTTTTTCTTTTAATTCTCATTCACTTAAATTTTAATGTAGGCTAAATATAAAAATATCAAGAGATTCACCATATTAGAGAATACAACATCATCAGGATGAAATTCTTCAGTAATTTTCTTGGATGAGGATATGTCTTCATGTTGAAAAAGATGAGTTTCAGAACCTGCTAACAATGTATAACAACATGAAACATTTGATGATAAAGGGTTGAAGAGCTCTAATTGCCTCAGAACTGTCTTTAAAAGATGAGAGTTTTAACAAAACAAAAACAATAACATGAATATTCTTGGAAATTTAAAAAAAATAAATGCCAATATCTTTTTAAAAACCCATTTTCATTTCCAAAACCCACATGTTAAGCAACAATTGCTTCATACTACCATAACTTCAACTTATTTTATTAAATATTAAATGAGGATGAAAGGAAAAGTAATTCAGTTTTAAAGAAGTACACAATCTCACCTTTTAACATTCCATTTATGTTTTTATTTGAAAAAGCAAGAGTGTGTTGTAAATAAGCTAACTGCATCCTTGTTTTTAAATATTGTTCTTGTAGATTTGATTGTGAAATTATAAACATAGACTGAAGATGTTCAGCATATTTTCTGGCAGAAACATCTGAAGGTTTTGATCGGATAATCGCAATGGCTGCAGCCATTTTAAGCCAGTAAACACTGGGACCTATAAAAAAAAAGTATGTTTTTGCAAATTATTATTGCATATTATTATAAATACAATAATATACATTATTTATATTGTGCTAAAAATAAACATAATTGTAAAACAAAATTTAATGTTATATTTGTATATACATGTGTCAAATGCTTGAGGTGCATTTGGAAGCATAAGAATAATAATTTATAAATTGTTTTCTTTACCAATTTTTACATTAAGATTAGAAATGACAATCCTTCACAGGTTTTAAAGTTAACCCCACGAACATGTCAGAAGACCAAGTCTTACTGTTTCATTGTATAATTTAGGCCTATAATAACAATTTTTAAAATTATTTGCCATCATACTCATAAACACTTTACACATAGTCTAAGTCTAATGTAACATCATTAATACATTGGTAGCTTTATACTATACGTTTTAACTGTAACAATTTATTCTATAATTATATGTTTGAGCAACAGAGTACACTGCACACTGACTCTAACAGGGGTGTTCTGAAACAGTGTGAGAATGAGTGTTATAATTATAGAGTTATAGTACAGACACAACTGAATTAAGTAAATAATTATACAAATAGCAATTACTGAATTACTGAAATTACTGTCATTAAAATTTTACTTGGAGTTGTAACCATCTTGTGGTGCCTTACTCACTGAGTCGCACTTAATAATAAATTGACTACTAGTATTAGCACATTAGTCGGCTTAGTTTAATATTTAATTTTTAAAAGTCAAATCTAAGACTAAGACCTATTTAGTTAATAAATAGAAGTGACAATAGTAAGATTAAGTTAATTTAAATTTAAGAATAAGTTAATAAGACATGAAGAAAAACATTTACTCATACATCATACTGTCAATAATTATAAGTAAAACCATTTAAAGCACATACAAGAAAATTCGTCAGCAGAACTCATGAAATCGAAGACAATAATCTTTAGACACTTTATCAAAGTGTAAATGTGAAATAACAAATTTTTTCTTTATTTGAATGATTTTTCCCTTTAGAAACTTAATGGTCATATAAACTTTCTAAACAAGAAGAGGTAGTATTTTTAAGGCTAATTTCCTGGCTCAAGAATTAACAACAATCCCTATAATTCTAAAATAGAAGTATTTTATAGAATTTTTAAAGTGAAAGCGATAAAGTAAATTTAGCTATTTTTTTTTTAAAATAGACACATTGTTTTTCTTTGCTTTAAGTTAGAAAATACAATTGGAAAAGGGGTGGTGGTGGCAAAAAAAGGGGGGAGGGTGTTCGTTATATTAATAATCAAGTTACACAACAGTTGTCCCTCCCTCTACCCCAATTTAAACTACTTACAAGTTATTGCAAAGTGAAACCAGCTAAACTAAAATGCAAGGCCAAAATATGCAAAGGTAAAAAAAAGTTGATTAGTTGACTTTATCCAAGATTTAAATTATTGAATTCATTTTTCAATTCCCATTTTTAAAGTTAAAGGAATAACTAAAGAAATTCAAGTTCAAGAAAGATATATTATATACTGACTTAATTCACCGATAATAAAAGTAAATATGGTATCAGAAATGTAATTATTGAAATGATTTATTATTCTATAGAGTTCGAGATAATCTATTTCAAAATGTTTAGACCCACTACACGATGATTTGAAAACTGATTTCAAACAGGGTTTCTGTAAATTTGTTTAAATGCTTTTTCTTGGTCTGTTCTTAGATCTCGTTATTAGTTGTGCCCTCTTGGCGACAAAATAAATACAATAATATAAACATCCACTTTCGTCTGCAACCATGCTCTCAAGGCCTGTTATGTTCGCGATCGGATCGACATGGCTTGCTTTTTCTTAATGATTCCAGTCTTTAAATATCAATAAAAGGTTTTGGAAGTGGTTAAACTAAAATGTTTTTAAAATTTAAATTTCTACCATTTGTTGATATAAAATATAAATAAATCTTTGACTTAAATTAATGAATGTTAAGTTAGGCGGCGGTTCTGGCTTAATATTATATAATAAGTCACGGCACTCATGGCTTAGAATTACTTAATTATTACTATAACTATAACATTTAGTCATATCTTTAGAATAAATGATTAGAAATTTTCAGTTAACTTTAAAATAATTAAAATAATTATAATTAGCAATGTAGGCTACATGATTTAGGTCTAGGTGCCTAAATATTTATTAGTTGGGTCTGGGCCTATTACTATTATTAATAATAAATAATAATTCGGCCAGTGATGGGTAGGGCGAGACACAGCCAATTGTTGGCTATCCCCAATCGCTCAGATATTGAATATGCAAGAACATCAAAGAAGAAGAGAGTGGAGAACACTGTGCAGTCTCAGCTGTGTGTTTTTGTTTTGTTAATACCGGTACTGTGCAGCGCCAATTACAGACATTTATCAGTATCAGATCTATTGATCATTGATAGATCTTGATTTAGTCTTAGTTATAATCTGGTGACAACGGAATGTTGTGGACAAAAGGGTGGAAACAGGAAATGTCAATAGTTTTGAACATCTGCATCTAGGGGTGTGCCGGATCCGTTTTTTCCAACCGGATCCGGATCCGGATTTTCTTATGCGAAATCCGCCGGATCCGGATTCCGGTTTCTCCCGGATTCCGGATTTTGGTACTATTGGTAGATACTTCGGTAAGTCAAGGTGGACTACTACTTTTTGTGTATGGGAATTCGCAATCGGCGCCAAAAAATCCGAGTTTTTAATTTTCCGATGTGTGTGTCTATTTATTATTAAATTAGTACTTTCGATATATATTTGAGTTCCGTTCCATTTGGATAAGTGTCTTACGAGAGACGCCATGTTTCTACGCGTTCGCAGCAGGTTATGCAGCTCGCTCAACCTAATTTCGCCATGGGGTTGGCCACGCCCCCCTTTTTAATGGCGGAAGTTGACGATACTTAGGAAATATTAATTTATTATCACTATTTACATCAAAATAATTGATAACTTGTGTTTCAGAATGCATTTAAAGACATTTAAACTGGAATGTTTTAATTTGAGCTTTAACAACCCGGTAGAATCCATATTATAAATGATCAGAATTTACCGTGTGCAACACGTTGTCATTGGCAACCATTCACAGCCACTTGCATAACTGTATCGTAGTACTACCTCAGAGTTTCATTCATAAGAGTTTGCCGTGTGCAAAAACTATTAAACCATTGGTCAGGGAAAGCTTTAATTAATTATTCATGTGCCAAAGTTGAAAGTTTAAACTAAGTCTAAACAGTATTTTAGTGATAAGGCAGGGAATGCGTTGCCTTATATAAACTATATAGTCATTGCGCATGACGGGATTGGTGGAATGAGATCACAGAATGTGGAGATGCAGTCCATGTTAAAAAATGACAAACCAAGTCGTACTTTAAAAATTCATAACTTTAAAACTACAACAGCTAAAAATATGATTTTGGTGTTATAATTCTTTAAAAAATTACATCTTTTCAACTATGCCATTGGTTTATTTTTACAAAAAGTTTAAATTTTCTTATCAAAGTCCCTACACTATTGGCCACTATTAGCGGTGCTGACTCTAGCCTCTGGTATGTACGGAATATTAAACATTAAACAAGCTCAACGCTCGAAACAATCGATTAATGTATCGTGATCGTGTGAAATTCGGGAAAGAGAATTACTTTTATTTCAGATTATGATCCGGTGAGTCACAAAATCTGGCAAATTCCGAAATCCGGTATATTCCGGATTCCGGAATCCGGTTGTTCCGGATACATGTAAATCCGGCGGAACCGGATTTCACCGGATAGTGCAAAATCCGGCGGAACCGGATTCCGGACCGGGGTCCGGCACACCCCTATCTGCATCACCACAATAAAAAATTGAACTCTGAGAAGCTGCAATTATTCATAGGGCTAAACTTACCCCACCCAGTCACTTCGTAATAATTATTAACATTAAGTTTAACTGTTTAAGGAGTATTTAGATATTAGATATCTATCTTGTCAATAAGGAATATGCTAACTAACTATTAGTAATGAGTACTATGACTATTAGTATGCTTTAAAATGATTCAAAGTAATTTAAATCACATTGTGTATCCTATTTTGTCATCAAGTTAGTCGATGATCTCTTTTTGTAGGAAATCACTTGGTTATTTAAAAAAAAAAATTATGGTTAATTTTATAGGAAGTTTTAATTCAACCTGTTAAAGGATGTTTCGACGCATTTATCAACAAAGTTCATCTAATGGTTCAGCAGCGGTAAGCAGTGAAAATAATATTGTAATTATTATTGAGATGCCAGTGAATATGTATAAACATGTAAATCAAATGATATTGATTATATTTATAAATATCAATTCAAAGCTGACCTTTCATTGTGTTTCATAATTTAAAAATATCATTGTTTATAGAGTTGTACTTTCATAATTAACAATTCTATAAATAGTTTTTGTACTCGCATAACTTTATGTAACCAGTAAGGTTGAAGTTTTTTTTAGATATCATCCATTACTAGAAAGTAATTTTGAATGAATTTTTTATAACCTGGACAGCAATTAAAATAAAATTGTCAATTTTTTAAAAATTATTTAACAGTCCACTTTGACTCATGTTTTTAGTCTAAAGATCAGGCAATTGATGATGATGAGGATGAAAATGACAAGGTTGATGAAACTCTAAAAGATGAAGTGAACAGAGTGTGGCTGGATGTTGAAAAGCAGTGCATAGAGAGGAGCACAACATCAAATAGAATAAGTGATGACAGCACAGAATTTAAAAATGATTGGAACGTTGTTCGTGTATTTGTCTCTTCAACTTTCACTGATTTTTTCAATGAAAGGGAGATTCTAGTCAAAAAGGTTGTGCTTAAAATAAATTTTGGATTTGTTAAAAAAATTATTGTTAACATTTTGAAAAAATTTAATATTGTGACTTTATTAAATAAAAGTTTTGATAGATTTTTAAAATAAATGGTTATTTTTCAATATTTTAGGTTTTTCCAGAGCTAAGAGAATGGTGCATGGAACGAGGTTTGAAACTGGTTGAATGTGACTTGCGCTGGGGAATCCCCCGTGACACTTCAACATCAGAGACAATACTTGTTTGTCTAGATGAAATTGAAAACTGCCGAAACACAAACAAAGACAAACCTTTTTTTATCAATCTTGCAGGAGAGAGGTGAGAAAGAAACAAAACAAAATGATTGATTTCTTTAATTTTTTTTTAAATAGATGACTACAATTCTTTAAAAAATCCATGCACTCTTACATTGTTTCCTATCCTGCTATCTATAAAAGTTTAGACTTTTCTTATCAAAGTGGTATGGTTATCCCTTTGACCCGGCAATCCCACTTTATCAGTCTCGCATTAAAAATCCACCCCCCCGCCAGACCGATATTTTGGTCTCCCATACCCATTGATCAACAGTCGGTATATTAAATGTGTTGTAAATACTGAGTTCATGGCATATCACGTGACTTGCGAAAGGTCACAGTAATGCCCCCTCCCATGAATGCATTGTTTTTGTTATGTTTTAGTCATGTTTTTCGATGTATAGTGGTGATGAAAATACAAAAATTGATATGCTAAAGGACTCAAACTAGAGTAGTTTTGTGATAATGTAAATAATTCAAAGGATTATTATTGTGTTTTGAAAAAGGATTGAAATAAAGCCAACGGACAATGATAGTGACGATCGATTGACTTTAACTTTTAGTGCTATTAATATGTACTTTGGGAATAAAATAAACAACACAAGGCATGACAGGGTCTACCCTTAGTTCAAGCCAAGGCTTTATGAAAAATCAGGGTTGTATAATTGACCTTTTACTATGCTATTTTACACCATTTCTAAGACAATTTTATCCTTGTGATAAAGTTTATATCACTTATGGACTACTACCAGACAAATTTAGATTGAAAGGAATAAAATTTATAAAATTTTATAATCATTCAATTTTGTTTGCTTGCGTGTCAGTTTGTAGAATTTTTTCCCCAGGAGCCCAGGGGCATGGGTATTTTAGACCCAGGAGCCAAAGGTTCAAAGGGTTTAAACAAGATGCCAAAAAATAAATAATGATCAGTTTTTCAAATAATATATGGTAATTTAAAAGCTTTCTCATGTGTTTAAAATTGAATGTTAGAAAAAAAAAAAACAGAAAAAAATTTAATTAAAAGTTTGAACATATTTAATGAAATGTCTCCAGGTACGGATGGATACCTTCCCTTAGTGAAACACCAAAGGAGGCTAAAGAAAAATATGGATGGGTGGATGGCACTTCCATTACATTTATGGAAATAATGCATGGTGCTTACAGGTAAGCATAACATGATATTTGAGTTTTGAAAACGATAATTGATGTTTACAGACATTTATAATTGAAAAATTTAATTCCCTTCACTCTCTTTCATTGCCATAGACCATTATAAAAAAACCTCCTATTTATCATAATTTAATTAGTTTACTGACATTATAGTTTTGTTATAAACAGAGATAGAAATCCCAATGCAGCATTTTTCTTGCGGGACAAGTCAGTGTTGGTTGATGTACCAGAGACATTTATTGGCAGGTTTATTGACTCTGAGCCAATAGCTAAACAACATTTGAAAGTGAGTAGATCAAGTTTTTCTTTCATTATATTTGAACTGACATTTTAATACATGTTTTTATTTCCCAGTTTTTTTATCTTTCCTCATACCTGTGTTTAATGAAATAAATTGAAATCATTTAACCTTATATCAAGTGTTACTTGGAAAAATAAACCTTTTAAACATGACCATGTAAAATCACAGTTTGCCTTGATGAGTGTGATTTATATTTATTTATTTATTTCCTACCCAGGTGATGAAAAGAAAACTGAAAGAGAAGTTTCCTGATCAAATTTTTCCTTACAGCTGTAAATTCAAGGAGATCAGCATGGCAACAGGCAGAGAACAGGTGACGCTTATACTGACCCCGTAGGATGGGTTTTTCTGTCTGGTCTTTAAGGGCCAGAATAAACTGCTACACAGTTCAAAATATTACCTTGGCCAGCACTCCACCCTTCAGCCAGTTGAATGCTGACACCCCCCCCCTCTTCCCCACCTGCCCCCAAAGGAACAGTTAAAAAACTTTTATAAATCTAATTGATATTAATTTAATACACCCTTCTCATGCTGATATATATATTTGTGCAGATATGTTAGGCATAATATTTACTACAGTGAAACTTACGCAGTTTCTTTATGCAATAGGGCAACGGGGATAGGTAGTTACTATTTTATTCAGGTCTAAAATATATTCCAGTAAACTAAATATTTCTACATTTTATTTTTTGACTCACAGGTCTAAAATATATTCCAGTAAACTAAATATCTCTACATTTTATTTTTTGACTCACAGGTTGAGTTTACAGCAATGGATACATTTGCTGAGTTGGTGTTGACATTCTTAAGAAATGCTATAGAGAGGACATATCCTAGTTTAGCACTTACAGAAACAAAACCAGATTTAAAGAGGCAAGGTTAGGAATTGCAAATAAAAATATCACAGATAATTTTATAACTTAATAAGGTTAATACATTAAGAAGAGTCTAAATTAAGAGTATAGGACTTTAGTTCTTGCGATCAGAGCTTCAAACAGGGCAGATGCGACTAAATCTTTTGGACTAGACTTATTTAACATATCTCCCATTTTAAATCAAATGTTACAAATTTCAAGAAAATGAGAGAGTAGTTTTCATTTTAAATTCCATTTTTTTACTGTGTTGAATATCCATTACAATTATAGAAAGTGTACCTATTTATTTTTAAAATATTTGTGTATAATCTTTTTAAGAGAAATTGATAAAGAGATCCCTGAAAAAAGATGTCTTTAATTAAACTCCAATATGAAACAATAATGCCCTCCTCTATTTGCACATCAGAGAAAGATATGCAGTGGCTGTTTGCTGTAGACAAAGCCAAAGATTTTATTGGAAGACATTCAGAGTTAGGGATCCTCAAAGACTTTGTAGAGCATGGAGGCTCAAAAAATTTGATGCAAACAGGTATGGGACTGATGAGAAGATTTTTTGCTTAGTTTGTTTTTATGTATGAACTGCTAGTTAACAAATGGGGTTTGTCTCTGGGAAATGGTTTCCGGTGGCTTTTACATTGTGCAGTTAAAAGAGTTAAAATTTCATTTAAGTATCTCTTTATGGTATTTCCGTTTCCAAACTACATGTGGGGGTTTAAATTGCTTATAATTTTTTTTTTCCTTAGAGACTCCAGAAAATAGGGATCCCAAGAATAATGTTCGTAAGCATATTTTTAACTTCCTTAAATGCATGTTTTACAAATTTCTATTATTTTCATTTAAATAGAAGAAGAAAAAATGTACCTTTTCTAATTTTACCACCCTCTGTTATTGGCCTGTTGAAATTTAGGTCAAGTCAGTGCCTGGGACCTAGATGAAACTGTCAACAAGATATGCATCTTGGAGGGGCCTAGTGGATGGGGTAAAACAGCTCTGCTCTGTAAACTTATTGTGGATTTGTCAAAGGTGTCTAATAATGAAAGTATCATTTCTTATTATAAATCTTAAGCTGTTGTATGAACCTGTGAAAGTAAGTGAAACCGTGGTTAATGTTGTAAGATATTTATTTCTTTGAAAATTTCAATCCACTTAATTCACTTCAAGCCTAAAATGTGTTTTGCGTGTTTCTTGATCTTTGATAGAGTGACACCAGGATATTCTACCACATCATAAACAGTACTCCTTCCAGTAATCAAGTAGAAGTGTTACTGAGACGACTTTTGGAATTTCTCACACCTGAGCCAACAGGTGAGATCAAATAGAGTATGAGTTATTTGCTATTTGATCATTCTCAAAAATTTTAATTTTAACTCAATAGTCTGCGTATAATGCTCCAATTCCCTTTGTGTGAACCTAATTAATCCATAATTAAACAACCGTTAAAAAACAAAGTTTTTCATATAAATCCTTCATTTTTTATTATTTTTTTTATATATTAATATTCTAATGACCCACCTGCTTTTACACCACATATTTATTACCCCAACTATTTCAGAAAAACAAAAAAAATTATTACACACCAAACACACAATTAAAAAAAAAAAGAATCTCATTTAGCTCAGTTATTGGGAATTTTATTTCGTGAAATCATTGTCATTATATTTCCTTCTTCTTTCCCCTGAAAAGCAGGAAAAAATGTTTTAGAGAGGGGGGAGGGGGGGGGGAGGTTTTGGCTGAAAATTGATTTTTAAAAAAGTATAGGAATGCAGGACTCAAGCTCTGTATAAAATACACACATTCTTAGTCTTGTATTCCTTACTATTTTTCTGATTATAACTTCCTTTGTAAATATTGCATATACAGGAAAATCGTTTAGCACGAAACTAAGGGGACCGAAATACTTCTTCGTGTTAAAAGAATTTCATGTTAAACGATGCATTAAAAAAATATAAACCATATTTATTGGCGTATAACACGTCCCCGCGTATAACACGCACCTCAATTCAAGAAGGAAATAACAGGAAAAAAACTAAACATTATATCGGCGTATAACACTCACACATGATTTGCCCCCTATTTTCGGGGAGAAAAAGTGTGTGTTATACGCCAATAAATACGGTATATACTCACCAAAATTACATTTATTAGAGTACATTATATTAGATCTATCATGTTGTAATATAGCATTAAAATGTTTATTTTGGCAGAAGAAGTAAGTTATCAGTTAGAAAATGCAGATATTGAAGGACTTCAAAAACAGTTGAATGAAGCCCTTGTCAACTGCAGACAAAAGGAGATGAATAAGCTTATCCTGGTCATTGATGGGTTAAATGAAGTAATTATTTGTTTTATAAATAATATATATCTTTTTACACAATTATTTAGTAAGCACCATTTAAATAGTTATGCATTTATTGAACGGCAAATATTAATAATTTTCCCCCCAATTTTGCTAGTCTTTAATTTATATGTTTAATTCACTAACATAAGTTGAAATAAAACAAATAAATATTATTAGTAGACCACTTCATGATAAAAGATATGATTTTTTTTTTGTCAGTTTTACTTTTAAATCTTTCTGCCCTTGTCAGTGAATTTTGTGATTGATTTATTTTAATAACTCTGACACAAAAAAAGATTAATATAAGTAAGGCAACATGCCGCTTTAACTTTTTATCATGGTGCTGCATGGCCGAACGGTCTAAACTGAGCTGGTGCTCTGAAGTTCAATCCCCACCAAAGCCTAGACCAGCAAAAACTTCACCAGCGTCCTGGGTTGATGGGACTCTTCAGCCTTGGATGGCAACTCATCTAAGAGAAGGCAAACTCTGAATTCAAACCCGGAGATGGAGTCCCATAAGTGGATAACATTGACGCAATGAAAAATTATGAGTAACTCCTGCGACGCTAATGGTGCCAAGGTGTATCATCCACATATGATGTTCCTATAGGTTATCAAGGTGCGTGGAGAGAGCCCATTTTGCTGTCCTAAAAGTTAATTCCAAGGACTTGTGATGTCTTCCTGCAAAGTCTACACCATCGTGATATTGGGACAGAAAAAAAATATTTTGGAGTGGTGACCCATGTAAAATATAAGTAATAAAAAAAAAAATTACAAATGTCTACATCGTATACTTGTGATATAAACGCTTATTTTTCAACTCTGCAGAGTTTTACAATGATAATGACGATTTTCCACAGCTGGAGTCCGATGAAAGTTACCAGCACCTGTCATGGCTTCCACCGAGCTTCCCTCGCAACATTTATTGCATTGTTTCCACAAGCCCCCACCCTCCCACAGTGGCTAGGCTTTATGAGCATCCAGCTTTCAAGATGACCTTGAACAGTATGACCCAGGAAGATCTATCCTTCGTGGTTACTAAATATCTGGGCATCTTTAACAAGGTTTGCAGTATTTTGATACCTCTGTTTTCAAATTAAAAAATATTTTTGTATGCATTAAGAATTCTTTTTGTTAACAAGGTTAACATCAAGTTTTTACCCCGTTTTTGATTAATGTTTACCTCCCCTGATTTTTTTTGCTTAGCTCCCCTGTTTGTTTCTTTGTGTAATTATGACAGACAAAGTAACTAATAATCAAATTTATAAATGATTTTAATAAGTCAGGATTGATATAACCTCAAATTAATAGTCTTAATTTTAAACACTTTTAACCCACCTTTAAAAACGTTCATATTCTTTTGAGATGCAAGTTACGCCAGATGGCTTTAAAAAAAAAAATCATGATCTTCATTAACTTCTTTGTTCATTGAAAAAAATTCAAACTTGTATTATTTCCAGAGGTTGGAGCCAAGCCAACTGACAACACTGTTGTCTAATACAGGGGTGGATAACCCACTGTGGATTCTTTTGATGGCAGAGGAGCTTCGGATCTTTGGAGATTTTCGTCTGATGGATTCCAAAATTGGAAAATTCCCCAACACAATGTCGGGAGTTCTGGCTCAAATCATTGACAGGTTGATTCATGAAGATGAGAATGGAGTTATCAAAAAGGTATTTTGTAATATGTATCATTTTATGTTTAATAAGACACTCAAAAATACTTCTGCATTATACAATCATATAAATAATTTTTTCTGATAGAAAAAGCTGATATTTATAATAAACTTTATGTAGCATTGTCACTGTATCATTTCTTTAAGAAGTTTAGATTCCTCATGGGAAGTGAAAGTCTTATTTGTTTTTTTGTTTTTTAATGTTTCATAAATATTATTTTAATCTAGTTAACAAAATTAAGGTGTGTATTTTAACAATAACTATTATTTGTAGCTGAGGTTTCTGAAATAAAATGTACTCCTTTAGACAAATCAAACCAACATCACATTTTTATCACTGACTTCCAGTTTTGGTCCCCCATATTAAAGACAAGATCATCAAGAGTTTTTATTAAAGTGATGGTCCTATTGATTCAGATTATTATTTTTCTAAATTTTTTTAGGGGGTGGAGGGGTTGGGGGGGGGGGGGGGTGTTAATAGGATTGTTTGCTTAAGGTTTAGATTGACTTTTAGAGTTCTCTTAAAGTCATGAGCAATAACATAATCTAACATTTCCGCAGTACAATTTTGATTTTTCGATGTTATCAATATTTGGATAATCACATGTCGATTTCCTTATAGGTTAGTAATGAAGAATTTTGCCCTATAGGTTCTGTGCTTGATAGCATGTTCTCGGCATGGTCTGCCAAGTGACCAAATTCTCAAGATTTGTGGGAATGTTGAAACTAAAGAAGAGCTGCCTCCTCTGTACTGGGCTCGGGCCAGACGGGCTCTCAAGTCTTATCTTAGATTTTCAGGACGCTCTGAAGAAATGATGACGTATTCTCATCAAGCTGTCTTGGAGGTAGACTAACACATATTAATGGAAAAAATTTTAATATTTTATCTTTAATGAAACTGGGAAAAGTAATTTTATAATCTCAGGAAATTAACTCAGAAACTTTTTTGGGTATTTTACTTTAAACTAATTGCAGATGAAACTTAAAATTTGCCTGAGCTCATGAAAATTGGATACACAATTTGACACTTTTAACAGTTAAGAAAGTTTCAACAATTAAAATCCTCCAAATATCAACACATTTCAGGCGGTTCGAGCACAACTCTTACCAAACAAAGCTGAAGTTGCGCCGTGGCACTTAATGTTAGCCGACTACTACCAGTACTGGTGTAACGATCCCAGGGCTAAATGCTATCACCTGCCTTACCACCTTGAAGCTGCAGAGCTGAAGAAAAGGTAACCATGATCTGCCCATTTAAATTGTTACCCACTGAAAGCTTCAATATCAGCTTTTAAAGTCCAGATAGCTTTATGTCATTTAAAGTTGTCATTTTTCCCATTTACCGCTAATCCTCATTTTGTAAGTTGATACACAATTTATATTTCCAGTGGATTCAATTTAGAGAAGAGTGTTTACATCATTTATTTGACAAATTACTTTTTATAACCACATTTTTTCCCTCAACATTGAACTAATACTCCACATTATGTGTTACATATTTATTTTTTTTGGACTCTCCTATCATTTCTATTTTTATTTATATCAAAACTAACAATTGAAACTATTGTTTATTTTCTGTATATTTTTTGCATGTACTAGAATTTAATTTGGTCCAAACCTAGCTAAATGCTGGTAGCAAAGACCAATGAGCTGCTTGAAAATATCTCACTGAAAGTGGAAGAAAGATTAAAGCAAGACATAAGCTTTTGAGAATGAAAAGCTAATCTTGATTTAATTTCAAGCAAAAAAATAAATCTTTGGGGGTTTGTGCTAGAGCTAATAGGGTTTTGTTCATTTGATTACAGACTGGTCGAGTTCATGCAAAGAGACCCAGACTCTTACTTTTACATCAACCAAATTCAAAGAAGTAATATTATGCGGGTAAGCCATGGCAGTTTCTTTTAAAATTAAGACAACCAGAATCTTTTATTATGAACTTCCTTGCCTGAAATCCTGAGAAACTTTAATGTCTAAGAAGAACATTTGGCCTACATGTTGTATTTATTGTATAAATGCCAGACTGTAACTTTCTCTAGAGATAAGATCAGACTTCTTTTAACCGTGGTTCCCAAAATATTCCTGTGCTGGGTAACAGGGTTGCTCCAAAAATATCCCTGAAATTACCCTTAGCTGATGTAGTTTTAGAGCAAGCCCATCAGTGTGTTGATGGAAAGGACATGTATTGGACACTGTACAAACCACTGGCTGTAATATTAATATTAGATGGTGCCTGATGGCAAAATTTAAAAATTTTTAACATAATATTCTGATGCACTAATGGCACCTTAATGAAATGAACAAGTTTGGGAAGGACTGCCTAGTTTAACTGCGGTTTAAAAGAAAAACTACCGGTGGTAGGTGATACCGGGGTATCTTTCATTATCAGTTTTTAAATATATTTGTAGTCTCGGGCAGAACATTGTCAACTGCTTGCTACAAAATTTCAACTTTTTTTCCTCAGAACCTGAGGTGTCACTTTACAACTGATGCCAGGATTCCTGCAACAGCACCACTCATGTTATGCCACTCTTGTGCAATGTTTACCAGGGGATGGAACCCGGGCTGCAACTGGCCCAACAAAAGCTGCTGTGCTGTTTGTGGGGCATTTTGCCATCAGGGATTCTCCCAAAAGTCTGCGAGGGCTTGTATGAAGCATGCTAATAGCTGGGGACTTGGCAAGGTCAAGTGTGTTATGTGCAGCTTTGTTGTTGATGTCAATACTAAAAATGGACCCCTTGTCCCTGCCCCAGTGCAGCTTTGTCACATGTGCAGTTTTGGTATATTTGAAACAAGATGTGCACACTTTGATGTTTAACCTATTGGGGAATGTTACAAATCTATACGAGTTTTACAAGATGAAACACAATGTTGCTATCAATGTTTCACTAATAAACTTTTGGAAAAGGTGGATTTTAAACAAAAATTACAATAACATTTTTAAAAATGTATGTACAAGCTATTGATGTAGGCTGATGACTTTGATCACTGCATTCATGTTATTTTAGTATACACATAATCATTCCCTGTACATTTTACTAAATTTACATTAAATTCTATCTATTATCTTATATTATGTTAATTCTTACACTTAATCCACTTAATCATTCCTCGTACATCTCTTTACATTCAATTCATATGTCAAAAATGCTCACTTTTCTCAATTTTTAATGCATGTGTTGAGAACATTTTATCCAGTCTTCATGGGTAAGTTTCCAAGGAAATAAACTGTTGATGTACCAAACTTTTAATGATAAAATATGTCTAGGAAATGTGGCTCTTGAGAAATTTTGTGTAACAGGAGTTGAAACTAATCTCCAACAGTCATCTTTCTCACCAAGATAAGTGAACAAATTAAATTCCTCTTTGACCAATGTTTAATGAGCCCAGCAACACTACTTGAAGACCTGAGTGAAACTATGTCCAAAGTGATGTGTCAGGTGGTGTTGACAGTGTTGTAGATTGAGTCAAAAGATAATTTTTAAAAAAGCCACATTTTAAAAATTCTCTTATAAACAGTTTAGTGATAAAGAAACTTGAATAAAGTGAATTTCGGCTAGTTGTAATATATTCAAGTATATAATATTGTATTTGGATTTTTATACAAATTTGCGGGTCATTTTTTATTATTTTTTTAAAAACTTAACTTGTATGAAAATGTCTCTTTTGTTATTCACACTGTACACATGTTCATTTATGTTTTGATTCGTTAGTTATTTAATTTCCCTAAAATACATATTTTTTCAGAAATTTCATATGTTTTTCTTTTGATATCATTTTAGTCTTACAAGAAAGAGAGAAGGTATACCATTATTTTCAGTAATAACATCAGAATCATTGCAATTAACGACTAGGTTTTATCAATATACTTGGAATACATGCATCAAACTGAAGAATTTTGCTTTTCTATCTTTATGGTAATAGCACTCTTAAACAATATTTGAGCACCATCAATTTATGTTTTATAATTTATATTTATAAATTTTATTTATATCAAAATATTATTTTAGTGACATACATAAATGCATACATACAAGCGAGAATATGAGGAGGACAGACATTGATGACCTGGATTAAAACAAACAAATGAATCCAAGTATTGCAAAAAATGTCTTTATTAAATTATTTTTGTTATCTGTGATTGCAAATCCACCTAGCATAACAAGGTCAAGGTTAAAACAGTAAATCACAAACTAATTCTGCATGTCCTAGGTAAGGCTAACTGTATAGATCCACCAGCTAATATATGCTAGACACCCTGTGTACATGGATGGAAAATAGAATACATAACAGGCATTTACATCAGCTTTTTGATTATATTTTAATGGGCTCTTCCTGAATTATTGCATGGGCAAAATTCCACAATTTACTTTTCAATTTTATTTATCGTTCATTGTTCTTGAATGAAACTACTGAAAAACCCAAAATAAATCAAACCATCATTGTAATTGTATAGACTGCTTAAGATGATCAAATAGGCTGCATCATAATGGTGTAAATATTATGACCAGATTTTTTATTTATTATACTCTTGACGACAAAAATTCATATGAAATGAACCTTGCCTTAAATATGACATTAGGAACTAAACTGAACCAGAAGGAAAGAATAAAAAAAATAGAAAGAATAAAATAAAGACTTAAAAATGTGTCTTAAAGATAAATTACTCAGTTAAATTATGTATCAAATCAAATTTAGGGGGCAATAATATTTTAAAACTGATAAATTGCAATCTGACTTATTTTTATTTATTTTTAAACCATACAAAGATTCTTGGAATTTGGGAGTGTGAAAAGTCAGAAAGTTATTTTATGATCGGAATTGAAAATGTGTGTTTTAAGCTTGAACAGCTGTAATACTTTGTAATATACACAGTGGCATTCCTTAACATTTTAGAATTAGTGGTCACGTAAAGACATTTTTGTAACGTCATCTTTGTGCTCATGACCACAAAATGCATGTTTAAATTAAGGTGTCCGTTTGCACCTCCAGAAATTTAAAAATTTGGGCAAGTGCCCCTCACATGGAGCACCACTGGTTGTAGTAGAGGCATCACACAGAAATTTCTCTGTTGAAGAACAAGTGGTTGTTGCCTGTTACATCCTGAAAGCTGACAGTCACAACTGTGGTTGATCAGTCTTAGGGTCACTGCATATCACTTTGTGGACTCTAAGACTTGAGAAAAAAAGAACCTATCAGATAAAAACAAGTGAAATGACATCGCCAAGCCTAGTATCATCAAAACCTCATCACCCTCTACACAGGAGAGCACCAAAATATTGGAAAGAAAAGCAGCAGCAATCAAATAATCTAGACAAATATACTTTGGGAATTGATGTCGCTAACCAGATGCAAATTGTGACCAACCAATTAAATACCACAAGATTTGGCCAACGGGATATCAAACAAATAAATATGAAGGTAAGGAACTTCATCAAGACAAAAAAAAATATCAAAAGACTTTTCTTAATCAGTTCAGTCTTTTTAAACAACAATGGGATAAGCTAATTACAAATTATTGTAAAGTGATGGCTATGTAAAACAACAGAGAGTTGTCATTTCAAACAGCATGAAATTTGTGAACAAAATGATAGAAAATAAAAAAAAACATTTGAAAGCCCATCAAAGTAGTGTCAGCAAAGAAACTTTTGAATGATGTGTCAGACCTTCCATAGCAGCTGCTTTCGATAGTTGGGCAGCAAGATTTTAATTTTAATGAGACATCTTACCCACAAAACAGAAGCTATAATAAAAATGATTTTTATCTAATTCAAAGTAATTAATAATAATAATAATAGTTTGCTTGAAAGCTTCTCCCAATGAACCAGACAACTTTTTTATAAAAACTGACGGGTGTGTCTTAGAATCAGAGAGGTCATGTGGGCCCTGCAATCTCTATGGCTGCAGTGGGCCTCAGATATGTAAGGGGCAAAGGATATGTAAGGAGCATACAATATTGAATCGGAAAAAAATTAATCTTTCAATATAATTGAATGCAGGGCGGCAATACCGAAGTGTGGCAGGGTGACCCCAAAGTCACGCAACGCCTCTTGCACAAAATTTGAAATTAATTTCAGTTTGCTGCGAGATAACAAAGGTAGAAAACGAGCAGCAATGTAGTAATGCTAAAAGATATAGAAATATAATTCTGAAATTTATCTGAGAAATTAAATTATTTCAAAATGTTCTTTTGGTACAAAATACTTTTATAAAAATGATATGCCTAAAATAGAGGTAATAAAAATATAAAGTTTTAAACCCAGGTATTATAGTAAAGAAATGAAGTTATTCAATTTGTCAAATATCAGTAATCATAATAATCTTCTAACAAAATGTTTTTCTGGTAAAAAAAAAATAAAAATAGAGCAAAACAAATTAAAAATTTTTTTTTTAAAAACAAACTTATTATCTTTTTTGGCAAATGGTCAATTTTATTCCTGGGGAAAAAAGAGGTTTGGTTGGGGGGGGGGGGGTAATCTATACTACTTAAGACAAGAAAATATATTTTGTAAACTCAAATTTAACAACAAGGTCCCAAGGGCTGCAGTGAAGCAAATGAAATTTGTGCAGTTCATTATAAAAATGGCAATTGTAGTGATGAAGATTTCCATCTATGTCAAAGATGTACCGTACACAGAAAGTATGGAATAAATGAATCTATGATTAGCCATGTCATCCCAGTTGTTGGAAGGCACTCTCTAGAAAATAACAACGTGGAAAAAAAAAAGCATGCTGTACAAAGTCAAGCCTGTAAATTACCCACATGACAAATTAGAACAATAATGGATTAGATCAATGACAATGAGTTTTACGCATGAAGCTAAGAGAATGCAGGAACAAAAAAAATAAATGCATGAAAAGATAATCCCTACGAAGGCCACCAAAAGTGTACACGCATTTCTAGAAAAAATTTAAAAGAGTTAGACCAGGGGTCGGCAACCTATGACAGCACCCGTGCCAGACTTGGCACCACCCTTGCCAGACTTGGCAAGATTAGCCATATTCATTTGGCCCATGGGAGACCAAAAAAATAATAATTATAAATGACAAAAAATGCGTCTGAAATGGCAGACTTATAAGTTATTGTCACGCTGAATGAATTAGAAGTCCTACTTTGGCACGCCCATACCAAAAGGTTAGGTTGCAGACCAAGAATTTTAGGGGGAGGAAAAAAAAGGTGGTGATGGTGGCATTGGGTGTTAAGATCAAAATTTCTTTTATTAAAAACAATAATTTTGCGCTTGGTTTGTTAAGGGGGGCGAAAATAGCAACTGGGGTATACAAGTTTTTTGCTCATCACTGTAAATATTTGGCATATAACCCTAATTCTGACACATGACAGATTGGGGTGAGCAGACAGAACAAACCTGTAGTTGGACAGTATTGATTATATATAAAGATCCATTTTATGCAAGTAAAAGAATGTGATGTAACATTATAAGTCATCTAAATCTATGCATTATGGCACTCTCTGCATACGTACTATATGGATGGTCCCTTATGGCACTCTCTGCACATCATTTCTTACTTTTATGAATTCTCCATCCTTACAGATAAAAGTACAGATCAGTTGCCAGCAAGACCACTGATTTCTCTATCCACGAGTTACCCAAACAGAACAATTAATTATTGATTGTACCAAGAGAATGGAAAAGATACCATACTGTACATATTATGCCAGCAATGTCATGTTAGGAATGTTGATGACAACATTTTATTTGGAATTATAAATATCAAATCATATACAAATTTTGTTTTTAAACACTTCAAAAACATTTTTTTAAATATAATTATATTTGAATTAGGATATCTTGCTTTATAATGGTAACATTCTATGAAAAACACCACCAAATCACTGCAAATTTATATTTTAAGGGCATTCAGACTTCTAGGAATTTTTTTGCAAAACTAAATCAGTTACATTTTTTAATAAAACAAAATATATATAAATAAAGATGTATAAATGTGAACAAATTATTATCATACAAATTATATAGCTGTATACTTTTGCGCTTTCTTTAAAAAAATTATGTTAACAAAAGGAAGCACACAAAGTTAAGGACATTAAATATATAAACTAGTATAAGGAAAAAGAATTTTGACTGGGTAATGAAGTGGATTTCCTATGGAGAAATTTGTTGAGAGCTTCACTTCTCAAGTTGGATCTAAGAGTTGCTTAAAAATAAAAGACATGTCAATGCAGAGGAACATTGAATTTGACAAAGCTAAACAATGAGAACTTTTCTAATCCAACATCACTGTCTTGGAATAATTTTTTATGAAGCTTCTGTGTACCGGTACTGTACAAATTTTATTGAAAGAACAGAGGGAAATATTACATAAAATGTATTTTATTTAAGTTTGATTCAATTCCAGATTTACTCTGACCAGATCATTAGGAGATATTGTGTAGATTTGTTACAAAATATACAATTTTTTAAAATTATGAAAAAAAAAAAAAAACGTTTTTATACTATTTTGTTAAATCTTTATTCTTATTTTCAAATCCGTTACATTTCCAAACACCTAGATGATTTTTTTTAAAAGGATGAAATTACATGATTTTCATGATGATAATTTTCTCTTTTTAGGTAAATCAGTAACAGACTTTTAGCTATAAGTGAATTTTTTTGTTTACTAAGTCTCCATTGTAAAATATTTGTAATTATCTATGAAATTAATTTAATTTGATATTGAAATGATGGAGGATATTGATCTATTCCTTTTGCTCATTGCCAACATTTATAAGATGTTTTTAAATGATGTCAAACATGAGTAGTCACATTGTGGTCTGTGCTAAATATAGGAGCATTTAAACAACCATATATACATGCAGTGTTCACCAGGACTTGCTGATATCCTAGGCTAAATATAAACCGTGGTGCCATCTAAAGTTCTCTGTCATGTCGCATAATTCAACAATGATCATACAAACCACCATTTGGAGCTTTCAACAATATTTTGATGGAAAATGTCAGCTGCCTGTCCCAAAGGTGGCCTTTAGTTTTAAGGAATACTTGATTGAAATGGGTTTGTCTCTAGAACACTGTAAGGCTCTCTCTGCCTTGTGAGTTATAATGTAGGAGAAAAAAATGATCACTCTACTGTGATGATAGCTTGACATTTTACAAGCTGACATTCTACCTAACTGACTGGGGGCTGTCTATGAGCACAAGTAACGACCAGCACGTGGAGTCATTGTGCTGCTGTAACAAAACAAAGCACATGTCTTGTTTGACTAGGGAACACATAGTCACAGAGATTGCATCCATTCACCAATTTTTCAAATTCATATAAACATTAAATACTGCAGTAGTCAAGACATACTTCAAAGCAAGCATATCTCATTAAGGGCAAAAAACAGCTAGATTGCAGCAGTAGTTCAACAATAACAACGGAATCTACATTGCATTATTATATGTGACATTATGTTTAGGACATTTATGAATGGACCATACAGAACACTAACTTATGGTCAACACCAAACAAAAAAAAAAAAATCTGTTTTATTACAAAAAGGAAAAACAATGTTGAATAACCATGTACAACAAGATTCACTGTTCTGAGCCATTAACTCCTTTGATTATATTATATAATTCAAAAGTTGTTATGGAAAAGATTGCACACAAAATGATATTAGCTTATCCATTAATCACATATCACAGTATTTCAGATTTTTTATGGAGGGGTTGGGAGAGAGTTGTAAGTGTCGGTGCCTGCTGTCGTTGCCTAGTTTACCAGTCATCATCCTCATCAGACGAGTCATCATTGGCCAGCGTCTGGGCCCTCTCATCAAACAAGTTTGTCGCATACTTGATCTCTTGAGACACCTGAAGATGAAACACAGAGAACCTGATAGCATCATATTAAATCAAATAAAACTGATTTTGTTTGGTACTGACCTAGTTAAGAGCCTATGCTTTTTATGCAGAGACATCTAAGAATATTTAAGCTAGAATGGATTCATCAGCCTAGCAGCAAGCAGTTCATGGGTTAGCCTTATTCAACAAATATCTTCAGCCAAAGTCACAAGACGGCAGGCAACTTTGGGTGGCATTTCAAATTGGCTCATTTCATTTAATAAACCCTAAGAACATAAGGAATGTGTCAAAGCCCTAAGAACATAAGGAATGTGTCAAAGCCCTAAGAACATAAGGAATGTGTCAAAGCCCTAAGAACATAAGGAATGTGTCAAAGCCCTAAGAACATAAGGAATGTGTCAAAGCCCTAAGAACATAAGGAATGTGTCAAAGCCCTAAAAACATAAGGAATGTGTCAAAGCCCTAAGAACATAAGGAACGTGTCAAACTAAAAACAATTTAAAAAAAAAAAGAACCCTTCAAAAATTACAGGCAAATCATTTAACCAACTGACTCACTTTTTTTGCAACAGTTTTTTTGTCACAGCGCACTTGTGGCTTGTTGAGACTTGTGCCGGAGACGTCGGAACCTGAGCTGGTTTTGCGGGTCAACACCACATAAAATTTTTTGTCTGAAAGTAGCAGTAGGCAACAATGACAACTTTAAAACCGGTATAGTCCTGTTATTTCAGCACCAGGTGCGTCATTCTGGCTGGCTGGCATTTAAACCATCCAGTTGACCTAGTCTCATATCATGCAGTATTGTTTTCATGCAAGTGCCGTTATCCTGGCTGTCAGGCCTTTAAACTATCTCGTTGACCTAGTCTCATATCATGCATTATTGTTTTGAGTTAACATCAGATAATATTTTACAAACAGGCATCACCATAACATAATCATAATGCTGTGGAGAGGAAAATGTTCATTTTTAACCCTTCATGGATGGTTGGGCCGATAAATCGGTCCAGGGTCGAATTGGCGAAAAAACTAATGGTACATACATCGAGTTTGGTTGGCTGGTTAGTCTTCGTATCAGCTAATCAGATTGCTTCTTACATTTCTTGCTCATTTGAATGGCTGCTTCCATCGATATTTTACTGTGTTCCGTCATTTTATATCAATTTTTTTTACCTAGTGACCCCTAAAAATGCTTTAAAAATTATATGACCTTGAAGTATGTCAAAGAATAATTAGCTCTAGGGGAATATTTTATGTAGTTTTAAAAGGGCCCCGTTCTTGGCAGTTACACTCCAAAAAGGCTCCATCTCAAAAGGGTTAAAGAATGCAAGTTTCAACGAAGCAACTTAACACATTTTTAATTATAACTATTTTTTCCTATTATAACCATTGTGAACTAATTCTGAGTTTGTTATCTTTCACTGTTTTAACTTTCAAATCCAGTCAAAACTAGATTTTTAAATCATCAAACATTTAAAAAAAACAAAACATTTCACCATTTCCCCCCAACCAAAAATGCCAGCTTTGTTACCAACCTTCTGATGTAATATGTGAGCAGTCTAGAATCTCATCATGTTGAATGTTCAGAACCACATTCTCCGGTTTTGCCTTTCTTTTGTTCAGAATGAACACCTGCCTGCTGGAGATAAGAGCAAAATTCCCTTCACCACTTCTCTGGTCAGAGGTCAGCTGCTCAATGGCAATAAGGCTGAAACAGATCAAGAGGAGAAAAATATGGTGGGAAACTTAAAGCATATTAATACATTTCTAAATTTCACTTAATTAACTACAGCAGTTACTGAAGTGCTATTATTTTGTATGTATTTTTTCCTTAAGAATGCTTGAATACTTTTTAAATCCATACTGTTATTTAAAAAATTGTTTTTTTTACTATGATCCATTTTTAAATAATAACATTTAGACTTGCTTATTGGCCGGGTGCATATGTCCTTCATAAAATACCATGGTCACATTGTTAGGCTGCTTATTTATGAAGATTAAACTTGTCACATCCCCATTTAAACCAGAATGCTCTCCCTGGGAAACTTGCAATTCTTATAGGCTGTTGGCTCAAATTCTAACAATTCTTACAGGCTGTTGGCTCAAGTTCTGACAATTCTTTTATAGGCTGTTGGCTCAAATTCTGACAATTTTTAAAGGCTGTTGGCTCAAATTGTATTGGTTTTTTTTTTGCTACTTATTTTTTATGTAACTTGTATACTTGAATTTGGAAACTTGACTATAAAACTGAAAGTAACATATGTATGGTCAGGCACAGGGGGACTCAGAGGAGGTCCATAGAGAAAGTTTGGAGGGCATGACACCACTAGTTAACCACAGCGGGTGACACCAATCCCAGTGGCAGCACTGGTCAGTTGCTGTTTGCCACTAATTTCACTGGATGGACTTCCTCATGAAAATTTAACACATGACCCATCATTGATGGTTTCTATATCATACAATAACAATGATATCCCACCAATACATAATACATCCCGAGCCCTACTTACTATTCAGAATAATCATTTTCATTAAGTTCATACAGAACTGTCTGCGCCTCGGCTTGTTGCTCAGAGTACAACGGCAGCAGCCCGGCAGTCCCCTGGGTACAACGAGGTGGTCTGGTACGTCCAGGACTCCTGTGCGATGTCCTGGAACTGCTGTCTCGCAGAGCATTTGCGAAGCCTGAAGTTAGGTCTAAGACTCCAGACACAGGCTTGGTGACTGTTCCTATCATGCCTTTCCCCATCCCTTTGAAAAGGCCCTGGGATTAAAAGTGATAATAAACAAACAAGCTAGGCAAATTAGAGAAACATTTTTATGACCAATGAAAATCACTTTTTTAAAATAAAAAATCATTGCAGAATTAAGTAAAGTAATGCTCTAAAGAGATCTTCAACCTACAAGAATAACTTACCCCTATATCCTCACCCTAACTTACACCTATACCCTCACTCTAACTTACACCTATACCCTCACTCTAACTTACCCCTATAACCTCAGACTTACCCCTATACCCTCACTCTAACTTACCCCTATAAATCACTCTGACTTACCTCTAAACCTTCACTTTAACTTACCCCTATACTCTCACTCTACCTTACCCTTATACCCTCACTATAACTTACCCTTATAACCTCAGACTTACCGCTATACCCTCACTCTAAAATACCCCTATTCCTCACTCTGACTTACCATTATACCCTCGTTCTAAATTACCCTATACTCTCACTCTAACTTACCCCTATACCCTCACTCTAACTTACCCTTATAACCTCAGACTTACCGCTATACCCTCACTCTGACTTACCCCTATACCTCACTCTGACTTACCCCTATACTCCCACTCTGACTTACCCCTATACCTTACTCTAACTTACCCCTATGCCCTCACTCTAACTTACCCCTATACTGTTTACTCTGACTTACCCCTATACCCTCACTCTGAGCCCCAGAAATACTCTGGGAGACCAGGCTTGTCACCCCGCCGAGAAGCCCGTGACCAAATCCTTTGAAGCCAGCCATGAGATGGTCGCTGCTGCTGCCCGAGGTGACATTCCTCAGGGCCTCCCTCTTGTTGTTGTGTTCCTCATCAAAGCCGACCGTACTAATGCCGTCAGACAAGGAGCTCACAACCTGCCCATGGAGATTCAAAAACTTGTCAAGATTTTAAAGTTGAAAAAAATGACGATCAGGCGGAACGAATGAATGGGTCAAATGAAATGGGTCTTGAGAAGGGGTTAAGAGAGATAAGCATAATAGAGTTAAAATATTATTATGATATTTGAAATTAATGAAACATTTTTTTTCAGAAAAGCAATAACTGGTGGGAATAAAAAGTCTTAAGTTTATTAAAAGGTGATTATTATAAACTGCTTATAAAGAATTTCTTTAGAAATGTTGAGACCTTTACATGAAACTAAAGAGACAAAACTAAAGCACACAGCTACTTTTCTAAATCACATACTTGGGAAACATTTATTATTTATTCGGACTTGCATAACTGACCTTGGCAGTTGAATTGGAGACACCGTGAGTGACATTCCTCAGCAGTCCCCCCACATTCCCATCTGTCACAAAGCCCGCGATTCCTTCTGAGATGTCGTTGACCAGTCCGAGGGGGTTCCCAAGGAAGTCAATAGAGCCCAAGATTTTTGCCGCTTGACTTTTCAGCTCCTGTTGTATGAGCATCGGAATGGACATTCAGAAAAAAATAGTTAACAAAGTAGAATTAAATAATAAAAATTATTTTAAAAAAACATAAATAATTGTTAAATAGTTAACTATAAGACACAAACAAAAAAAGGGGGATTTATTTTAACTCGGTGTTTAATTTCTGAAACAATGTGGGACATTAAATTATTATGGTCCCTAGATCCTTTCAGAGGGAACCAAACAATGCCAGTGATGCATTCATAAAGAAGCAATTATCATGTATAAAAAACTTTCAGAAATGATCCAATTTTCAGCAGAATTTTCATAAATCTATTTTTGACAAACATCACAGTGTTAAGGTCTTGAACTTATATTGTGATAGTGTGTTGTTTGGAGAGTATTTGGGTAGATGATATTAAATGTTTGGAATTCTTAGTGACGTATAGTGCTTAAAGGGAAATGACGTATTATTGTTGTGGAGTTTGTTGTGATGGAGTAATGGCAGTTGACGATGTAGTTTAGTTGTGTTAATAAATATACTTTATTCTAATAATCAACAGTTTGTGTAATTAATATAATAACCCCTAGACAAAGCAAAGCCATGAAACCCTGGTAAGAACGGGTTCGGAACAACAGTCAATTAAGTCTGTCAGATGATTTTCCCAGCAAGGCTTAATGTTTCCATCAAAGGTTATTGTCACACAACCATGATGAACTCATTTTAGAGGGTTAAGACCAGGGGTGTGACATGATCAGCCTACCTCTCTGTAATGGTTCATAATTTCATTTAACAGGAAAGGTCCTGTCTCAAACACGTGGTACTGCTCAAATGAATCTGTGGACAAAAAAATTGTGACAAGACTTAGTTGGTTTTTTTCCGTTTGAAAAGTAAATAACTATTTTTTTTTTTTTTGCATTAATTTTTGCTCATATATTTAATGAAGAGGGAGGTGCTGAGATGGAGTTGGGGATCTTATGACATCTGTGAAAAGCTAAAACTTTTATCACACCGTCTAAGAAAGTGATGCTCATTGTAAGTGGAAATAATAATTAAATTAACCAAATCTAGTTGTTAATTCTTTTGTATTTTACCTTGTCTTTAATTTCATGCCATTGAAGATATTCTCACTGTCTACCCCCCCCCCCCCCCCCCTTTCTTCCTCTCTATAATTAACCCAATCTAGTTGTTAATTCTTTTTTATTTTTCCTTGTCTTTAATTTCATGCCATTGAAGATATTCTCACTGTCTACCCCCCCCCCCCTCCAATCTGGTCCAAATGAATATTATAATACCAGACTTTAATTTTGAAGCAAAAAGAACATATTTGGTAACTATGACTCCCAGAGAAACAACAAACTCACTCATGTCAATGTTGGCCTGCTCAAACGCTATCAGTCTTGTTGACATAACATTTTTTATGGTCTTGAGGTCAGGTGTTAACTTGTTGGAGGTCACCATGCTCAGGGTCACCCTGTTGATGCCCAGTTTCAGAGTCCCAAAGTAGTAACGGGTTGACTGAATGGCAGTGACCGCCGACAGGGCTCTGTGCAGTGACAAGATTTAAAATAAATTAGTAACAGTAGAACTGAAAGTACTAAATGTTGCTTGGATTGCATCAATATCTTTCTAAACAAGTTGATCATTGAGGTTTTCCAAATATGGGCTCACAGCTTATCAGTGTGGGGTAACACACAGCTTGTATCGGTTGAGCCACTTTTTGTTGATTGTATTTTTTTTAGCGTCAACATTCAAAACTGACAGTTTGATCTGCCAGGGTTAATTGTTTAATTTCTGCTCCAGCACCCACCCTCCCCGTCCCCACAATAGTTTGAACTGATTTATTTTATTCAGAGTCCTGCAGCCACCTGTGAGTGTCGTATGTTTCATCCAGCCGATGTAGGGTCCTGTCGTCCTTGCCGACGCCTGCCAGCTGCAACAGCTTCCAAAGCAGCTGCTCTTCCAAATGAAGGGTCATGCGCTTTGTTGACACAAATAGGTGCTGTAGAGGAAAGGGGCCAGGAGACAATCAAAAATGTATGTGTAGTACCATAGCATAATATGACATATGTACAATCTCACTAAGAGGCATCAAAAGCATTTTATAGCATTCCTTTCCAATTCCAAGTAGTCCTCAAAATTTGTTCTTGATTTTCTCCACTCAAGAACTAAATTTAGACTTTTTATATTGTATTCTTTTCAAGGAAGTCTGGAAAACCTAGGATTCCTTCACATCATTTAATAGATTTAATTTCCTTTTCAACAAATAGCTATGAGTCAAAAGCTCTTGCAGTTGATTTTTAAAAAATTTATATCTAAAAGGGTTCAAGATCAACCTTTTTTTAAAATTAAATTTATTAATTTTAAATCTTACAGTTTTATCAAAGTTATTAAAAGATACAAAAAAAAAATTGTGTTTCTTCATTTTAAAAAACAAGCATCCAGCATAGATTTAGTTAGGACCAAAATACCTTAGATACTATTAGCCCACTGAGTGTGGCAAAATAGTTGATGGAGCAAGAAAATCTCAGTGACTAGTTTAACCAGATATATAACATTCATCACTAATGGCCTAGACCTCTATTCCATAAAGTCTACATGACCATAACCTCACCGTGAATATCTCAGCCTTCCATGTAGCACTGGTTCCATAAAGTCTACATGACCATAACCTCACCTTGAATATCTCAGCCTTCCATGTAGCACTGGTTCCATAAAGTCTACATGACCATAACCTCACCTTGAATATCTCAGCCTTCCATGTAGCACTGGTTCCATAAAGTCTACATGACCATAACCTCACCTTGAATATCTCAGCCTTCCATGTAGCACTGGTTCCATAAAGTCTACATGACCATAACCTCACCTTGAATATCTCAGCCTTCCATGTAGCACTGGGCACTTTATGAGCTGAGATGTGCAGGGCAGGTGTGCAGTCCATGACATCCCTACGTGACAAGGGGGTGACAAACAACACAACAGGCCTCTGGGCACCCCACATCTGGTTGTCGGCCTGGATGATTTTTAAGCATGGTTGAGAACTAGAAATGAACCCTCCAAACAAAGGTCACAGAACAGTTTTATTTTAAAATATAGGATATTTTTCAAATTAGATTTTTAAATAGACTTTTTTTTTAAAGTTGGTGACATGTTTTATTTAATTCAAGAATGAAATAACAAAAGCGGCAAAAGCAGATTTAAAAAAAAAAAAGGGGGGGGGAATAGCTTCTGTAGTGTATGGTTGCAATGAGAACAACCAGCAGCATTAAACAAGGCAGTAAATTCTAGTTTAAACGTTAAATTGTTGAGAAAGCTTGTCAAAATTACTCGGGTCAATACGGCTGTGATGAAATCATAGATGGTCGAGAAACATGATTTGAATAGGACAATTTTTGTTAAATTTACTAAACTAACCAGTTGAAATCTGACAAGACCACCATAAAGCTTTTGATACGACAGTGGAGCTTGGAAATTACCTGGATGACAGCCACATTGGCCTCAAATTCAATGGCTGAGGGCCGAGACACAATATCCAAAGATATGTTCTTGAGTGTCAAGTAAAGCAACTCCTCTGAGAAGTTGTTCACAAGTGATATGCCTATCCCTGCAGTCAAGTTGATGGCCAGCTGTGGAGCGAAAAGCAGTTCATTGTCAAATCAGAGGGAGAGAAAAATCGATTAAACTGTCAATGAAGGCTGAGAATTCAAGCAAATCCATCCAAACCCAAATGACTATTGAAGTTTTAAAATGAATGTTGTCTTTTCAATAGCTTTATCATAATAATATAAGGTTTGAAGAGTCATAAAAAAAATTCCCACAAACTATTTAAATAAAATCTCAGCTTATCCATGGAGTGCTGAGCTTGATGAATATTCAGTAACAATCTAAGTTTATCACTAGAGTCACATACATTTAAAAAAAGATTATAATTACAATTGATTTCTTTCATTATTTTTTTTTTGCTTGCATGAATTACTTTTTGATTCTTACTGAAGAATATTTAAGTCTTGCAATAAATTCCAATAACTTCAAAGTGTTTTATAGATATCTTGAAAACCTAACTAAACAAGCCAGCAAGGGAAAAATAATGCACTCAAACGCCAGTTATGTCACATTTGTGTCTGGTTTATTATCCCCCTAATAATTTTTCACCACATTTTGTAACATTTGCCATTCTCTCACATTTATGGTGTTGGAATTCCCCTTGGTGCTGGTCTTGGTCACCATTTGCCGTTTAACCTCGTCGTAGACCTCCCAGTCCTGAAGGTCCTCCTCCATGGTCATCCGTTTAACCACTTGCTGAGGGAGGAAAACCAAGTTAAAGGTCAATGAAAGTGTGACAGAGAAAATCAAGACAGCGAGTTGGTTAATTTTGTTACATAACAAACTACATGATCGGGTCTAAAATGCCAATCTCTAGTTGTTGCATGCCTTGAACATTACTCTAAAATATTACACATGCAGTTGCATTGTCTATCCTGTGGTATTGGACATCAAAATATTTACAGTAATAGGGTGTCAAAATGTGTCATCGTTTCCTTTTTCCTTTAAAATCTGACAAAATCAATATATTTTTAATTACACAGAGGTGACTTTCTTCTTGATAAGAAACCTGAAGGGTTTGATTTGGAAAAAAAAAAAAATAGGCTACAACAGCTGACAACTAATGAAATTGTATTTTATTCCTGTTTTTTAGAAAAGTAAAAGACATGGATGTGTGACCTTTAAACATAAAATATTGTAATCTTTTGAGATTATTATTATATGATTTTTTAAGATAAAATGCACCACTAGTGGGAAAAAAAAACAACTGAACTTAACACTGAAACAAAAACCTATTTGATTTCATATAACATTGGTCTGTGACATAAATACCTACGTTTTCCACTGATTTACTCAAGTTATAATTTCTTTGGCTAAAGGTGTCACTTTGAATGTTATAGTAGACCCATAACTATTTAACTAGTGCAGGCCTGCACAACTTAAAATGTAAGTTGGGACTTAGTAATTTATGAGAAACTTGTGCAGAAATTAGCCTCCAACTTGGAGCTCATTAAAAAGTTTCCTCCCTTTATCATATGACTCAGTTTTATATTATGCTCATCTTCAAACTAGCAAAAAAATGATTATTTTTTTATTATTCTGGAAACAAAAAAAGCTTAACATGTTATAACAAACATGCAAAAGAGCAAGAAGGGGAGAAAGAAAAAGAAGCCTATGTAATAAAAAAATGTAGATGAAAAGAAGCTTTAAACTGCAAACATGTAAGTATTTTTAACTGCTGCTGGCTGACTACAAATTTTTATTAAAGCAAGCTATCTTATCTAGGAATAAAAAAAGATTGTTAACCTAATCGCAAATGAAGACCATCTTTATAATTGTATACATAAATATGATGAACAGTGTACAAACAATTGATGCAAATAAAAGATAATGTTATATTATCAAAGTTAATATAAATATCTAAAAAAAATCATGTTATCTTATGAATAAGAAAAATAAAAAGAATCAAATGAGCTGTCTTAATGTTTTATTCTCCTTGCTAATGCAGGCAAATATTATTTTAATGTAAATAAAAGAGCTCATTATCTCAAAGAAAACTAGATTTCTTCTATGGAGATTTGGTGGGTTTTTTTAGAGCAAGACTAGCATAAGGAGCACATGCAGCTAACAAACATCACAATACACCCATTTCGTAAACGTATGTAGAGAGCAGAAAATCATTAAATTCAACTTGAAATATGGATACAAAAAATTTCTTTGCCAAAGTATCTCGAGGTTAACAATAAAAATTCATTAAGGTAAAATTCAACATTTAAATTAAAAGTGCTAAGATATTGAGAAAAATTATTTTGAACAAGAATTGATAACATTAAGAAATGAAATATACATTTTTTTTATTAGTGCCAGACAATAATTCATGATATATTATATCTGGCAAGCCAAGTTGACAGTGCCAGAGAAATATTTGGGTTTATGACATACATATTTCTATTTTAAAAATTCCACCATTGTTAAAGTCTTGATACTTTTTTTTAAAATAGTAAATATTTAACATAATTCAAAAGTTAATTTTAAAATCTTTAAAACCTGTACAACTATCTTTTCAGGACCAAAATGATCATGTTTGTCAAGCACTGTTTGGAAAAAATAACAACTGTGAACTACCAGATGCATCTGCCCTTCTATTCACTGCAGTACACACCTTTGCACTCCCTGGGCACATGTGACACAGAAATGCTGGCCTCTAGAAGTTAGCATAAAGCAAAATAGATTGATTGGATTTTCTTTTTTTTTTCTTTTTTTTTTTTGGTTTTTGGATGGGATGGGAAAGACAACACTTACACAATGATATTGAAGCTAAACCCTCTACAGGTCACAGATTTTCTTTTTAATCTTAAAATAGTTTATGACAAAAAAATAATGCACATAAGTTTCCAATTATCTTGGAAAACTTGCTTGTGGGATCTTTCAAAAAGTTGTTTTTTTTAAAGTGAAAATTTGTGCAATGAAAAATTTTCAATTTGCAGATCAAGAAATTGTGATAATAATTCAAAGGCATTATTAAAATTGCAAGTTAAAATTAACAACCGAGTTGAATTCTATAATACTTTGCTTGGTGGACACAAAGTTTGCTGATTGTGAAGCTGGAGCTCGGGATGGGGGTGTCGAGAGAGACAAAAGAAAAGCATGGGAATTCTTAGCGGGATGTTTTGTTTTTTAAAATAAAAATGTAGCCGCTTTTCTTAGTAAACTATTAAGGACTATGAATGCTACCTGGGTTGACTTTAAAAGAAACGAATGCTAAAATGTGGAGAGGGTAAATGACAAATACCTTCACTGCAGCCAGGGTCTAGAGATGAAATCACATCAAAGCTGTAACTCATTCAAGCACAGTTCACACACAATTTCAAATTTAAACTAATTCCATTAGGTTTTATTTTTTAAAACTTTTCAATAGCTAAAGTAAATTACTTTGATTCTACAATCATAATATTACTATATAAACAGTTGCTTGTGTTTTCAGGGTTGTTCTGTGCAAAATTATGAGTGCTACTGTTCGTCATGATGTTTGGCTTTAAAAGTGATTTCACAATGAAATTCTGAGGACTACCTTAATCCATGTGCCGCCCATTTATTTTAAAAACCTACTTTTCTTAGATCAAAAAATTCTGCCAGGTCAAAAACATTACAAAAATTACATACTTATTGACAATCCCAATATTCACTGAGGTATCAAAGAATTTTAGAGTGCATTTCTTTCATATAGACTATTATCAAAATGAACAATAGAGGGGTGAACTTGTTTGCAATGCACTCTATGTAATGTAAATTAGATTAGCTCCTGGACAGTTTGGTCTAATTTTCAAAATTTAAGTAATACTTAATAAGCATCAAAATTGTTATTTTCCATTAATCCACTTAATTTAAGTAAGGCAATGAATGGCCCCCATAAAATTAAAGCAGAAAAAAAAACAACTGTTCCTTAACCACGATTTAGGTTGATCCTATTAGTAGTAGGGAAATAAATATTTAAACACCGAACCATCTGAAAGTTGATCAATGACAGAATTAACAGAAAGTGCAGCATACTTTTACAAACTAACATTGCAGACCTTAAGTGACCACAACCTGTCCAAAATCCAACAACCAGCCTCTGTTATTTAATAGGTTTAAAAAGAAAAAAAAAACTGTACTCTATACACTAAATGTCTGATCCACCTAAATTTTTAAATATATATTAATCAAAGTGAATCCTGTTGTTTTTTGCAAGTACAATGCCCAAGTGTATGTGTAGATGATGGAGCTTATGAATACACGATGAGATTCTACGGATGTCTGAAACAAGTTATCCAACCAACATAACAAAAGTTGATTTATTGCCCCTGTACTAACCTTTTGGACCAATAATATTGACAAGCGAGATGCTTCTGTGTACTCTTTCAGCCATGTCTGAAATTGGAGTTGGGGGGGTTAAATGCACCTGGTGTCTAATGCATGCTGACAGAACTAAACTACAACAATCTTGGTACGGCTTTGATGAAAACTTTTGGGGTTATGAGGCCTTGATCCACCATTATTTCCTCAACACATACCTTTCTGGTCAAGTTTTCATGTTCGAAAATGTAAAGAGACACAACATTTCACTTTCAAGCCTTCTTTCTCATCTTTCTATTTCAGTCAGTGGTGACAGCACAGTAACCATGTCAGGCATCATCTAAGAGCCATAGTCATGGTCAAAAACAAATTTTAAAAATATAACAGCCATTGAAGTAGAGAGCAAGTGAGAGATCTTGCATAACCCAGGAAATCTGGCAGGGTCATTAGCGATCTTCATATCCCTCCTTGAATAATCCACACCTTTACGACACACTGCTGTGATCACTATTTAAGTTTCAAAATACTCTGTTCTCAGATTTACCTCTGGTGAAATTCACACAACTAACATTTAAAACAATCTGAAAAATCCCTGGATATCCTGAGGGAGATGGACTGATTGGGGGGCAGTACCCTTCCCTCTGGTGTTTCAAATTTTTATTTTATATTACCATTGTACACAATTAAAAATCCTGTTATAATTTAATGTCATTAATGAATCATTTTAAGGAAAGGGATTACCCCCACAAATAAATTAAATCCCCATTAAACACAGCCCCATGAAGAAATCCCAATTTAATTGCTAAAATAAACATGTAATTTTTGCTGGAAAATGAAGGATGTATATTTTTTTCATTTTAAATCACCATCCCACAGTTGAAGACTATCTGACCCTCCTATAGTTCAGACACCAACACGGCATATTTTATACATGAAGGGATCCAATGTTTTCAACAACTTAAGGGACAAGATGACTAATACATCAGACTTGCTAAATCAGACTATTTTTTTGTGTGTACTGGCAAACCTGAATAAAACACATTGTAACATCAGGCAACACATAATTTAACAGTACTAAAAACCATTAAAAAACAAATCTGTATACAGTGTCAAATCTTTTCAAAAAGACATATTATTTAAAACAATCTATTCACATCCTTAAAGTTAACGAAACATTGTCATAAGTTTCACATGCATAACACTATTATACAAGGGAGAGAAAAAGAGGGGGGTCAGGGTGGAGAATAGAAAAGAATAACCATTAAAAAAATTCTTGATGTCACTATAAAGTTGGTTGATCAATCTCTGAGCTTAACATTCTACACCCACCAAAGCAAATATTAAGCTGAGCAGTGATGAAAAACACAACAAAAAAACATTGATATGTGTAAACTTAACACATTTTAACACATCTATGCTGCAGTTATGAAATCATTTAATTTTTTTTAGAATCGAATAATGAATGATTTTGCAGAAAAGCAAATGCTGCTAAAGCATAGTCATATGTACCAGTATTGCATTATTACTAAGGTCAAGCTATGATCACAAGACTGCTCACCAGTTTTGTAAGCCTTCAAATCCTTCTATTTACTATGGTCGTGCCAAAGCATTGTAAAAAATTACGCTGCAATATGTTTTAGCCCAGTCATGTTGAAAATTTGGGTAGAATGTTTGAACATTATGAGATCTATGACTTTCATTTATTTAAAATTTTCACCAATAAAAAATTTTCATCAGGGCAGCTGCAACTCTGTCTCAAATTACACACTATGCCAATGTATGAGAGTTTTTTTTTGAGATCTGCAGTCAGCATGTTAAATTTCCTCAATGATGTTAAAAGCCATATGGGTTACCATATATTTGTTATGCCAACAATATTACAGAGTATATAATTTAAAATACCGATGGATTATAAAATGGAAAACATAAAATTGAAACATTAATTCTTCATAATGTATATTGTTTGTCAGTCGAAATCAGCTATGACCACCTTAATCATCTCATATGCCAATTGTGAACTTGGCTGTGGGTTCCCAGATGACTGATAAGGCTGATTCTGGCACGAAATGTTCTTGTGCAATAAGTGCAGGGAATTGATGGGACATCTCCAGGTGCAGAGTTAAACGGAGCTTCTATGGCATGTCTTTTGTGCTCAGCAGCCGCTACCATGTTGGCTTCATGCTGTATAGAGTCTCTGTGTACAGAGGAAGGCAACGATGCTTAATCCTTTTCCGCTTTTTCCCCATGTGTGACTTTAAGGGTGTCTTTAAAGTGTTTCTTCTGACCACCAGACAACCGCCTTCCATGCTCAAGCTGACCATAGAATATTCTTCTGTTCAAGCGGTCGTCTGACATTTCCACAGCTTGTCCCCTCCAGCAAAGCTGGGACTGCATTTTAAGAAGCACTCACCCCATGAGCACAATGAATCAATGATTAAATTACACTCATTGCAGTCTGTCAATACATTAACTAATCTTTTTTTGTAGAGGTCAAATTGCTATTTTAATTTACCTCTACAAAGCTTCATGAATAGTTTAATTGCTCATTTTTATTAAACTTGTCACTGGCAAAGTGTTCTTTAGTCAGTAATGGAATTATAGGGGGTGTTTAACAACACAGAATTGCTGGTTTTTATAGCTGAAAAATTACACTAAAATTTTTGTAGTTTAAAATTGCTAAGTTGATCACCATTTTTTTTATTAATGAGCTGAAAATTAAACTGTGCAATTTATTCTAAACAACTTTCCTTTGGATCAGTACAAGAATCACATCTTAGCTTATCTTACACAATAAGCTCACAAAAATTATATGATTTAACCAACAGTTAGGTAATAAATACTATTAATAATTTCAGTCAAATTAGTCAAATTGAACAAAGTGCAAACTGAACAAAAAAGGTCTGATACTTGTTTGATGACTGAAGTGTAGCAAAGTTAAATAAATTGGTTTAAAGTTTGTTTCATTGAATTAAGTGGCTCTGTGTTAAGATGGGCAGATTAAATGTTGTTAACATGACTACAAACAAGATTTGTTTGAGTACACTATTTATAATTGTCGTTTTACACTTTAAATGTACACAGGACAAATTATGAAAAATTTTTTAAAATATTTTAAAATGTTACATGCTAAGATTTACATAAATCTTATTACACAGTTTTTTTTTTTTTAAGGAGGGGGGGGGGCGGGGCAACCTGTTCTTTAAGTAAAATGTGTAATAAACATTTTGCCAGCATTTCCACTTTGGGAGAATGGATGACATCATCTGACTTGCTATGCAAATATTTCCTAGATTAGCAGCATTGATTATACCTTGCTTGATAAAGGATACATTGCAAGAGCAATAGCGGCAGAGGTCTTTATTTCTTGTATAAGTACATATGTTTCTCAATAAAATTCTCAGAGTTAATTTTATCAAATGGTGCCACCTGAACAGTGAACTGAAAATATCTCACAAGTTTTCCAATAAACTGGTTCCAAAGCTGCTACAGTAGTTAATAACATGTTTATAATCTAATAGAGCCTGACAGATTATAGATACCAGAACATACAAATCATTCTCTGACAATAATTCATCAGATGAAACTTCTACGTAGTACCAGATACATCATTGGTCAAAACTAATATGTAGCACCAGATAAAGCATTGGTCAAAACTTCTATGTAGCACCAGATAAAACAATTGTCAAAACTTCTATGTAGCCCCAAACAAATAATTGGTCAAAACTTCTATGTAGCACTAGATAAATCATTGGTCAAAACTTCTATGTAGCACCAAACAAATAATTGGTCAAAACTTCTATGTAGCACTAGATAAATCATTGGTCAAAACTTCTATGTAGCACCAGATAAATCATTGGTCAAAACTTCTATGTAGCACTAGATAAATCATTGGTCAAAACTTCTATGTAGCGCCAGATAAATCATTGGTCAAAACTTCTATGTAGCATCAAATAAATCATTGGTCAAAACTTCTATGTAGCACTAGATGAAGCATTGGTCAAAACTTCTATGTAGCACTAAATAAATCATTGGTTCAAACTTCTATGTAGCACTAGATAAATCATTGGTTGAAACTTCTATGTAGCACTAGATAAATCGTGTGGTGAAAACTTCTATGTAGCGCCAGATAAATCATTGGTCGAAACTTCTATGTAGCACCAGATAAATCATTGGTCAAAACTTCTATGTAGCACTAGATAAATCATTGGTCAAAACTTCTATGTAGCACCAGATAAATCATTGGTCAAAACTTCTATGTAGCACTAGATAAATCATTGGTCAAAACTTCTATGTAGCGCCAGATAAATCATTGGTCAAAACTTCTATGTAGCATCAAATAAATCATTGGTCAAAACTTCTATGTAGCACTAGATGAAGCATTGGTCAAAACTTCTATGTAGCACTAAATAAATCATTGGTTCAAACTTCTATGTAGCACTAGATAAATCATTGGTTGAAACTTCTATGTAGCACTAGATAAATCGTGTGGTGAAAACTTCTATGTAGCGCCAGATAAATCATTGGTCGAAACTTCTATGTAGCACCAGATAAATCATTGGTCAAAACTTCTATGTAGCACTAGATAAATCATTGGTCAAAACTTCTATGTAGCATCAGATAAATCATTGGTTGAAACTTCTATGTAGCACTAGATAAATCATAAATGAAAATTGTCATCTATTTATGCCATCCGAAATCTATTCCAGAATAACATATTATTCACGGATACTCACTCGGTGCTGGATGTCCACCAGTTCAATGACACGGATAGGTCCATCCATGCTGACACGGACCGACACACACCCCGAGCCAGGTCTCAACTTTTGCCTTGAGATGAGCATGTGTGGGGGTATGTTGCTGCCATTAGCTGCCTCTGTCTGGTCTGGTTTCTTATCTTTTTGATCAGGGTCAGGTCCTGGACCTAGCACAACTATGGCACCTGAAAGAATATAACTACTTATTTTTTAAATTGTTTTTTAAACTATATGCTTGTTAGTATGGTTCTTCATGTATCTATCTTTGTTAATCCAATTCCCAAAAATTAAGTATTTCATCATAAAGCTCTTATAGTCTTGTCACTTTATGTTTCATTAGTCATAAACTTTATCCATTTCTTGATATGTTTTGTCTTTAGTTTTTAAAAATTGATACAAAATATTTAAAATCTTCATTTAAACAAAAATTGAATAATAGTAAAACTGAAATTTGAAGTTAATTCCCCTTGTTCTAGGACTAAACTACAGTTAATAGTTAAAAAATTAAGGAGCCCTGGAGAATGATTTAATATACAAAGTAGGCACCACTGTACATCACAACATACACTAAAGTGTGCTATAAAAAACAAAAACTGATCAGTGAAATCCTTCAAAAAAATGTTTTTTGTTGGTTTGAATATCACAGTAAATTTGCAAAGCAGACGGAGGGTAAGGCACAGCTCCTGAGTTCTCATTACGTGGCAACACTAAAGTTGTTAACTTAATGTGTTTCAGTAATGATATATTGCTATGGAACTTTTTCCAAGTAATTAGGGGTCAAATAATTGCCCTATTATGCTATAATTATAAGTTCCTGAAGGGTTCCTGGCTTGCCGACCCAGAGAAAAATCTATAGATATAAGAGATCTATACACATACAATTTTATGCACATCACATTTAATGACAAAAAATTGCTGGCAATGGAAGACCCCCCCCCCCCCNCCCCATAATGTGACAATGTACAACTGTGTGCTAGAGCAGTACATAAGTTCACAGAAGTAAACAAACTATATTTTAAAAATCTACTAGCCAATTACCATCTTGCACTCCTTTAATGCCACCAATACCCTGGACACACATGGAGCCAGCATGGCAGCACAGTTGACCATGCTGGGAAAATTAAATCATTAGATTAGCTATTAAGTTTTGGAAAAATATTTCACATTATTGTTTTCTTCCATAAATACACCATGCTTTTCATGCAAAATTTCACAAAGAAAACTTAAGTTAAATTAAAACCATTTCAGTATTCCTCAAAGATTATAATGGTATCAAGCAGAAAATTTAAGTTAAATTAAAACCATTTCAGTATTCCTCAAAGATTAAAATGGTATCAAGCATAAGGAAAGTAAATCAGTATTATTTTTAATATAAACCTGTTATACTTTTTCACATCTAGGTAGGATAATACTTGCTTTTCCTTCTTACCTCTTCAATAAGGAAGTTTATTTTTAAATCACTTGGGTAAACACCCTTTTGTTGTTTTTTATTCCTCACCTCAGTGAATCTCCAGGTTTGTGTAGATCTGCGCCTCTCATCTGGTTTTCTCAGAATGAGCGGCACAGGATGACCTGGTCTTGGAGCCAAGTCAGCAATGTCAAGGACAAGGCCGGGCTCTGTATTAGCATTTGGGCTCCCTGGAGTTCGAGGGGGCATTGACCCCTCATGCTCCAACATTCCTGAGCCTGTCATGCGCCACAACTGGCTGCGCTTGCTTTTTTCCTGGTAATAAAATAACCATGTGAGTTATAGTCTATTAATAATTTAGGAGTCCAGAAATGGCAATGACACTAAACATGGATGAATCCAACTTATCACTTCTGCTCTGATGTTAAAAAAACTGTTGTTTCCCCCATAATGTTGTTCAACTTATTTGAGAAATATTCACTAATAAATTTATATTAAAATAGTTTTCCCTTTCTTTCAACTTGCTTAAGACCATGTTTTGTTAAAACTGTATGGGATCAAGGATATACCCAACAGTTAATAGACTTTAAAAAATATTTATTTTCATGAAAATTTCCTGTAAATGAAAATAAATTTTCAGGGTCAAATTTTAAATTGATCTACAATCAAACATCTCGTATAATGGTGCGTCCTTACCTTCTTTTTGAAGACGATGTTATTGTTGTGGACACAATCAAGTACAAGCTCTGACACATGCTCTGGCCAGCTCCTAAGGAAGACATTATACATACAACTTAAGTAAATCATCAGCACTTGGACAGCAGATTTAGGTCAGTGAATCAAACACACTTCAAAAAATTTCATGGTTCAAAAAATTATTTTCTAGTATTTATATAGTTCATCCCTCACATGGATGATCAGCAGTGATTCTTTTGTCTCACTGTGCTCTTACGCCTTCCACATCGCAGGAGTTGTCAGAGTTTTCTTTGCCTCATAGCGCCTATAGGTTTACTTTCAGAGTTTGCCTTCTCTTAGATGAGATGACATACCCGGAGGGCTGCTGCTGTTGTTGTTTATGCTTGTCTAGGCTCGAGATTGAACTCCAGTTCACAAGCTGGGATTGACTCAGTTTAAACCACTTGGCCACCCAGCACACTTATTGGCCAGTAGCTAGTAAGTTATATTGACAATGTTTTTTTTTTTTTTTTTTTTTTTTAAACGTTAACTCTATGCAGCTAGCTATGATCTCTCTTTTTTCTGTTAAAACTAAATGATTATGTGACAGTACAGACCTGTCAAATGTTGCCGTTGCTGCCAAGTAGATGAAGTTCTCATAGTGAAGCTGTTCCCCCTCCTGCAGCTTGTCCAAGGTGTAGCTACCAGTGGTTCCTCCCAAGATGCTCAGTGTAAGCTTCAGTGGCTTCAGTGTGGGCTCATCCCAAGCATAAGGTACTAGGGGATAAGCAGTTAGGTCAGTTAATTATTACAGCTTATCTGCATTATTTCAAAGTAATCCATATAGTTGGCTACTCCCAAATGCATACTTAAATTATGCTTATAAAATATTCTAAAATACTAATTTAACATTCTTTTTTAACGTTGACAGAGAGTTAAATATAATTTTTTTAAAAATCTTTATCGTCTTGGTATTCTTCATGTTTTTCTAATGGGCTTCATAATGCAAAAAATCCATGGCTTTAGCTCAGTTAAATTGATTGAGCTTAGTAAGAAATTTCAATAGCCATCCATTCTCTTGTTAAAACTTAGCTTAAAGGGACAGTAGTCAGAGTGAGGATAGTTTTGATTGTTTAATTGCTGTTGTGTTGTTGTTGCTTTGATTAATACGGGCAGACTTACTGGAAGAACGAGGCTGTATGAAGGTCTTGAGTTTATCTTCAGTGTCTGACTGATAGTAGAGTACAGGGACCTGTGATCACGAGGGTAGATTTAATCAAGTCATTGATTAAAATATTGGAAAAAAAATGTCTTACGGAGTGTGCTCTTTTGAAGCGATAGCACCAAAATTATGGAACAGTTTGCCTCAATCTTTGAGGGGAATCGTAAATGATAAAAGATCATTTAAGAAACATTTAAAAACTTTTCTGTTTAAATAGCTTTAAGTAAACCAGAGCGCAGTAAGCATGCTAAAGTAGCATGGATACCAGTGCTATATAAATATCCAATCAATCAAACCAACCACATGTGGTCGTTTTTATGGTTTTAACTCTTAGAGATCCCTCCCCCCCCCCGACCTCCTGGAGAAAAGGGGCCCCAAATACACTTACATCACTCAGGTTATCAATAGTGCTATATAAATATCCAATCAATCAAACCAACCACATGTGGTCGTTTTTATGGTTTTAACTCTTAGAGATCCCTCCCCCCCCCCGACCTCATGGAGAAAAGGGGCCCCAAATACACTTACATCACTCAGGTTATCAATGCGGAAAGGGGGTGGCATGACATCCGCATTGGCAAATACAATGAAGAATGTCGGTCCTTGTTGCACGACTTCAACCTTCAGGAGGTGGCAGATGCCATTCAGATCTCTGGAGATGGCAAAATGATATTAATCATACTCTACAGTTAAGGAAGACACCAAAAGTTTGTCAGTACTTTGTACATTTTTTAGGCATCTTAAAAGGTGTACAGCCTTACATTTGAATTTTGTATGGTTTGTCTAGGATTTTTAAACTCAACATAACTCAATAAAATAATTTGTTTAAATGTTTTGCATAAGACATGATAAATTCATCATGTAAAAAGGAAGTGTAAATGCTATTTGTCAGTTCAAAATGACCATGACCTAATATTTGGATAGGTAGGCCTTTTAAACATAAAATTCAAACGAGCTCGGCCAGTATCTACTTATTATACTGGTAGCTATTACAGGAATCCTTACGATAGTGGCTACTTTGAGAAGTAAACGGTAATTAAAAATCCTTCTTGCAATAATCTTAGCAAAAACTGCGGTGTCAGTAATTAGTTTTTTTAAATTTCTGTCCAATGATTTAAGATTTTTAATGTCACTAACAATGAATAGCTTTATTATAATAATAATAATAATAAAGTTTATTTGAAAATCACGCTTTATCCCCAAATGCTCAAAGTATCTATGACTGCTGCTGGAAGTAATTACACCACTGCTAAATTCAATGTGACAGGAATAACATTTTCTAAAACTAAAGCAGGTGCGATTTTATTCATTGTACAATTAGGCCTATATTTTATTTAAAGCCCTCATGTGTTTGTTGTATAATATTGTATGTTGTATATTGTTGTCTCCTTTTTTTTCAAAATTATTTTCCTCCAGCTGGAAACTTCCAATTAAGTGTGTAAACCTAATTTTTGTTAAAAAGGAAGTTGAAATGAGACACGCATCAGGGCGAGTGAATAACCTGGAACAGATGCTTCATCAACCGTACCATCACACTTTTAACTGCTTGCTTCAGGCTATTATGAAACTGAAGCATCTTTTAAAACATAGTTGCACAAATGAAAACTTTGAGGCAATGAAGGGGAGATACTGCCTCTTTTAAATCCTTCTTTTCTCTGCCCCATCAGTATCATGTAGATAATCTATCTCACAAAGTTGCAAGGGCAGGAAGTCTTATTAGCAAATTTCAGTACAATCACATCTAGTTTACATTGCCATAAAACACTTTTGTTTGGATTTTCAAACTAAGCAAGAAATTATGAAGAAGGCATGCATTCAAAAAATTGATAATTAAAAAAGTTATAAGATATACCTCTTTGGGCCTTTCATTTTTCTTTCTGTACAGATTTTAATCCTGTTGTACAATTTTTTAAAATACTTTTTGTACAGTTTTTGATGAAGTCTTAAGACATTCATTTTCATGGAATTAAAAATTTAAAAATTTGTTTTTTAACCATGATTGATTTTATCAATCATTTAATGTGTCTTCTTTGATCAGCGTAAAAGCAACTAATATGTGAAGAAAGACAAAGGTTGGCATTTTTTGTGTGTAAACTTAGCAACTTTGAAAGAGCCAATATGGCAACATCCATTGACAACAGATGATAACCTGACCTCATGTTGATGTGGAAAGAGTTGATCTTGTCAATGTTGAAGCCCCCTGACCATCGGCAATGGTCGATATCCAGTATTTTAACACACAGCAGCTGGTCAAGGTCAACTCTCGGCCAGTGGAAGGAAAGAGAGGACTGTGGGAAGGCTATCAGGCAGTTCTGTTGAGGAGCCTAGGTAACAATTGTATGATGATTAATTCTATAAGAACATCTGCTGTTTTGGTTGGCTACATAATTATTTCCTTAACACATGAAAAAAAAAAAAAAAACCCTACAAATTTGATTGTATTAGCTTGACCTATTTCTATATGCAAATACTGAATACAGAGTTGAAGATGTGAATCTTGAGAACCACTGAGTTGTTTCAACTGCTGTCAAAAATTTCTAAAGAGGTTTAACAAAAAGAAGATGTAATCAACTGTTCAAGATAATAAGCAAATTAGTTGAAAACTTTAGCGAGTGCTGCTTTCTGGACAAATGTTTTTCCTTCACGCTGCCATAAAAACACTTGAAGCCATGCAAGCAGCAACAATGATGAGGATGCCTCAGGGAATTAAAAATATTTGTTTCAAAAAAGCAAAAACTTGAAACTCTCTTGATAATACCTCTTTACTGGTCATAAATTTCTGGGCAATGGCCAGCTTGAATCCTGACTGGTTGTCCAGTATGAAGTGGGGTGCAAAGGTCACAATGTTGGTTCCCCTGTAACGTCCTCTGCCAGGGGTGACTTGTATACCAATGTTGTAAACCCTGTGAGTTATAAAAGTATCTATAGCCGACAAAAAAAAATCAACTTGAGATCTTTGAGCACTTCATGAAAATTAAAACCAGCATGCAACCTCTTTTTTTTTTTTTTCCTATGTATGGTTCTAAGATAATAGAGCATAAGAAAAAACATAATTTGAAATATATATTTAAGACATTTAAACTAACTTAAGTCAAAACTTGAATGGTTTTCTTTTTTCTTTGTGGCCAGACAATAGCTGTCATTTGTTGAAGTAGAATTTATCCCCCACCATTTAATTGTGATTTAAATATTGTGTCTTGTGTTGACGTTAAAAAAAAATTTCACTGTGAAAAATCTTAAGAAAAAATAAATAATTTAAGATGTAAATTAACTTGTCCGTGGATTTTATATGTTGAAATCTTGTCTTATGACCACATCTACAAGGCAAGAGGTAGCTTGCTCCAAGTGAATATGGTGGAAAATTCATGCCCATCGGACCAGTGTTTTTATCTTTGAGTCTTGATCTGAACAGTTTACATAATAATCACATCCAAATTTCTTTAAAACATTATCCTCTTGGAATAATCATATCAACAACCGCAATATTGAAACACAATATGTAACAATAAAAGTTTACAATAATTTCTTATTGTAACTGTAAAAATATTTTACAATGAGCAGAGAAATATTTTCATAATGATCAACGTATAAAATGGGGAACTATACTTATTTAAAAAAAATAAAAAGATATAGCAAATTAAATGAATACAACCAATAAAGAAATCTTATAAAGAATACCCAACAGTGTTTCTCAACCTGTGTTCACAGGTGCCCTATGGCTCCACATGAAATCACAAGGGATTTCACAGGAAAGAGAATGAATATAAAAAGACAATGAAAAATATGAATGATATATAAAACATTTTATGACAAGGTTCCATGAGACTTGAGCACTATTTTGAGGGCCCTGCCTAGATTTTTAAAAAATGTTGAGAGAAACTGCAGTACAATGGCGGTGTGAAATTTAATCAAAACTTACGGTTTCCATTAAGCCCTCTCTCTATGGATAAGCTCAATAAATGTATTCGTTTTTTTTACATATAAATATATGTGTGTGTATATATATATATATATATATATATATATATATATATATATATGTGTGTTTCTATAGAAAATATATAATATGTTAAAAAAATTTATATCTCAGTATTTTCTCTCTCTATAGATAAGCTCAATAAATATATTTGTTTTTTTTATATATAAATATATGTGTGTGTATATATATATATATATATATATATATATATATATATATATATATGGGTGTTTCGCAAGAAGCAATTTACAATGTTAAAAAAATTTAATTCCCAGCATTTCTCTAAATTTAAAAGCAAAAAGACAGCAATGTGTTTCACATGGAATTAGTCAAGCAATGCAATATATAATAATATTCTTTTGGACAAGAAAGCCTTTTAGTGCTGTGCTTTGACAGAACAACTATATGTGTTTTTAAAAACTGTTTAGGCCAACCATCTATCTGCCTATATAAACCTAATCAACCCCGCCACATGCCCTCACTCCCATAAGCATACACCCAGGGGGGAAGGTAGTACAAACCCTATACCACAAAAGCTGGCCCTCTTTCACAGTTAACTCTTCAGGCCGATTAAAAAACAACACAAACATGTAAAAAAAGAATTTTCTATTTGCCTGTCGGTTATCCAACCAATGTTAACTCTTTTTCTTGGACAAAATTGAGTGGAATCAGAAATGAATGAATTCCACAGAAAAGATTTATTTATCACACTCCTGATTCTGCAATCATTTCTTAACAGATTCATTTTCAGTGAAACAAAAGGGGATTTGCCCAGTTAGAAATGAGAAGTTTAGACCAAAAATGAAAAAACCCTTTAAAATTACATGCACCAGATGTTCTTAAAATAAGTCAAAAAAGAATTTATTTTTTTTAATGCTTGAAAGTTATTAAATACACAACACAAATAGTCTTTTCCATATTTCTGATTAAAACAAACTTGTCTTCTGGCAAATGTAAGCAGAGTTATCTTCGCTTTATTTACCAAGCACCAGTTCAAAATTCAGCATCTGTAATATTTTAAGACATCTTCCAGTGCTTTTGTTATAAAGTTTGTTACCTCACATGCAGCAGTAATTCTTTTCATCTACTGTACAGACAGTGCCAAGGCCTAGTATTAGTACTACTTTTAACATCTACTGGTGTCACCACTAGAGCAGAAAAGACCCACATTCCAACTGGGGGGAGATAATTCAGATCAACTTACAACACATCACTACCAAACGATTTTTGTCGCAGTATCCGCTGCACGCGGTACTCTGACTTTACTAACCAGTCTGGCCTGCTGGCATCATGTTGGATGACGTGAAGTGCCTTCTTTATTGTTCCACCGTCCAGAGAGAAGCGTGTACTCCTGAAATCAAGATGGATAATCTGGTCAAGTTTTAACAAAAACAAAATCAGCCCCAAAACTAACAATTTTTAAAATTAAGTTTAAACCCCCCCCCCCCCCCCCCCCCCCCCCCCAATCAATTCCCAACTTTCGTCTTTTTCTTCTTTTTTTTTTAAATTAAATTTTTTAAATTGATAAAAGAGTAAAGGTTTGAATTTTACCAAAAATGCCAATGGCAGTGTATAACAATCTAGTTGGAAATGTTTTGGCAAAGTAAAAGAATTAAAAAGTAAGAATTTTGCAAATATTATTTCGCTCTTTGAAAAGGTAATTTCAGACTTCAATTTACCCTTCATTAATTTTCTAAGATAATTCAATACTTAAATTTATGTTTTAAATTCATAGCTGTTCAATTAGACTTTGCTCTGACGGTGAAAGAAATAAAAAAAAAATGTTAAGGTGTAGACAGGTTGTTTGAACTTATTTTATTATAAATAATATTTGTATTCTTCAAACAATATCTAAAAAGCACTTTGTTAGTTGAATAGAATCTCACTCACCATTGTGGTCGGGCTGATGGCCCATGAACTGATGTACCCAGTCTCATCTGACAGCTGAAAGCATCAACATACTTAATATGAGCCCTAAAAATCATGATGACATTAAATTATGTCATAATCAAAAAGCTTTCGCAGAAACTAAAAAAAAAATTTAATTTATTAAAAGATTTTCTAAATTCTTTAGTGATAAACCCACCAAAAAACTTACTAATTTAACTCTCTTATTTGAGATCTTCTTTTGTTTAAAGCTTGAGAACCACTGATTTAAATAAATCTATATAATTTCTGCTGTGTTTGAGAAAGTAATAATTATCTTATCTTATTCATAAATATAACGATAATCAAGACACAAAGAAATAAGATTTTTTTTCATAATAAAATATAGTGCACAATTACAATTAGAGAAATGACCAGACTTGCAAAATATTATTTTTTTTTGTTTCCCCATAATGCGAATCAAAATATATTCAAATTATATTACAGAAACATTAACACATGAAGAATTTAGTTCAACTTTTGATCAATAAATACAAGATCTGTTATTTGACTGAAGACTTAACAAAGCATTTGAGTTTCTCCTAAAAATCACGTCTTTAATAGTTGCTTTTACTGCAGAGCTAGTATTTTAAATTCAATGTGAATAAATGATAGTCTCACAGATTGACTTCCTCTACATCTGCAAAGCTGAATAACAGAGGAGTTACACTGCGGGCTTGCTCATGCTCCTCAAACTGTCCCGCTGCTATGGCCTTGCAGCCATCTTGCTTGAACACTAAAGGCAGACCTGTCTTGTTGACCAACCAAAACTGAGAGGAGATGGTCATCTGCAAACATAATTTACCAGTTAATTTTAAATCATGTGGTGTAACCATTCATTTTTTTTAAAACTGACATGTGTCCACATGCGCCCCGGAACAGAACGACACACCTCTCTCATTTTTTATTTAAAAATAGCCACAAAATGTCGTGTCCCTCACATGATTTCAATTTGGGAAAAAAACTTTTTATCTTGTTTCACTTTCAATCTATGTGTGCTTTAGTAAGGTGCGTCTATATGTAGCATGTATTCATCTGAGCTGACAAATATATTTTTTTTGGTCATTGTCAAAACTCCTACCGTCTTCTTGGATTGATTACATTCGTCAGTTCTTTTCATACGTTGAAGCGTGGTACTATTCCTACTATCATCAAACAAACTCAACTCCTTTTCATAATAACTATAACTTTAATATCTAAGTAAATATAATACACATAACATGTGAATATAGCGCAGCTCGCTATCAGACCTAAATAATACACATCCTATCACTCCAAAGTTCCACTCAAGACTGCCGCACGACTAAAACATACGTCACAATACTGCATAGACAATATGTCACGAATCAGCATAAAAATACGTCATAGAGACAATGGCGGGAAGAGCGTTCACTAACTATAATAGTCAAGCGCGGGAAAAGCGTTCAACAACTAATTAATATTGAGTCGCAACAATTACTAATGAACGCTCATACTCGACAGTCATCGCGCATTATTTGTTCGCAATTAATGTTATATTTTTATTCAACCTTCTTCATTTCTGGATGTATTTAGCCTTAATTCATATATATTAATTGATATTTTGCAGCTAAACAAATATTTTGTAATGTAAATCAATTGCAAAACAGAGTTACTTCCCTTTGTTCAAGACTATAAATTAAGTGTGAAAGTAGCACTGCCGTTTGGAACGAGTAAAAGAGAATCCAAAGTCTGTAAAAGGCAGAAACAAGTAAGTGGGTGGGCTGCCTCGGCCAGCAAAAAATATCCAAGTAGATCTCTAGAGAGCATGTTTTTTCTTACCATTATGGAGCCCCTTTTCAGCATGCTGATGCGGACAATAAGCTTGAGCAATCTGTTCTGACTGTCGAAGATGCGAAGCAAGGCCTTCTTGTGGTTGGAAACATTTGGTGGAACAGTCAGTTCTTTACACTGAGGGAAGTTCTCCAGATGGATGCCAAGATCGAAGCTTTGACTTACATCAACCTGCAGATAGAGTTTAAATTCAGCTTGTGCTGGGAAAATCTAGTGGGTATGGAAAAATGGAGACCAAGGCAAATAACAGGACAAGTTATAGCCGTTTGTGACCGTACATGATGGGGTAATGTTAGGGGCTAGTAAGAAAGGTGTTCTAGACACTTTGTTCTGTGGCTATTATACAGGGGTCCGACCTCTAGGCAAACGTACCATGTGTCACACATAACACAAGGCTTTATAAATTAAGATGACAAAGTCTCCAGAACAGGCCCATACCCCATGCAACGCAGCTTGTTTCCCAGCTTTTAGGTTTCCTGAGACTCCTGTGCCTTTTAAGTAATAGTGAAGCTCCAGGGGTAACAGGTTACAGATGGACAATGGCGGCAGGAGGGTCAGTATGTGTCCAGGTAGTGTTGGGGTTATGTACCCATGGCTGAGGTTCTGTGAAGTGGAACTGACAGACATATGAGCTTCTGGGAACTTCTGTCTCGTCACACACACAAAGAATCTGGAAAAGTTTAGCATTAAAGTTGTGTTTTCTGTAAGATAAATTTTAATTCTAGTTCTCCATAAAAAAATAAACATCTAGTGCTCAATGTAATGTACTGGATGCCAATCTATATTTATATAATTCGCCAGCAAAGGTCCAACACCAACACGGTTCAAACACCACGCAGGCTATTTATAGATATGCCAGAGTGTGGTTCAATAATGAGTTCACTAGCGCGCAAAATATAATGCCCGATAACTACGCTATATATGATATATATTTTTCTTTAATAACGCAATTGCGTTTGGTGCGTAATATTTTCCTTTTGGAAATGAAATCGTCTCAATTTAAGTATTGTGTAAAAAATATTCGGTTTAAAAGTGGTTGGGACATGAGAATATTAATATAGTTAATGAGTGTGAAATAAAAAGTGTGCAGTGACGTATCATGAGGGAAGGGGTATAGCAAATATTGGGATTCTTAAATGTGCGTTACTTGAGTTCATGTTTTGTCAAGTAAAGTTACTAGATGGGAAGATATTGTTATTAAATTTTGATAGTTTGTGACGTATTGCGCGAAAGGGGCTATGACGTATTGCACGAAAGGGGATATGACATATTATTATTGTGTAGTGTGGTCTTGTGAGTAATGGCAGTTCAAGATGTAGCTTAGTTGTGTAATAAAGATATTTTATTGTAAGAATATATAGTTTGTGAAGTGAACCATCTGTTGGTCTCTAGACATGCGCACTGTGGTGGAGCTACCGCCCCCCCTCCTGCTTTCCCTCTTTCTTTGCGAACATGGCCACCGCATATATATAGATAGTTCACGGGCCTGAAATAAAATGTGTGTGGTGACGTATCTTGTGCGTTTGGGGGGTGATGTAGCAAAAATTATGAGTCTTAGATAAGCGTTACTTGAGTTCATGTTTTGTCAAGTAACTTTAGCAGATGGGAAGTTCACGCATTGCTGCCACCAATGTTTGGCGGGCTATAACTAGTAAGTTATAATAACCCCACTTTTGTCCAACTGCACACCCTTCACATTTTATACACATGGCAACTGCACACCGTTCTCATTTTATACACATGCCAACTGCACACCGTTCTCATTTTATACACATGCCAACTGCACACCGTTCTCATTTTATACACATGCCAACTGCACACCGTTCTCATTTTACACATGCCAACTGCACACCGTTCTCATTTTATACACATGCCAACTGCACACCGTTCTCATTTTATACACATGCCAACTGCACACCGTTCACATTTTATACACATGCCAACTGCACACCATTCACATTTTATACACATGCCAACTGCACAGCCTTCCCATTTCATACAGATCCTCGTGCAAAACTATTCAACTGTAAAGGACATCAAACTTTACACACTATCCAACAGCCAAAAAAATATTCATACAAAATCGTAACACACTTCTTGCTGACCCTGACACTATCAAGGTATTCTCATCCCCTCCACTGATTGTCTTCCGATGGGACAAAAACCTAGGTGACCTTCTGGTTCATAGTCGCCTTTGAGCTGACCCGTCTTATATTGGAACTAAACCATGCTCAAGAAGCCGATGTAGGACGTATCCCTATACACTCAAAAAAACAACATTAGCCTCCCTAAAGGTACCTTTACCATCAAAAGGGTTTACATGTGATAGTCGGAATGTGATTTATTTGATTGTGTGCCGTAGATGTCATTCTAGTTATATAGTCGAAACAGGGAGAAAGTTCACAGAACAGCTTCGGGATATTGAACAAGGTAAACTTTCCCCAGTCTCTTCACACTTCAACAGAGAGCAACATAAAGGTGCATTAGATGTTTCCATTATGGCCCTACTTTCTTGCACAAACACAACAGAGAGAGTGAAAATGAAAAACAAAATTATTTAGTTTTTTGGTACCATTTCTCCACATGCTATGAATCAAATACTCTCTTACTAATGTTTCTTAATTTCCCTGTATTTCTTCATCATATTTTTTTTTCTTATTCCTTAGATTTTGTGTATCCCTAAATATTTTGGTCCCTCAAGATTCTTTACCTTATTTTTCACAGTACCAATATTTATATTTTTTTCACTTCCTGTAATCCTACTTCCGGCAACAAAAGGAAAGCTCCCAAGTTTTTTTTACTGTGATCTGATAATTGTTATTCTTATTTTTGTCTTGTTTTCTGATGAAAGCTCTAAGCCGAAACGTCAAAATCTTTTGTTCTGTCATTGAATTCAAGTCTAGCAGTTCTTATATTTTCTTTTCCAACTCCACAAACCATCCAACTCCATATAACATCCAACTCCACAAACCATCCAACTGCATGCAACCTCCAAACACACACCCTCAACTCTACACACCATGCACACACCTCCCCAACTCCACACACCATCCAAATGCACACATCTATCCAAAAGCACTCACCATGCAACTGCACCCACCATCCTACAGAACACACCCTTCCAACTGCACACACAGTCTGTGTGCACACAACATCCAAGACAGTCTTACCTGTATTCAGATTTCTCCGGACCTAGGATCTCACAGGTCCTTATCCCATCCGGCTTGTCCCCTGATGTCTTAACATGCTGCCAGTCAAGGGGCTTTTTACAAAAGTGAACAGGCAGATCACATGGCCTGGCCCTGATTCTCATGTTGATATAATGCAGGGGCACCGGCAAGGCTGTGTTGATGGGAACTGTCATACACTGGTAGTGACCTGGGCATACAACATTCTAGTAGTCAGTGAGAAGCCAATTGTTAAGTGTTCAAGTTTAGAGTCTTTAAGGTTGGCAAACATTTCCTTCCACCACTGTGAGGGCCATCTTAGCTGAACAGTGTTTTGCTTGTGACCCTTGCTCTATCTGGCAGTCAGTAAGGACTCTTACAAAAGCGGCAACCCTTACAGATCTTTGGTAAGTGACTTATTTATGTTCTAGATTAAGATTTTAGTACATATTATACCTTAGAACTTTGTTGCACCAAGCTTGCTAAATTTAAGAGAAGAATGAATTATTATGTGTATAGAAAGCTAATAAATACACATTTTTCTTTTATTAAACTCTGAAGGAACAAAGATTCAGAATGGAGGAAGTACAATCAAAACATGGGAGACAATTTGAGCAAGATAGTTTAAAGAAACCACAAACTAGTAGTCTGACCTGATTCATCAGTAGACTCCAGCTTCAGTTCAACTGGGCTGTCCAGTCTGTTGTGTATGACCAGAGCTGACCTTACAATGATCAGCTTCCTTGCACTTCCTTCTTGCTTGACTTCAAATACCACACGCGCAGGGGACAGATTGGGCTGGAGATATTTTTGTTGAAATATACATCATATTTTAGGACTTTTTTAAAATGTCCGTTACAACTCCCAAGATTAGAGAACCAGATCTTGTAAACATTTCTATCGATCTATCAATTTTTGAATTGAGGTTAAGATAGACAAACAAATAAAAATACTTCTTTTTTTTTCTTAAAATTATTAACATAGCATTTTGTAAGAACAATAGAAAATAAGCTTTTTTGAGTAGGAATCTACTTTTAACAAGGAATTCTGGGAAATTTCTGACCAAAAAAAAAAAAAGGACACTTGCTGAAACAATAAATAAGAAATAATTTTAAAATATCTAACTCACTGGTGCTCGATGCTCAGGATCAGCATGTCTAAAATATACGCCAACCTTGTCCACAGAGACTGCCGACAACCGATTCCAACCGTCTATTGTCACAAACAGCTGGTTGACATGCATGGCATGAGATTTCTGTAACAGGAAAGTTACAACCAAAAAATCATTCCTTAGTATACGACATCTCAAAAGGTTTCCAGCTTAATCAGTTGTTTCTTCTTCGTATTTGTTGACACTACACAACTTCTAAAACATTTCTAAAAATTAAAATGTAGTTGATCAAATTTGGTCAGGGTGGGGGTGTGAACCCATGACCTCTGCATTGTCACCATGATCCTCTCTGGCAATTTTTTCCAGTCAACCATTGCACTTTCTTGTTAAGTTTAGATATATGCTAAATTTATTGCCTTCTTTGTCATGGATTTGTCGCATAATGGCGGCAATGTTTATCTCCCTTTCATTTCAAAATACAACTACATATATTCCTTATACATAATAGGTTTATCATATGATTAATGAAAACTCTCGGGGTACATTGGGACATGAGACTAAGCTGCGAGCCCATTTTCAGCTCTCTAGATTAAGTTGGACCAAGAGAAATTTTGCCTTAAAGTTATGGTGTTGATATTGATGAAAGCAGAAAACTAAGCAGAGGCGCTCATTTCAGTTGGACTAAGAGGTTTTAGATCCAAGGAATTCAACAGTTGACAGACAAATTTAATGTTATTTGCTTAGCTTCAAGATGAAAACCAGAAATTGCATATTGACATGCTAAAATATTTTTTTTCACAAGGGGGGAGGGGAGAGATATTTTCAATCTTCAATTTAGTTATATTATGTTACCTGGTGGCGAAGCTTCTCCCGTCCATGAAAATTGATTGGCCGACTCTCCCCTGGGCCCACCCGCTTCCAATCAGTGGCTTGGATATAAGCTGAATCCATCATCTGGGCATTTCCCTCATTGGTAAGACTGATCCATAATAATAAGTAAACCAAGGTCATTGTAAGTACGAATATGTGGCTATGGCTGGTAATCAAAAGTCATTCATAATATCTGATAAAAGTGGGTGTGGCTCAGACTTGAAACGACATTGCAACTGTCATGTTCCAACTTCAGTTTTTTAATATTAAATTTGAGTTCAAAGTTCGACGACTCACTAAAGTTATTTTTAAAATAGATCTCAGTTTTAGGGCACTACAGTCTGAATCACAATTATTTTAGACATGCTTATCCTTTTAGCCATCGATAAACATGTAGGTGATAAAGTGGAGATCGGCCCATGTTTTACAGATAAGACAGACTTTTTCTCTGACAGGACTCACTTGGATGGGGTGTTGGTGGCTGTCAGAAACCACAGTGAACACCCGGTGTCATTCCTGATCATGTACGGGATGAAAGGCAAGCGCTTGTGCTGAGACTGTGTCGGGGCGGCATGCTGCGCAGAACCAGAGGTGCCGGATGGCTGCCTGGAGTGCCTGGTCTTGTCTCCATGCTGCCTGAGGTAATCCTCTGCCCAGTTGTCGCTGGTCTGCTTGTACAGGTCAATCAAGGTGGAGGTCACATTAATGTTGATCATTTCTTTAACTGGAGTGGTTCGGGAAGAAAAAAAAGAATCATTTCACAAATAAAATTAAATGAAGATAAACTCTAAAATACTATTATTAGGAACAAGAATATATGACCCGATATTATCAGGATAATTATGGTAGGTTAACTTAAAAATAAGTATCTAATGATATTTACGTTTCTAACATCATTAAGCTTTGAAAAGTATTTATCTGCTATATATATATATATATATATATATATACACGACTACCCTACTCCCTTTCACACCCCTAAATTAATTTTTTTTCCCTCTAAACATGACCTAAAAATTACCCAATCTAAATAATAACTAATTCTATAACTTTTGTCACTAAAGAAGTTAATTGAGGGGCGATTTCTATGCTTGAGAAATACTTTAGATTTACTCCTTTTTGTGCCCTTGAATTCCAACCTTTTTTCTCTAAAAATTGTTAAAAAACATAATCTTAAATTTACAACAAAAACTCTAAGTCTCATATAAATATATTTTATATTAAAGAATTTGATATATTGATATCTTCATAAAAAATTTAAGCACACTTTTGCCTTGATTTTTTAATTATATATTATCAGAAAATCGTAAAACAAAGAATTCTTTTATCTAAAGAAGAAACTCGAAACAGTTTTTCACGTCTTTAACAGACGTGAGTTTTTAAAAAAAAAATTGTTAAATTGTTAATCTCATAAAAATACACACCCACTTTACTTTTTGCAAGGTAAAAACAAAAATATATTTTCATTTTTAAAAAAAGAAAATATTAACCCATCTCCATTTTTCAAAATTAAATTTTCAAGTGTTTAAAATGATTGGGTTCTGATATTCATGGGTATACTTATATAAATGTACCCACGTTTCGTTAAAAAGCCATTGATTTCTTAATTGGTAAACATATGTTTATTTGTAAAAAAGGAATGTAACATCTCTTTTTTCAAAAATGTAATACAATAGGATTTAAATATATTGTCATCCACGTAAAAATGTACACATCCTATTTCCTACCTTGTATATGTATGTACCCAAGATGGTTAATTATTTATCAAATTCATTTCTTTATTTCGAGATCTATCTTGTGCTGCCTAGGGCAAAATGAACATACCCATATTTGTAAAAAGAGAATGTAACATCTCTTTTTCAAAAATGTAATACCATAGGATTTAAATATATTGTCATCCACGTAAAAATGTACACATCCTATTTCCTACCTTGTATATCTATGTACCCAAGAAGGTTAATTATTTATCAAATTCATTCCTTTATTTATCGTGTGCTGCCTGGGGCAAAATGACACCCCCCCTTTTGAATAAAATTAATAAAATCTTCCACCGGATTGTAGTCCCTTCCAGGGTTTCTTTCAGCTATATCTTCAGGGGGAGGGGGGGCAGATAAATAATATTTTTTGTGTATTTAAATTTATTCAATTTCCGTAAAATAATAGAAAATAACTATGATTGTTTTTAAGAATCCGAACGTATATAAATCTTTCGTTTCTTTGGCGTTACAATCAGCCTAGCTCATGCATATAATATATATATATATATATATATATATATATATATATATATATATATATATATATATATATATATGTATAAATAAGTTCAATAGCTTAAAAGAGACTTTTAATAGTGACACAACTAGTAACTAGTAGCAGACCATAAACCAATGGTTCTAAAAGGGGGCGGTTAAAATGCTCAGTAGATTTAGTGGCTTCTTGGTTTTCCCTAATGGGACACTGGTGCATTCTATCAGGAGACATTTTTCAATAAAAAATAAATAACCTTATAATTGACAATTCAGTTACCTGAAACTTGTAGAGTTAGCTTCTTTTCAGGTTTGCTGTACTGTCTCCATTCTGCCAGACACCTGGAAAAAGAAGAGATTTATCTTTAATATCAAATCTGAGAATTTGGTACATTTTATTACCATCATTTGATCAAAAGGAAACTTGAAATAAAACACAGTAAACATCAACATCATGGGTATGGAAATTTGTCTTCTAGGCTTTAGTTTGAAAACCCCCACAGGCTCTAGTTGCCTACAACCATATGCTCTAGTTTTCCAACCCCCACACTCTCTAGTTCGTCTGTCCCACACCCTCTAACTTAACTTGAAACAAAAAACTCCATAAGGTATGCATGTGTAATGTTCACTCATGACCCACAGAGCACATGAATACATTTTGAATTTGTCAAAAAAATTGCATGCTCATAAATCTGTGATGCCCGGTGAAAATCTATAAGATATCATATGCACTTCTAGCATCACCAATTGTCTATAGTGTACAAACTGAGGTTTAACATAAAACTGTTAACAATAAGCTCTGTCAGTGGTGCTAGTAGGAACAGTAACAATTCTAAACAATAGACAATGTTGACAAAAGTGGCTGCACAGATTCTGACTTTTTCATGTCATTTCTCTTTGTAAAGGCAGAGTTTAAGCCAGCCCCATATTGCATCATTCCGTCACAGGATAGAAACGTTTTTTTTCTAATTATTTATCATTTCTTTTGATAAAATGGAATTTACCTGCATGGTAGCCTAACACTGGTTGATTCTTTGTGATTTTTAATAATTATTCTACAAAAGAAATTGTAGTACAAGATTAATTTTGCCCGTGTTGCATGGAAAAATCATGAATAATGTGAGGATATGGCACAAATAGTACTCTGTACCTGAATTCGGCAATTAGTGATCCAAATAATCAGATTTGGTACCCAGTGGAAAATGTCTGCCGTTGATCCTCACTGCTGACTTCAAGTCAACACATATATCAACATAACTGATGAGCCACTTACTTCAAGTCAACACATATATATCTACATTGAGCTACTTACTTCAAGTCAACACATGTATCTACATAACTGGTGAGCCACTTACTTCAAGTAACACATATATCTACATATCTGATAAGCTCCTTACTTCGAGTCAACACATATATCTACATATCTGATTAGCTACTTACTTCAAGTCTACACATATATATCAACATAACTGATGAGCCACTTACTTCAAGTCAACACATATATCAACATAAATGATAAGCCGCTTACTTCCATGGTTCAAGGCATGGTTCCCAGCCTGACAGCTTCCTGTTGTAATATTCAGCCATTAGCTGAAACTGAGCTTTTCCTTCAACACAAGGCTCCAACTTCTGTTGTATATCCAAGTCTGATAAGCACAAAAAAAGAATCAGCATACAGTTGAAAACATACCAAAACTATCACGGAAAGCTTAAACATGGAGGACCCTGAATGAATTCAAATCAGCTACTTCTTTGCTTTGAGACAGATACGACCCCAAGGTGTCGTGGAAATCTGAAAAGGGGGATTTTTTCCCTGACTCCGGACTATGAGAGAAATGCTAAGGAGATTCAGAATTAGAACAACAACAAAAAAAATCAAAAATCAAAGAACCCTGGGGTGCTGATAAACACAAAGCAATTGCCATAATATACTTACTATTGCAGGAGATCTCAGCCAATGGTATGTCAGCATCTCCACAGTCATCAATGAGGCACAACACAATACTTTCTGCACTCAGCTGTTGCATGGGTGGGGGGGGGGGGGGGAAATATATTAGCAACTAATAATTGATTGCATTTTTAAAAAAATTCATAATAGAGAAATTCAGAAAATATTTTTTTTAAGGGTCTGTGAATTTTGAAAAAAACCCACCCATTATTTGGGGGGGGGGGGGGGGGGGGAGGAGAGAAATATATTAGCAACTAATAATTGATTGCATTTTTAAAAAAATTCATAATAGAGAAATTCAGAAAATATTTTTTTTAAGGGTCTGTGAATTTTGAAACAAGCCCACCCATTATTTAACTAACATGTGGTACCTCAAAGACACACTAATATTTGATAAAAAGATATTTAAAGAGCGAGCAATGTACAGTTGAAAAACACATTCTCGGACTATGGCATTTAATTTATAATAGCAGCAAGATGACTACAGACTAAAACACATTTCTGAAGTGATTAGAAGACCAGGCTGATGATCATCGTGTTAAAGGAAAGGCTTAATCAAGAACATCTAACCTCTATGTCAGTAAGAAGATCCTGGCCAAAAGAAGCAGAACTGGGAGCTGGCTCTGCCGCCTTCTTCGGGGACATGTGCTTGCCGTTCTCTGTCAGCCACAGAGCTGCCTTGTCCAGGTCCCAGCTACTGGCGGCTAGAGCTCTTCGCACATCTGACTCTGGGAAGCCCAGATCTAACAGGCGGAGGACTTCCTCCTCTGTGGATTAGAGTTTTTTTGTTAAATATTCCATGAGTAGAGTACGTTGTTAAGTATTCCATGAGTGGAGTACGTTGTTAAGTATTCCATGAGTGGAGTACGTTGTTAAGTATTCCATGAGTGGAGTAAGTTTTCAGCTCCAGCTTAGACCATAATTTTATTTACAATTCTTTTTTCTCCAGTTAGTTTTTTGCCTTTGGCTTTAGTAAAATGGATCAGTCATACCGAAAGTGATAAATTTGTATACGAATAAAATGAACACTCATCAATCAGATTTACTCCTCTCAAAAGTTTTTAGGGAGATTTTTTTAAACAAAATATGAAACATTGTTCGTTATTTGCAAAGTAAAATTGTATAAGGAATAGACTATAAAAAAAAAAAGGAGGTGTTGTCCGACACTGACCTTTGTCCTCCTGCCTGTTGTGACTCGAAAAGGAGTCCACCAACATGCTTTTCGTCATATTGTCCTCTACACCAACGTTCACCTGGCCTGCCAAGGCTGCTGGTGGTGGTGGAGCCTGGTGGGGTGTGGACTCAGTCGAGGCTGAGTTTGCAGTGGCCTGCTGCTGCTGGGCTTGGAGGGCCTGCTGTGGGAGGGAGTTCAGGATGGCCAGGAACATGACAATGTCATGATAGGACACTCGAATGTTGAGTGGTTTCAGCACAACCTGCAATAGGGAACAATATACTGTCATGATAGGACAGTCGAATATTGAGTGGTTTAATCACAATCTGCAATAGGGAAACAATATACTGTCATGATACGACACACGAATGTTGAGTGGCTTCAAGACAACCCGCTAGAGGGAAATATATTATAACACTTATATTGATGAGACCATTAGTACACAAGTTACTGTCAAAGCAAAGTGATTTTTTTAAAATGTAACCTTTAAAAATATATTTTTTTTTTGGGCACAATTATCTAGCAGACTTAAAAATAATAACCTTATTAACAAACAAATTAGGTCAGTAGATCTTCACTACAGAAATCTTGAAATTGAATTTTTTTTTTTTTTGCATTCAAATCTACCTTATAAATACTATGGCTTTCATCTGTCAATTTCTTTACTGTATTACACCAAGCAATATATGCAGAACATGAATTGTTACGATAATTTGTTTAAAAAAATGTATTTGTTGAAGATAGATCGCTGAATCTACTATGCCATGCCTGTCATTTAGGCTCCGTTTTATTACAGTTTGTGAAAATTTGAATTTGATCATACAATCTCTGATATAAGCAATATTTCAAAGAAGATTATTTAGGGATCATTTGTCAGCTGAAGCAGTCAAGAAATTATTTTGTATTATATGTATTTGAAAGCCCAGCAGGCAACAAACTTCAGCATCATATACGATAAGTTCAAGCATGTCCTGTTCGGAGCTGACGTCAGGTAAATTTTGTCAAAACTCACCTCTAACACCAGGTGTCTCCTCTGGGCATCCTTAAGTCCCAGCAGACCTGTGGCGCAAGGATCATGCTGTGGAAGTGGGTTGGCATTGAGCTCAATGGTGAGGGTGGTGGGGTCAATGATCGAGAGGGCCGTGTCATCTTCAGCCATCAGGCAACAAGAGAAGAGCTCGACATTCTGCAGGGAGCATGAGAGGATCCGCTCATGGCACTGGGGTTTGTAGATGATCACAGCAGTACTCTGTGGTGGCAGGGGGCAGGAGGGGAGTGGGAAGAGAAGTGCAATGGTTAGTTTAGTACAGTTAAGTTATTGGTTTGTTAACCAGCAGTAACCAGAAAAAAAAACAACAAAAAACTTGAAAACACTTGTTCCTTAGCAATTACGAGAGAACTCCTGAATACATTAATGAAATATTATTTCATGGCATGAGTAAGACCACAGAGTCCAGAATGCAGTTGAACTTAGTTCAAACACTGAATCTTAAGTGTTTCTAGAATTATAGTCAGGGGGCTTCTCACACACACACAAACACACATCCCTTCCCATAAACCCCCCCCCCCAAAAAAAAACAACAACCCAACTTAGTATATTTAAACTCACTACTGTGTGGAGAGTGGTGGCATGCTTGGGAATGGCAAATGGCTTAGGGGGCAATAACTTAAGAAAAAAAATGTGTGGCGTGCCAACATCGACTGCAGCACTTCAACCATATATGTACAAGGCCCCCAAATGACAAAGCAGAGAATAGTGCAGAACATGGAGTCTACATTTTTAGTCCCCAGTGTTTCATCCTCATACACATTGTAAATGCCCAGCAGTTGGAGAGAAGATGTGCTCACCTTTAGAATGACAGCGTTTGTGTCCAGGGAGGTGGAATCCTCCACTACAACAAACTGGGTGTCGGTGAAGTTCATAACCATCTCAAATGGCACCTTGACCTGTCAATCACAAATGCAAGAACTTTTTTTTTTTTAAAGAATGGAATGCTGCTTCAGTTAGACAATCTTTCAGGTTTTTCCCCAACTCTGTATTTTACATTTCATATTTCAGTTAAAGCAGAAAAATTCTACTGTATAACTCAGTTATACAATATGAATCAATAACACACATATTACAGGAAGTCTCATCAGTACATCTGTGTATTACGGATAACAATCTGAGTATTAAAGATAACAATCTGTGTATTAAAGATAACACTAGCTGAATTCCAGTTGGGATGTAAGTGTTTCACAAAACAAAACTGTACGGAATCATGTACATCTTGACTTGACTTTCTTTGTAGCACATTTAACTTCTAGAGGTTTAAGGACTAGTCAGAAGTTAAAATTAATTATGCGGAGAGATTATGTTAGCCAAAAAAAAGCAAGAACTGATGATTGTAGGCAGACAAAAGATATGACAGCCTTGAAGTGAAGACCTACCTCCTCCACCATAGGACCTCTCCTAGTGACAATGCCTCTAGAGACTGTTAAAGGACTCTGATTGCGATGGGCTTTGAATGGCATTGGTTCATTGACAGGATCAGGAGGAAGAGGGCTTTGAGGGGGTTGTTGGCCAGCTTAAATAGAACAATATAAAAAATAAATTATTAGGGCCCATTGTTACTCTTGCCCCATCCTCCATTTTAAAGTTTTTGTAAATTTGCTCTCAAATTTTGAACTTTTTTTTTTACACTAACAAATTTCTTAATCTTGAATTTTTAAAGTATTTGTTTAATTCCAATCTCTTAAAATAATTTTTTATCAGAAAATAAATTGGGTAACCACTTTTTGAATGTATTAAAATCATTGCATCTGTTTAGAAACATTGAAATAAAGATTAACGCGTTTTGAAAGGTAAGAAGTGAGATAAAAAAAATTGATGGCTTTATTTAAGGATTATTTTAAAAGGAGCTTGCTAGCTTTTTTGCAAAGTATGGAAAAATATGTAAAATATATAAATTATGGCATTTTAACCTGCTTGGGGTGGCTGCGTCGATCTATTGTTATGGCAAAAAAGAAAAAGGCTGATCTATCAGCCTAATTAAAAAAGCCCTGAGATTGGCTGGCTGGTCTTTGTAACAGCTAATAAGATTGCTTTTCAAATTTCTTGCTCGTCTCACCAATTTAATGGCGGCTCCCTTTGATAGTTTACAGTGTTCGTCATTTTATCATTTTATATCAATTTTTTTTGTACTTAGTGGCACCAAACAATGCTTAAAAATTATTTGACCTAGAAATATGTCAAAAGGCATAAGCAGCCCCAAGGGAATATTTTGTGCAGTTTTTCCACAATGAATCTCATTCAAATATTTGTTACGACTTATTTAGGCTTAAACAATCATAAAATTTAACAAAATTATGCAAGTAAGACCTATTTATTCTAATTGTTTAAAAAATTGCATCGGATGCCTTAATTATGCAAATCAGTGAATCTAATTTTCATAAATTGTTAGATTTCAGTTTGATTTAAAAAGATCACATTAGTTCATTCAATTTCCTACAAGTATATATATATAGTTTTATATTTGTTACGAATTTAGTTTATTTTGTATATATTTTTTTGCAAAGTAAGTGCAGGGCTTGTGATAAGGGCTCCGTCTTCTTGGCACAGGCAGTTCAAAAAAGGCTCCTTCCCGAACGTGTTAAGGGCAGTCATAAATAATACAATGATACGAAGTTAATATTTAACACCCAATGTCTTTTTAAAAAGATAAAATATCACCTTTGGCAAAGGGATTTGGAGGTTCCCTTGAGATATACTCTTTCATAGCCAGCAGCCAGTCAAAGACACACATGAGACGGACATTGTTGAGCAGGAGGGTGAAATGTGAACTGTCGGGTCCTAGCCTTAAGTGCATCTCCATCTGCAGTCCCTTGCGATCCTTGGAGCCTGAGGATGGCTGCAGAATGCTGGTAAACACATTTGGTCTGGCATTGACAGGTTCAACTGTAACCAAAAACATTTGTAAAGAATTAGAAATATTTAAAATATAAATCAAGTGAAAGCAATTTCTAGTGATAAAAGTTCATTGTCTCAGATTTAGTTAAAACAAGACCTTTTATGTTTTATTGAAAGCACAAGTAATGCACTTTAAAAAGTCCAGTTGGATAAAAGCCATAAATGACAAACATCGTCATGAATTGTCATCACTTGTTCAAGATACTCAAAGCCCTTAAATATTTGCTTGAAAATATCTCAAAACCCCCAATGAGATCACCATTTGGATTCATTCAAGCCATCTGAAGGCCTTACTTAAAAGTAGTATGAGATATAAACCATAGCAGTGAAGTTCTGTTATGGAGAGACAAACGTGAAGGCAGAGAAACCACAGGGGAAAAAATAGTTTACTTAAGTTTTTAAAAAAAATTCCACTTTCGATGATAAATCAAAGAAACCTCTTATTTAAGACGGATCCTAGAAATTCATCTTACATTTGAATCTTGTGTCATAGATTTTATCAAAGAAACATCTTATTTAAGACGGATCCTAGAAATTTATCTTACATTTGAATCTTGTGTCATAGATTTTAATCTCGTTTGAGACCAGGTCAACTTCTTTCAGTTGATTAGAATAGCTGGAGACAGATAACTGTGACCTGATAAAGTCCAAACGTGACAATGACCTCTCCGGAACATCTGGACCTAGCTTATGTGAGTGCAGCAGTTCAACTGTCACATTTCTCAGGTCAATAATTAGACTTATTCCCTTCCATGGTTTGCCACCCAAGACAGTCTGAAATAAAGATCAGTATAAAATATTACCAAAACTTTCCTTCATACCACATACAGGCTGCCTCAAAAAACTACAAAGTATTAACCGCTTTAATACTGAATTTTTAAATTGTATAAATTACCATAACAGAAAAATTTGACAGTGAACAACTTAATTATGTGCATATTTTATGATTGGATAGCACCTTTTAATTTTTATATGACAATAAAAGTTTTCAATTCTGTTAACTCATTCCCTCTGGCAGTGCTACTTCTGGACTTAATTTATTTTCCTGAGAAAAGGGAAGCAACTCAGTTTTGAAATTGATTTACATTTTGAAAAAAATTTTTAAGTTGCTAAATATTATTTAATGTTAATGAATTAAGAACAAATGCAACAAAAAATGAATAGGGTTTAATATAAATATAACATAAGCGGGGAAAAAATAACGAACAATGGCCAAAAAATCGATTTTTGGCATTTCGGACGAAAACATGCAACATATAGACACGCCGTACTAAAGCACACGTAGTTTAAAAGGGAAACAAGATAAAAACTTCCGGTTTCTAAATTAAAATCACGCAGAAATCACGCCATAGCTGGAAGACTCGAGGGATGCGAGATTTCATTGCTATTTTTAACTAAAAATAAGAGAGGTGTGTCGCTATGCGCCGGGACGCATTTAGACGCATCAGGAGGAACCCCCAGAGGACGCATTTAGTCGCAACCGTCGGGAATGAGTTAAAGTTTTATATACCCCAAACTTTCAAAATATAGCAAACAGCATTGCAAACTTACATTCTTTAGCCAACTGGCAGTGTTGTGCTCCTAAATTATAAAACATAAGCTATATATATATATATATTTGTATATATATATAGATAGATAGATATATGTGCTTGAAATTGACATCTTGTCAAGATAAATATTTATAGCGTAGCTAATGATCTTTATAAAAAAAAATTGGAAATAATTAATAAAAAGTCGAGAAACCTGAATCCTTGGGTCTTGGAGATGCGACATGAGTGGACGCTGGAATTCTTCTAGTCTCTCCCCAAGGTTGTGGTTTAGGATCCCTCGAATCAACTCGTACTGCCCAATATCCAAATGGCAGTCCACAGAGGACAGTTTTCCATTGATGCAAAAATCTGGGGCAGTGTGGCTGACATCTCCCTCCAAGTTTCTCTCAATATGGAGCTCCAGCTGACACTTTTCTTTCAAAAGCTTGCCATGCTGTTGAAATATCAAAAAAACACACTCTCATGCAATTATTTTACTATAAATGTTTAGATATTCAACAGCATATGTCTCACTAAAGGCTAACTAATCCAAAATTTTCATGCCTCAGAAAGTTAAAAAAAAATTATTTTTTTCAACAATTCAAATGTTGATGAAATTTTTTTTAAAGTTAAAACAGAACAAATTTAAATTTGAACCATTTTACAAGTTTTTATAGAATTTTCAGGGTATGCCAAAAATTAAGCACTAATGTAGGCCTACGCTGTAAAAAAACAATGATAATGAACAAGTAACTTTGTGTACATAACAGTAAACCACTGGGCTAAGGTCCAGTAAAAATCATCAGTGCGCAGGACTTCTGTCAAAAAATTATTTATTGGACAGTCCACAGTTAAATTTCAGAGAAACATTAATCTTTAACCACCATGAATGTTTCATTTGTACTTACCTCCCTTTCAAGCACAAATGTTGAAAACTCCATGTCGGTGCTCAGGTCACCACCTTGGTAGTCAGATTTACATATCCTCTTGGCAGTGAAAAGATCCATTTCTGACAGGGTCACTGAGATGACATCAAGAAGGCATCGATGGTCATCGCCATCCTCTCCTCCTTCACCAACTGTGTGGCTATTGAACAAAAGATTTTTTTTTAATTTAAAAAATCAGCTTTAAAAGATGTGTTCATCACTTTCATTTTTTGGGTGCTTTTTTTTCGTTTTAGAAGTTTGACAATGATGACATTTTGCATGATGATAATTAAGTACACTCCAGTTTTGTTAGCAAATCATATGTGTTTTAGTACTTTGTCAAAGTTAGGCATTAACATTAAATATTTACATATTAAAGCATATGCAATTTTGCAATACAACACATACCATAGTTACCTATTTTTCCATGAATTTGTGTTTAAAAATGTATCTATTTTTTAATTTGTGAACCAACCTATGACATATGATCAGCTTGTTCTCTTTGGCTGAGAATTCAAAGGGTAAAAATTCATGGTTACCCATGGTTAAATAAGTTACGTTAAAAAAAATAACTTCAGCCAAGAAACTTCATGGAAATCAGGCGATCCATTATTTTAAAATCCACCAAGCGATATCTCACCGTTGGTTGGGGTAGGACTGACTGAAATTTCTCTTAATGCTGGGTTGAGCCTTGGATTGGCTTGAAGGGACATCAAATCCAGATGGGTCAAATCCCTCAAAACGTTCATCAGCATCAAAGCTGCCATAGACACTCTGGGTCATGGGATCTATAGGACGCGCTGGTCGATGTGACTCATTCACCATGTTGTCTGCCATGCTACGATGCACAATGCCTTTCTGCAGGGCAGCGCTTGTTCCTGCTGTACTCTGATGAGCCGAAGTCTGAAATGTAGATAAACGGGTCAGATTTGTCAAAAATACATTAAACATCTTTTATTGCTTCTATTGGTCTGTAATGTATTGAAAGTACAAAAAAGTAAGAAAGATATTTATATTTTTTTTATAATTAAATAATCAATATTATATTTTAATGTATTTATCATCAGTACGTCCTCGTTTTATAGCCATTTTAATTGTTTCTATAGTATAGTAGTTACTATCCTAGTGTCTCATTTTTTTATTTTACTTAGTTTACATGTTTTTAATAATTGTAAAGCGCTTAGAGCTTTAAGGTAAGCGCTATATAAAAATGCCTAAATAAATAAAATAATTAAAATTAACATCTATAAAAGGTTTGAAACATGGTACAGGATAAAGGAGTTTAGCTGCTTTAGTTTAGTGCAAAAGATACACATTTCTCTTACTCATGTTTATAACAAGAAAAAATTGAATGCTAGAAACATAACTTTGTGAGAAATTCTTCTTCATGTCTGACTCCAATGGATAGGATAACAACCGCTACCATGTCACATCATATACCAGAGTCCGAAATTGGACTGTGATTTAGTTTTTCAAACTACTCGGGCTAAATAAAAAATAATTAGCTACTAAATATATTTCATCACTTAGTTCATCATCCACAAAACAAAATTGCTGAGTAGTCTACAAATTTTTAAAATATATATAACAAAATAATATTTTTTTTTACATTTTTAATAAAGGTTTTTTTCTTGAAATGAATATCTTACCAGATTTCTAGGTGAAAAATACGTATTTTATCTACAGCCAGCTGTCCATTATTGCGAAATAAATCATTTTATGATTTTAGCGCAAAAAGCTTAGAACTATTTTGATGAGCCATCATTTTGGTTTGGGAGAATTATGAGATTTGTAAATTCCCATTCACACAACAATAGCTCCTCACCTTTGATTGCTCAGCTTCTCTCTTGGCCCTCAGTGTTCCGGGCTGACCGTCTACGATAAAATGGTTTGTCAGCTTGAGGTTACCCAAGTCTGCCACAAGGACAGCATTGGTCTTTGAGCTGTGTGGTATGAGGAGTATGGGAGACACAGCTTCAATGTCCAGCAGTATCCTGGACGCTCTGGTTGCTGTCTCATTGATCTACCCAGAATTGATCAGTACATTTATAAAAGATTTTTTTTTCAAATAACTTTACAAAAGGTAAAAAAAAAACTGGACGTCCAAAATTGCAGTTTTAATAAAAATCTATTTTAGTTAGTGTGGCAAAAATTAAGTTGATTTATGTAAAGAAAATAGGTTTCTGAAGGTTTCAATTATTAACACTTTTCATGTGTACCTGACAAGCTAATCCATTTAAAAAATGGTTTGTAACAATTTTATAAGTAAAGCAGTAAGGAAGAAAAAAAAACCAAACAAAGTTTTCAAAAAGTATTTTGAAAGCTAAAATCAGTAGAGATGCTCTCAGAACAAATTTTTCACTTTAATAGATGGAAATATTTTAGCGAACAGTTTAAAATACATTAAATCCACCTTTTTTCCAATGGAGGCCGCCCTCTGGCGGCCAAGCAGATCCTGTAGCTGTAGGAAATGCTGGGCAAAGGCAACCATCTCAGCCTGGAAGCGATTGGTGTGTATGTAGCGGACAGAAGACATGCGCAAACTTAGGCTAATGTCAAATGCTCTTTGTAAGTCAAGATCAGGTAGACCATATCTGAATGTGTAAACAAAATGTATCGACAAGCTGGCACATTGTACTAACAAGTTGAAACTCTGGTTTAAAAAATACTTAAGTACAAACATTATTTGATAAAGTTCGTTAAAAAATTTTTTAAACTACTTCAGAAATTACAAAGTTGAAAACTGATTTTAAGAAAAATTTAATTACAAATATTATTTGAGTGCATTTATTAAAATTTATTGCAAAATTATTCCAACTACAAAAAACTTCCAAAAACATATTTAAGACCATATTTAAGACCATATTTAAAACGATATTTTTAAAAATATTTAAAAACCATATTTAAAACCATATTTAAAAACCATATTTAAAACCATATTTAAAAAGACTTACTTGAAGAAGTTGAACTCAACCACCTGCCTTCCAGTAGACACAAATCTCTGTCTGTACAGCTGCCCGTTTGGGGATTGATCTAAGAGGGACAGACTCCCTAGCTGACCACTGGCTTTGAGGTCACCGTCCCGCATGATCATGTGCATCCGAAGGTTCGCGGCCGTCGCCTGAGCCAGTTCGTAGTCGGGCTTGTTGAAGATGAGTGTAAAGCTCTCCACTTGAAAGTTTATATCTGAGTTGACATCATCTTTATCCCCTGCGACAACAATCATTAACATTCGGATGATTTCCTCTTTATAACACTTTCAGCAGACCATGGTGTAAATCACCTGGCAACGTGTCAAGTAAAACCCATCATGGATTTATGCGTCTTATAAGCTTAGGTGTTCTAAAATGGCAGCAAGATGGCTGCTACAGACCTGTTTACTCTTACGATTTTGACGTACAATGTAGGATTTTGAGGTGTATACATTGTATATACTGTATTATTATTTTTTTTACTATTAAGATAATGTGTTGAATGATTTTTTTATGATGTTGTACGATTTTAAGAGTTTGAGAGTAAACATATCTGGTGCTAGCAAGCATGACTTTTAAGCTTCTATCCCTCAGAAACGAGAAAAAGTTGTTTTCTTGGTGATATACATAGTGATTATATAATTATTGGATAGATGGTAAGAAAAATTTGACTTTCACATTCACCTTGAGAATTTATGTCTAGCTGCTGCTCAGTGGCTTGACTGGGACCTTCACCTCCAACCTTGACCCCGTGGACTTTAGCTCCCAGTCCCAGGAAATCTAACAGCACCACCCATGTCTGGAGGTTGATGGTGGCATCCAGGCAGGCAAAGTCAATGTTGATGAATCTGTTGGTCTGCGCATGGGATGAGCTTGTCATTCAACATGTACTCACAATTTAGGGTTGGTTAAATTTTACACCATCGATAGGTTGATGCCCATCTGTCTAACTGACCAATTGAAATAGCTCAGAGATAAACAGTTCTATCCAATATTTAACTAAGAGACTTAGAGTACTCATGAATCATGTGGGGACTGAGAGTACACATGAATTGTGTGGCGACTGAGAGTACACATGAATCGTGTGGGGACTGTGAGTACACTATGAGTCATTTTTATCTTTTACTCATACAAATATCTGCTGTTATCTTTTAAGCACTGTATATTAGCCACTGCATATTTCCCTTTTATTTTTTAATGTATTTAAAAAAATGGGTAAAGACGCTAATCGAAGGATATGCACAATTTTTTTTTTTTGTGATATGACAGTGAGGTTCGGTACAATTATTTTAAGCTTCCTGATCTATAATACTGCAAATGATTAGAATCGCTGAGTTGCAGTAATAAGGAAAATAAAAATACATAAAATAAGTATGACAAAATTTTTGATCCTTGCTCAAAATCCTAAGTGAGCATATTGTAATCTTGAATAAATTAATAAAATATAGATATATTAATTCCATGGATTTAACACCTAATTTAGAAAGATGGGTCCTTATCCCTCTGCAAAAATATAAAATTTTATATAAACTATATCTGACCTTGTTATATTTAGTGACATACTCTGGCCTCTTCTTGTCCACTAGTGTGACATCAATGTGGACCAGGTCATCAGGTCGACGTTGCTGGGTCACAATAGGTTCCCTGGCGGCTGGACTAGGTGGGGGTGTGTATGGACAATCACTCTCGCTGATAGAGATTGTGAAAAGAAAAGATGGGAAGATAACATCAAAGAGTGGACGGGACTAAAACTAGGAGATGCTGTGCGAAGTGCAGAAGACAGAGACGAATGGACGAGGTTAGTTTACATGTCATCTGTGGCGCCCCAACGGTCCAAGGACTATGGGACATGATGATGATGATAGAGATTGAGTAATAAAAGCAAACATAAATTATTTTAAACTCTTAGTGCAGTGTCTTCAAACTTTGTGTTACTGAACCCTTTATTTAATAATTTATTTTTAAAAATTTACTTCTTAGTGCCTCTTATTAAAAGGACATAGGCACAAATGAAGGCATACATGAAGATCAACTTTTTTTTGCAAAAACCCAAACTTTTTTTTCAAAAACCCCAACCCCCAACCCGGATTTCCCCCCCCCAAAAGGGAGTTTCCCAAACCCCCCCCCCCCCCCCCAACTACCTAATCTCCAAATTTGGAAATTGCTGCTCCAGTACCTGAATGTAGAACAAACTATAATAGTAATGACAAATAACTTCAAACTGTAATAGCTAAATGTGGAAATTAAACAAAAACTGACAGCAGAATGGCCAGGTAACGGTGCCCCATTTGATTAAAGCATTACAACTTACCTTGAGGCTGGCCTCCTCCTTTGGTGTGATGTGTTTTGATGACACTGCTGCTCCTTGGTCTGCCCTCTGTTAAGACAGAGAAACACAAACGTTTGACATCTGAGGCACACCTCATTATCAGCTAGCACTTAAATAAATTGGTTATTTAAAGATTTCAAGTAAGATCTCCTACCTATATCCTAGATTCAACGTCAGTACGTTTCAAAAGCAGAAAAACCATATAGTCTAACCAAGGGTTTTCCCCAACCCTCTCTATCTTCTGTACCATATAGTCTAACCAAGAGTTTTCCCCCAACCCTCTCTATCTTCTGTACCATATAGTCTAACCAAGAGTTTTCCCCCAACCCTCTCTATCTTCTGTACCATATAGTCTAACCAAGAGTTTTCCCCCAACCCTCTCTATCTTCTGTACCATATAGTCTAACCAAGAGTTTTCCCCCAACCCTCTCTATCTTCTGTACCATATAGTCTAACCAAGAGTTTTCCCCCAACCCTCTCTATCTTCTGTACCATATAGTCTAACCAAGAGTTTTCCCCCAACCCTCTCTATCTTTTGTAAAACTACAAATTGTTTGACTAACTCGCACACCCCAGGACAGTAATAACACATTTTATCATTGAAAAAAAATTGTCTCTAATTTTTCCACTTTTCCTCTAACTCCTGAATGCCCACTAAGGGTGTGAATACAACCCCCACCCTCTTCCCCCTTTACTGTTGAGATCCCCTAGTAAAAGACAAGCCATTACCTGTCTATAAAGCTGGAAGGAAGTGAGGGGGGCATGCGTGGGATAGGTGCAACAATTGTACTGTCCGGACAGGACTTTGACATCAGGGCTTTAGGCTGACTGTGCAGGTGTTCAAGTCTGAAACAGAGTCATAATCACAAGTCTGAAACAGTGTCATAATCACATGTCTGAAAGTTTTATAATCATATCAATGCCTTTATAGTGTGATACTTTTTGTCCATTAGCTTTTAAAATATTCAGTGTGGTGTTACAAACCCCTAGCGGTTATTTTCCCATCAAATAGATGACTAAAGAGAATTAAATGATATCACGTTCTCATTCCGTTCTCATTCCGACTTACAAAATTGAGCTAAAGAGTTCGAAATCACTTTTAACCACAACCTAAACAAAGTATATTAAAACTAAAACAAAAAAAGAACAATTAAGACACCCAACCAATGCTATAACATCCCAGCTGGCCGGGTCATGATTTAGATTTAGACATAGGCAAAAGTATTAGCAGAAATGATAAGCAAAGTAAGGTTTGTGTGTACTGATAATGTCTTTCTTTGAATGGGTTGGACAAAATCCAAAAATGGCCCTGATCAGGTCTTGACAGGGTAAGAAGACTAAAATTTCAAAAAGATCGGAATCTTCTTTAAAATTTTATGGAAGTCCAAATGGCCATGGGTGGGCAAATAATACACACAACATTAGACAGACATTAACCAACATTTAGATGTTTTTTTTTTTAAATGCTGCAAAATTGTTTAACTTTTTTTCATATGTCTAGCAGTAAGTCTCAAGTATGAGCTTTCACTACAGAAATAACAAGCAATAAACATATTAAAACAAATGTATATATCATAGTTCAATCCCCCATCAATGCGATCAAATATTACAGCTATACTTACACATCCTTAGATTTTGAGGGGCGTGAAACAATGATCTGTCTGTGCTTGGAGTCCACAGGCTCCAGTAGGTCATCCATCTGCAGAGACTTGAGGTGAAGGTTGATGCGGGTGCACGCCCTGTCATTCTTCTCATACTGCACAGAGAAGTCATAGAGCTTGAGGTCAACAAGGCCCCTCTCACCGTCACCAAAATCTCCCCGCAGCTCTATCTCAAACAGCGGCACATCAAACTCAACGTGCTTGGCCAGGAAGCTGCCGCCTGAACCAGGCTCATCCGGGTAACTATGGGCGCCCTGATTGCTCTGCATTTCCTGTTTCTTGTTATCAGCAGCTGGCCTGTCCTGGCTTTTTGAGGAGGGTGTGTAAGTGAAGGCTTGTGACCGCTCCGATTTACCCATTGCAGTGTGGTTCTGTGGAGAGCTGGGGCTCTGATTAGGCTTTTTGGCAGGCTCTGCATCGTAAGTCAGGTTGTCCACCGTTTGGAGGATCTGCTCATACACCTCCTTAGACAAACTTAACTTGATGGGTGAGGAAATGTTGGCTTTGATGTCCAGCAGGGATGACACGCTCAGCTCATCCTCAAACTTAACATCGCTGTCTGACCTCTGCTTCCGACTTGAAGTGCCACCCAGCCCCATCATGCCCTCGATGCCAGACGAGACGTCCGGATTGATGAAAGGATTGTCCAGTTCTCTCTTGCCGATGGTCAGGTCGACAGACGTATCGTACAAGATGGGCACACCAAACTTCTGTGTCAGCTCGGACAGCTTTGAGCTGTTGAGCCCAGTGGTGGTAACGGTGACCTGCTGCCCGAGGTGAAGTGAGTACAAGTTCATGTTGGTCAGGGATAAGGTGATCAGGTCCTGGTTTTGACCCCTGAAATGACCCCTCCCGCTTTCACTGGGTACATTCATCATGCTGGAATTGTCTATGACAATCTCACCCAGGTGAGCCAACAGGACCTAACCGAGAAAAAATATAAAAGCATGAAAATAAATAAGGTAGTTGGTCAATGAATTTATTGTGTGCTGAAACTTACAAGCAGAGCATTAAAACTATAATAATGGAGTTGGAGGGAGTCTTTCATCCATGAACACTTTAGGGTTCGATTACTGTTTTGTTAAATCCATAGAACAACAGGTGAATTACAAATACTTAGATTATAACACATTTAAACAACCCTAAAATCAAAGTTTTTCATATAAATTCTTAATAAAATGTGATATGGAGCAATTGGGGTTGAGATCGAAAATTTGACAAAACATGCATATAAGTAATGTACTTTTTTAGAATTCCAATTAGTGCCCCCCCCCCCGGCCCGGCGTGCTTGCCATCGCACATTTCACATTTTTTTTCCCGTCCCTGAATTATATTAATACTCTAGTGATTGGGGTTGAGATCGAAAATTTGACAAAAAATGCATATAAGTAATGTACTTTTTTAGAATTCCAATTAGTGCCCCCCCCCCCCGGCCCGGCGTGCTTGCCATCGCACATTTCACATTTTTTTTCCCGTCCCTGAATTATATTAATACTCTAGTGACCACCCGCTTTTACACCGCAGATTTTTTTCACCAACCATTTCAGAAAAACGAAAGAACATATTATGCACCAAACGCCCTTGGGATATTTTTTTTAAAGAATCTTGTTTAGCGCAGTTTTCTGGAATTTTATTTTGTGAAATCAGTGTCATCATATTTCCTTCATCTTTTCCCTGAAAATAGTAAAAACTTGTTTTTGGGAGCTGGGGGGTGGGGCTGAAAATTTGATAGAATGATTTATCATCTGCAGCAAGTCTATGTGGCAAGTTTCAGCTCGTTAGGTTGACAAAACAAAGGTTTTGCCAGCCGGCCAGCCATGAGCAAAAGGGAAGTTAATATAAATGATTTAAAATATCATAAGGTCATACAGATGTAAAAAGACACTTTTATTTATATAACTCCCTGAGACATTTTAGAAAGATTGTTACAAAATAAATCAACATCTTTAATGACAAGGAAATATCATCTTTACATACAAATAATTAAATGGGGAATTTAAAGAATCTGAGATTGGTTTTTAAATACCCAATCAGTAACAAAATCTGCTTGAGAACATTTTTTAAATTTTTGATATAGTGACCATCACTGCATAAGTTAAAAAAAGGAAATCATAAATAAAAGGAACTGAAAATGAATAAATGCTACAGACCTGAGGACTATTGGGTGTTCGGGGAATCACAAGTATAGGAGACTCCATCCTTGCATTTATGAGAATCATGAGTTTATTGACCTTGACAGATGGGCTCCCTTGCTGCTGGGAGATGTCTTCTAGCAAAATTGTGTTGGTTATATCCCCTAGGGACTGGTCCCTACGTATGGCGTAACCTGCCAGGGATGCATCGGCTGCTGAGCCGTCCTTGTCCCCCCTGACCCCCACTATCCCCATGGCGACCTCCGTGGCAGCGGTCTTTATAGATGAGGCCACCTTGGTCATGTAGTCTCTGAACTCTGACGCGCAGTCCAGCAGCTGTTCCAGAAATTTGGGGCAGTGGATGTAGGTCAGGGCGGCCATGTCAAACTGCGCTTCCAACGGCTCATGGTCAGATGTGGGCACATCCAGCATGATGTTGTCTGTGTCCTGGTTGAAGGGAAAACAATAATAATACCATAAAAGAAACTTTAAAAGGCATTCATCAAACAATTTGTTGACCTGACAGCAAACTTAGCACACAGTCTCAGAGTAACACATCATGCAACCTCAATAGCTATCAAACAGTTTGTTGACCTGACACTGGGCAAACTTAGCACATGGTCTAAGAGTAACACATCACACAACCTCTATATGTATCAAACAGTTTGAAACAAACCTCTAGCAACTGTATTTACCTTATAATCTTCTTCAACAAACTTAATAGCCAAATTTTTTCCATCTAATATTCTTCAATAGAAATCATAACATTTCTAAATGCCTTCAAATTTTAAATGAATTATGTACTTTATAAAAAATGTGGAAATTCTTTTTCTTCAAAATACATTAAAGGTTATTAAAACTTTAATTCTCTTTAAACACAAACACAAATCTACTAAAATGACAAGGCAATATCATCATTAGATACAAACAGTATTTGTTTTTAAATACCCAATCAGTATTGAAATCCTCTTGAGAACAAATAAACCGCTAGAGATTACAAAATCTGTTGTTTTTTTATAAAAAGCGAAATCACCTATTTTCCCACCCGCTTTTAACACAATTTGACTTTATGGATCCCAGTTGTAATGTTATAGCGGGGTCCCACTGCACGTCAATTATAACCTTTAGCCCATTACCTGCGGATGAACCAGCTGTCTCCTTTGACTGATAAAAAATGTGCAGGCATTCTTCCTGGGCTGGGATGAACGCAAAGAATACTCTGAAAAGACCTTGTCATCCATTGCAGTCTGGTACATTTCTGGGACTGGAGAGGTGGGGATGGTGAAGCTCACACCCCCTGCTGAAACAGCCAGACCTGACGAGGGATCCACTTCCTGGAACTGACCAATACTGACCACCTGCTGGTAGAGGGTGCCATCTGGTGTCACATCCAGCAAATGGAGACCACCCAAGCTGCCTTCCAGATCCCACTTTTCATCTGTCTCAAGTTGAAAAAAATTATTTAAGACATTTTGTTTTTTGAGCATGCATAAAATGGCTAAGCAGGGTCCAGATATTTTTTTTCCCCCCCAGGTACAGGGTCTGGGTATTTGGACACAATACCCAGTGGGTCAGGGTATCACAATTTAGGAATTATCTACAGAAAACAAGAAATGTGGTCCACCCAATGGGGAAATGTGAAAACTGAATGTATAGAACCAGATGAGATCACAAGTGCATCAAAGGAGAAGGCTTCTTAATACTAATAGCATATAACACTAACCAAATCCTATAAACATAACAAAAATAAAACATGGAGGGGAGCTGCTGTAAATGTGTGAGAACTGCTGCACACCGATTGGTAGTAGTTTTCATTTTCTTTCTACCATTGTACACAAAAAATTATGTTAAAAATGTGCATCTCATTTATTTTGAAAGACATGGACCTGGTACCGTTTGCTTTGCCATGTCCAGGTATTTTCTGGACATTCAATACTCTGTATTTCGAGTCAGAACCTGACTCGACCCTAATGTATAATCCAAAATTGTGTAAATTTTAAGTATTTTATATTTATCCCCAGTAAGGGGAAATAGTGTCAAAAAAATTATTTTAAAAAAAATGCTTAAAAGAAAGTTGTTTATTGTCTGATCACAAGACTGCTGAATGGCCACTGAGTAGGAAAGTCAAAGGAAAGAAGGGAATGCTAAGTGCATAGGAGTAGATGCATCTACCTTTTAGGCCATGAAAAAGACGTGAAAAAACACCAACAGCCTCACCATATTTAACCTGCAGTTTAGCTGATGACACTGTTGCTGTGGCCACTTTGCGCGCTATCTTGTGGTTATCCCAGGAGAGAAACTTGACCATCATAACATTGAGACGCTTGAAGTCAGCATTCACCTGGACAACATCCTTTACCTGATTGGATTCATAGAAAAAAAAGACAGCTGTGGGTAGCTCAACCAAAAAAAATATTCAAAAATATCTGCAACGATCTTTCATTGAAAACAAGCAATTTTTTGGACCACGTCTGTACATAGAACATTAAATAAGAATTTAAGTTCTTGTTGCAGCCAAATTTTCACTACTCACTGGCGTGGATAAAATCAGTTTAACATTAACTTTTAACCCTATGGAGAGATGCACCAATAATAAACCATTTGCGAATATTGCATAATTTATAGTTCTTTCATTTAAATAAATGACCCTAATGCCTCACCATTTTGTGCCCTTCTAAAACCAGAGGGATTTTTTGTCAAAAACCTACCCCAGATACCAAGGTACAAACTGATTTACAATGCAATGCACTTGCCTTACTATGGCCTGTGTTATCAACGTTTGAGTTTGCAGCTGGTGTGTTCACCAACCCACTGGAAGATTTTTTGGGGAATGTCCGATTGACAAAACCCATGATCTCTGTGAGAGTCTCCTGGTTGGCTGATGACAAGACATTTGGTTAGATGGCATTGATAGATTATAAAACAAGGCTGTGCAACAGGTGTGTAAAACACATCTTGTACAGTTACATACTTGTTTATGTACAGATGTTATGAAAGTAAATGGTTTACAGCCTTCAAGAAATTTGAAATGGATCCTTTTCAGAGTTACTTTGTAAAAAAAAAAAATTTAGAAATCAGGGTTGAACAATATAAAAGCATAATATTTTATGCTCATTTCACAAACAAACAAAAATTATTATTATTATTTATTATTACAGTGGTCTTATATACCGCTGTGCCCTAGTCCAGGGCTGTGCTCATGGGGCTGTACATAAAAATATTAGCAAACATAATCATGACATTAAAAAATAGCATACCGTATATTCCGGCGTATAAGACGACTAGGCGTATAAGACGACCCCCTACTTTTCCTGTTAAATCTAGGGTTTGGCTGTACACAAGCTCATAAGATGACCACAGACTTTTGAAAAGATTTTCATGGGTTAAAAAGTCGTCTTAAACACCGGAAAATACGGTACATTTGTTTAATTAAAAAACAGCTGTTTAAAAATAAAACAAAAACAAATGTATATTCACCCCAACCCAGAACTTTTACATGTCAAGCCGTGGACGGCACCCAGCAGCATGGTTTATTGGTCAGAGGGGGGAATCAGTAGGAATAGTAGAGTTTAAAGAGATGTGTTTTGAGTGCAGTTTTGAAGGCCTGGATGGTCGGTATATTGGGGATGTGTAATGGGAGAGAATTCTATTGTATGACATCACAGGAAGAGAAAGATTGTTCACCATATGTTTTACTTTGTATCTTGGGAACAGAAAGAATACACTTGTCTGTGGAGGAGCAAAGCTGTTGAAGGGGTGAATAGACAGAAAGAAGTTCAGTTAGATAGGAAGGGCAGGAAGCAGAGAAAAAGTTGTGTCAGAGAACAGAGAGTTTGTAGTCAATACGTGCTTATACTGGGAGCCAACAAGTATGTGGAGTAGTGGAGTGTCGTGATCACATTTTTTTTTGCCTTTAGAACTAGGGCTTATATTTAACTCTGCCATTCGTATGAGCATGATATCCTGTATTCCTTAGGCCGGGGGTGGGCAAACTTTTTGTGCCTCGGGCCACATTGACAAATGAAAAGCGATTCGAGGGCCGTATATATATTTTGCCATATTAGCATTACATTACGAAGGTCAAGGACTGTTTACAAGAATAGAAAATCGGAAAGAAATTTTATAAAAAATGTTAAAACAATCATGACGGTACAGGAATTCTGTAACATTCAACAAGATAACTTAAAACGAAGTAATTTTTTTTAAATTTCTAAAGGCCCTCGAGGGCTGCATAACATCAGTTGCCGGGTCGCATGTGGCCCACGGGCCGTAGTTTTCCCACCCCTGCCTAAGGCAAATAATTTTGGCAAATATCATTTCCTCTTTTTTTTTGTTGTTGCTCCAAACATACATATTACACTTACATAAAAAGTTTGACATATTAAACCAGTAAAAGGTAATTGGATTTTAAAGTTATCAGAACCCAAGTCTAGGAACAGGTAGATGGCAGAAAATACCCTACAGGTTGAGCCCCACAAATAAAACTCTATAAGTATGAAACCTGAAAATACCCTACAGGTTAAGCCCCACAAATACAACTCTATAAGTATGAAACCAGAAAATACCCTCCAGGTTAAGCCCTAAAACTACAACTCTATAAGTATGAAACCAGAAAATACCCTCCAGGTTAAGCCCTAAAACTACAACTCTATAAGTATGAAACCAGAAAATACCCTCCAGGTTAAGCCCCACAAATACAACTCTATAAGTATGAAACATGAAAATACCCTCCAGGTTAAGCCCTACAAATACAACTCTATAAGTATGAAACCAGAAAATACCCTCCAGGTTAAGCCCTACAAATACAACTCTATAAGTATGAAACCAGAAAATACCCTCCAGGTTGAGCCCTACAAATACAACTCTATAAGTATGAAACCAGAAAATACCCTCCAGGTTAAGGCCCTACAAATACAACTCTATAAGTATGAAACTTTAAAAAAAGTTGAATTTTAAGATTTTATTTTGCTCACCAATAAAGTCCAGGCTGTTGAACTGCAGGTTCAAGAGCGTCGTGACAATTTCCCCCGTCTGGCAGTCTGGTGACACGGTTGCAGGTGTGGTGAAGACCTCATACTCTAACATGATCAGAGCTTTGGCATCTGAAGGGGGAAACTGATGACCGGTGTCTGTCTCTGCGGACTTCCTGTTTTGTGGTGTGGGTGCTGGCCAAAGCAATACAAGGAACCATTATGCAATAACATTCTCTTCTGAGTGACGGTGTTTAAAAGTAACCCAATGCAATCTTATCATCTAAACAAGGTAATATAATGCTTAAAGATGTTGTGAACAGTGGCAGAGCTTGGGGGTTGGGAATGGTAAAGCATACCTTGGGGCAGCACTTTTGGGGTATATTTGAAAATATGGAAATGGTGCATGTACTTGGGGGTGGGGGGGCGCGCAAACTTTTTGGACATCAAGTCGAGGTACACCACTGATCAGTAAAGCTAATTTATTTTTCATCCTTAAGTCATTATAATCTATTACACTCTAATCTAATAGCATATTTCTTCTTGTTTGTCTACCCCCTTCCCTCCCCATAAATTTTGAGGCAAACCAAAATGATTCATAGATTTTAGCTAGTGACAAATTCTTGTCATGCAAACTGATATCAATCTGACAGCTTACCTTGAGGCAAAACAGAATGGAAAGCATTGCTGATGGCATCTTGGATGGACTGGAAGCTACTAAAGGAAATAGATGTGGGCAGGTCAGGGCTTGGTGAGCCAGGCGATGCTGGTGACGATGGGGACTGCGGGGAAGATGGGGAGTTGAACTCTGAACCTTTGATGCTCCCACTTCTACTGTCAAGACTGACAAAAAGAGAATCATTTACATCAGTTTGTAAAACCATAAGGAAAAAAAAACAACTTAAGACCACTAGCAGTAGATTTGAGGAAAAAAAACTTGTAAAATTAATGCATTTTTAAATGTTTAATAGTTAAGTAATACAGTACAATATCTCATGAGAGGGAGTCTTACTGAGGGCTATAAGAAATCAGGATAGAATAATAATATCAAGAACATGGACTCACATGACATTTTTATGGGAAGCCACAAGGAGCTCAAAGTCCCGCCCATAGGTCTGCAGGGCATCCACCAGCAGCAGACTGTGCACAGTGAGCACAAGAGATTTGCTCAGTGGTTTCAAGTGGACATCTGCTTGCACTCCCGTCACCTGCAGCTCAATCAGGGCTTGACCTGAGAAAATTGTGATCAAAATGTGTCAAGGAGAGCAGTATTCTAGGATCAAATGTGTTAGTGATACACGATGACATTTAGATGAATCCCTCCCAGCATGCTTTGAGCACATTTGTTTTCCTATGGTGTTTTAAATAGAGAAATGATTAAATTAATAACTTCAAATCTATTAAAGTGAGCAGTGTAGGTATATTGATTGTGTTCTCCAAAATGGAGCCCCCTTTAAATAATTATTGATTCTTCCAAAACAAAACAATTTTAATTTGGCCAAAAAAAAAAAAAAGAGAACACTTGAATTAATATTCATGGTTACAAAACATGTGTCTAGGGTGGAAGTTACACCATCTATCAAAACAAAAACATTTTAATTTGGCCAAAAAAAAAAAAAAAGAGAACACTTGAATTAATATTCATGGTTACAAAACATGTGTCTAGGGTGGAAGTTACACCATCTATGTATACATGTACAACTCACCCTGACTCTGCACTTCCAAAGACATATTGTTGATGAGGAACTGTAAGACCACCATTTTGTTGTCCTCGACGAACTGCTTTGATGAATCCAGCACTGGGCTTGGCCTTGTAATGGAAATATCATTAAATCACAAGAGGTGAAGTCATTCCCATGAAGTAAGTTTATGGCAAGAACTGAGACCCTCCTATTTGGGATATGTTTATCTCTTTAAGAGCATATCAAAAATTCTGTTTGTAGACATTTAAATTTGTTTGCAAAGTTTTAATTTTTTTAGAAGTTAAACAAAAAACTAAATGGGTTTATAAACGTTAATGGTTTAAAAAAAATTAAGTTGTAAATAGTGTAAAAAAACATACAAATCAAAGCTGGATTGCTCTTGTAGAGTGTTTGACAGTGGCACATCAAAAGATGATGAGCTGGACTGCTGGTATGTTGCAGACTGGGAGAGTCCAACAGGTCTTGGCTCAGAAAATTTGTCAAAACATTTCTGCAGACTTTGGATCTATAAGGAAACCAAAGATAGGTGTGATTAAAAATAACACAGGCTTCCAAAGCACATTGTGCACTCCTACATCATCATGTCTAGCAGAGGTGCTGCCTTCTGCGATATTTAATCTCCTGGGGCGTCAAGTTGGTACCTTAAGAATTTTTTAGAGCAGTCTGGGAAAATCAACATCCAGGGGCATATCCTTTTTGTAAATGGAGACATAGGTCTTAATGGGCGTTCAGTAGCATCACCATAAATCAGTATGTACAGCTTTTGACTAATGATGTGTAAGTTGTGTCTTGGTAAATTCCAAACAGAACACAAACAACACAACCCGCCATTTCATTAAACCTGTTCACATCCCAAACACTTTTCTTGGACCATCCCAATCTCCGGATCACGGCTTTTCCATTGGTCCAAAATGCATTTCTTTCACCCTACACAATCTTACGAACACATCTATCAAAAAACATTTCAGAGCATTCTTCATAAATACTGACATCTCATCAGTTGTGACAAATAACATCTCAGTACTACAATAACGATGAAGAAGTAATTCTAAACACTTGTATATTCACTAAAAACTGCTATTATGTTCAGTCACATTTGATTTTGGTTAAAATAAAAAAAAACAGAATGTCAATGAAACAATTGTTGACCCACATTTTAATTTCTTTAAATATCTAACTCTGCATACTTTATAAAACGTGAACTCACTTTTCTTTCATTCAGATGAAAGGTCAAGGTCGGCAAATTGCCAGATAGTTTAGCTGTTGGCCACTGGATATCTGAAGTTGTGATAAGCCGTCTGTAATAATATTTGTAAAAGGAATCAAAACAATCATAACTGTTCATATTAAAGGTAAAATTTTTATTTTTCAAATTTCATCCTTTCATTAAAATATCTTCCTTATCGACAATTCTTACTTTGAAATTTTCAGGTCTCTGCCACGACAATTCTTACTTTGAAATGTTCTGGTCTCTGCCACGTGTAAAAACCTTCCATTCATTAATAAAACATAAAACAAAACCTTACCTTTCCAGCATGACAGAGATGTTAAATCTGTCCACGACATGCATAAGACTTGTCCCTTTTGCATATGCATGTTTCCAGTTGTCATTAAGTCTGCCTAATAAAACCTGCACCTCTGTAAGTCCAATTCGGTACCTAAAGGGGTGGGGGGGGGGGTGTTAAAAAAAACATTTTAAAAAAAATGTCTTTAACGATAGTTCATTATTTTTTTTTAAAATTCCACCCTAGGGAAGTAAAATGTAAATTTGATCTCATTAATTACCCTGATGATAAAATAATATTCTCGATACCGCAAACTCACTTTTCATACAGACGATCCTGAAACATATTTTCAGCACTGTCTTCTGTCAGGGACTCTGAACTTTTGGGCTTTTTCAGGGGAGAAAATACACCTCCTGCCATGGTCTTCTTCACTTCTTCATCCTCCTCTGTTTCATTGGGGGGTGTGGACAGGGGTGTTTCAAATTTATCTGAAATTAAGTAAGAAATAAATGGCAAGGAGATTTGACATCATTCAAGACAGGATGCTTTACCTGGTGATTGCATCTTGTTGTATTTAAAAGTTCCAGAAAAACAAGCTTGGGACTGACTCAGTTTAGACTGTTCGGCCACCTAGCAACCAAATCCTCAGCAGAAAGCCTAGACAAGCAAAAACAACACCGGCACCCCGGGTGGATGGGACTCATTAATCTTGAATGGCAACTCATCTAAGAGAAGGCAAACTATGAAATCAAAACCAGAGATGGAGTTGCGAAGGCGGCATGATACTGACAACAATGAAAATTCCAAAAACTCCTGCAACGTGGAATGCATTAGGAGCACAGTGAAACACACAAAAAACACTCCTGGCCATCCTGGTCTACTGCCAGTCATCTTGACTAAGTCTTGCTATTGGATATAGTAGGCACCGACGAGAGAGTGAGGCTGATGAATTGAGCAGCTTTCCCTCCCCTAAATGAAATACAGCTCAAGTCAAGGATACTACTCAAGTCCCATATTGCCCTGGTCATCTTCGCTTGTTATATTTTCCTTATAAGTGAGATGGGCAGTAAAAATAATTTTGTGGACATAATCTAAATTAAATGGAACATTTTTTAAAATCGTAGTTTTTTTAGAACTGGTAATCCTTATAGTTATTTTCCATGCTAATTTTCAATAAAATTACTTTGTATTTGGTCTTTTTTATGTATTGATTTGGTATCAGTAAGTGACTTAACCTTTTTCTGTAGCTTCATGTACTTCCCAACAGGATTTTATTTAATGTAAATGGATTCTTGAATACAAATCTGATAAAGAATAGAATCATAAATCTAAGAAAGAATGAGATCAATTTTTATCTCCTCTAAGGGTAAAAAACAAATTTAAACCTCTAACTCATGATTGTATTGATGGAGTCAAGTCATGCAAAATTTACTGAAATATAGTTCCAAAAAAAATATACAGCAGGATTTGGCATCCCAATAACATGGACACTGGGCATACCTTCCCCGTCATCCTCCCTGAGCTTGGCCTTCTGTTTGAGCTGATCAGAGATGTCGGACTGTGAGGTCACTGTGTTGACCCGGAAATTTCCCAGGTCAATGACCACCAGCTGTGGGTTCTGGTCTAAGACGCTCTCTGGTATGATCAACTTAGGGGCACTGATGTCAAGGTTGATGTTCCACTTGCTGGCTTTGCCCTGGTAAAAAAAATATGACATTGGTGGGGGAAAAGCTTAATTTTCTGGTCCAATAATGATGTATCAGAAGATCTAGGCACGTCTTGTTTTAAGTTTGAATATATCAGAACATCCGCACACAGGAGTGATAATTTAATCAAGCTTTTACAAAATAAATTTAATTTAAATTATATTCACCGTTTTCCAAAAAATTATTTTTAGCTTTAATTTTGGTGTGATTACTAAACATGTGGTGGTCATTTATCGAATGCTTAAAATATTTGTAGATCTTCTATTTTAGCAATCTTTTGAGGGAGAAGATGAAGAAGCATATAAAAAATAAAGTCTACAAATCAGTGACCTTATTCATGTAAAAACGTGTATAAACTTGGAGCCAACCTCTAATAACTGATCAAGAGTGTTCCTCAATTCCTCTTGTGTCTGTTTTCTCAACTTGTCAAACTGCCAGCTGTACACTGGAGAATGAATTTTTTTTTTTTTAAAGTTGCAGGTAAACAAAATGTTTATTAATTTTATTTACCATGAATTTTATGTAAAGAAAAATTATTTTGTAACCTCGTGAGACAATCATGAGAATATTGATGACCTGATTAGTTTGTATATCTTTTTTTAAAATATAAATTAAATATTGGAACAATTTCTTAAGATGAACATACCAGAACTAGCAGTACGAGAAAGACCAGTGGCTGGAGTGCTGAAGAAGTCCTTGAGTTTCCGCAACAGCTCAGGTGTGTAAATGATATCCAAGGGTTGAGTTTTGATGCTTACACTGTAAAAATACAATTTGTCTAACCTCTTAAGTTAGTTCAAAGTGGTTTATGAAATGAAACAAAAGAATTTTAAAGAATTTTGCACTGTTTTAACCCCATTGCCACAGTGGTAACACTTGCCATGAAGTGGTTTGTGAGGGGATCTTCGTCAACTAGTTGGTCAAAGCCAACCAAACGGCCTAGCAACTTTTAACAAAAAAATAGAGTTGTCTCTTCATTACCTCCAAGTACAGAATAACCATGTTAGCTGATCTGATCAATGTAACCAGGTTAGCTGAGCTGATCAATGTAACCAGCTTAGCTGAGCTGTACAATGTAACCAGGTTAGCTGATCTGATCAATGTAACAAGGTTAGCTGAGCTGATCAATGTAACCAGGTTAGCTGAGCTGATCAATGTAACCAGCTTAGCTGAGCTGATCAATGTAACCAGCTTAGCTGAGCTGATCAATGTAACCAGGTTAGCTGAGCTGATCAATGTAACAAGGTTAGCTGAGCTGATCAATGTAACCAGGTTAGCTGAGCTGATCAATGTAACCAGGTTATCAATCAATCATCGCCTGTCGTCCCGTCTGGGGCATAGGCCACAAACAAAGGCTCTCCAGGCATCCCGGTCTTGGGCAAGTCTCTCCAACTGTCCCCAGTTGTGCCCACTCTTTTTGATGTCTGCCTCCAGTTCCCTTCTCCAAGTTGTTTTGGGTCGACCTCTTTTTCTCTTACCCTGGGGGTTCCAAGTCAGGGCTTGTCTCGTGATACTTGATGCGGGCTTTCTGAGGGTGTGGCCAATCCATCTCCATCTGCGCTGGCAGATTAACTCTTCCACTGGTTCTTGTTGTGTGCGCCGCCAGAGATCCTCGTTGGTGATGACGGTGGGCCAGCGGATTCGTAAAATCGTTCGGAGACATGAGTTGATAAAGGTCTGTAGCTTTTTTGAACCAGCTGCTGTTGTTCGCCATGTTTCTGCCCCATATAGCAAGACAGGTTTCACTGTGGTGTTGAATACCTTGACCTTGGTCTGGAGGGTCAAATTGCTGCAGCTCCAGACCTTTTTTAGCTGGTTAAATGCCGCTCTTGCCTTACCAACTCTCACTCTTATGTCGGCGTCTGTCCCTCCTTGTATGTCAATGATGCTGCCGAGGTATGTAAAGCTATCCACCTCCTCAAGGTTTGTTCCTTCCAGTGCTATAGGTGTGTTGCTTGATGTATTTATTTTAAGGACTTTGCTTTTTCCTCTGTGGATGTTCAGGCCGATGCAAGCAGAGTACTGTGCTACATAATTGGTTTTCTCTTGCATCTGTTGCTGTGTGTGTGATACTAGGGCCAGATCATCCGCAAAATCCAGGTCATCAAGTTGTTTCCATAGTGTCCACTGAATACCATTTCTCTTCTGCTCTGTAGACATTTTCATTATCCAATCAATGGTCAGCAGGAATAGGAAAGGCGAGAGCAGACACCCCTGTCTGACACCGGTCTGTACCTCAAAAGCCGCCGTTGTTTGCTGGCCGTGGACAATTCTGCACGATAGTCCTTCGTAAGAAGCCTTAATTATGTCTGTCAATTTTTGTGGTACCCCGTAGTGTCTAAGCAGCTTCCACAGAGTCTGTCTGTCGACACTGTCAAAAGCCTTCTCATAGTCAATGAAGTTGACGTATAGTGGCGAGTTCCACTCCAGAGATTGTTCCACAATAATTCTCAGTGTGGCAATCTGGTCTGTGCAGGATCTGTCTTTTCTGAACCCTGCTTGTTGGTCCCTAAGATTGATGTCTATTGCCTCCCTCATTCTGTTTAGCAGCATTCTGTTGAATACTTTGCTTGGGATCGACAGCAGGGTTATTCCCCTATAGTTAGAACAAGAACTAAGGTCTCCTTTCTTCGGGAGCTTAACGAGGTGTCCTTCTTTCCATTCAGCCGGTATCTGTTCCTCCTCCCATATTTTCTTGAATAGTGTGTGTAGCATTTCAGTGCTAGACGTAATATCTGCTGTCAAGGCTTCTGTCGGTATTCTGTCAGGACCTGCCGCCTTGCCTTTCTTTAGTTGTTTAATTGCTCTGCATATTTCTTGCTTTGTGGGTGTGCTGCACTCTATTTCTAGATCTTTTTCCGCTGGCTCTATGTTGAGTGTGTGTTGTGGTGCTGGCCGGTTGAGGAGTTCTTCAAAATGTTCTATCCATCTTTTTTTCTGACCCTCTTCATCAGGTATTGATTTCCCATCTTTAGTTTTAACTGGTCTCACTGGATTGTTGAACTTTCCAGATAACTTTTTGATTGTACTGAATAATTCTCTTGTGTTTCCATGGTACGCAGCCTCCTCTGCTTCACTTGCTAATCCTTCTATGTAGTTCTTTTTATCTGTCCTTATACTACGTTTAACTTCTTTATTTGCTTCTGAGTATTCTGTTGATGCTCTGGCCTTTTCGGTTCTGGTGCGGCTATTGTTTAGATTTGCCTTCTTCTTTCTCCTATATTGGATTTTTTCCATGGTTTCAGCCGAAATCCATTCTTTATGCGTTTGTTGCCTAGGGCCCAACACTTCTTCACAGGTAGTCGTGAATATCTCTTTGATTTCTTTCCAGTTTTTGTCAATTGTTTCTTCATTGCCTAGTTCCTGTAAGATCTGGAACTTATTGGAGATGGTAAGTTTAAACTCCTTTAGCTTGGACTCATCTTTCAAGAGGTTGATGTTAAAATGTTGGCGCTTGCTTCCCTCGCTTGTCCAGTTCTTTTTCAGTTTCAGCCTTAATTTGGCAATAATTAGATGATGGTCTGAGGCTACATCTGCCCCTCTTTTTACCCTAACATCTTGGAGCGACCGTCTAAACTTATTGCAAATACAGAAATGGTCAATTTGGTTAGCCGTTGACATATCTGGTGAAATCCATGTGGCCTTGTGGATATTTCTATGCATGAAGAGGCTTCCTCCGATGACTAGTCCAATTGTAGCACATAGATCTGCTAGTCTTTCACCATTTTCATTCATCTCTCCCATACCATGTGTTCCCATGCATTCTTCATAGCCTTTATTGTTGCTGCCTATTTTCGCATTTAGGTCGCCCATGAGTATAACCATATTGCTCTTAGGACACCTTTGGACCAGGGTTCGCAGTCTGTTGTAGAAATCCTCTTTGTCCTCTTCTTTACTATCGTTGGTAGGAGCGTACACCTGTAGGATGTCCATATTGATTTTTCGTTTTTTTGTCTTAAATCTTGCCGTGATTATACGGGAACCATGCGCTTCCCACCCTATAAGTGCGTTCTGGGCAGTTCTGGAAAGCATCCGAGCTTCCTTTTGAAATCTTTCTTTGTGTTTTTGTAGCAGGGCTTTTTTTACAGGGAAGGGTTGCTAGCCCTTCGCCCAACCCTCCTCCTTTCTCACCCGGGCTTGGGACCGGCTACGGCTGATCAATGTAACCAGGTTAGCTGAGCTGATATGACGGTCCACAAATTAAGTTCGTGAGACAAAACCTCACTTAACAGGGGCAAGCCAAAGTAATGTACTAGAAAAAAAGTAGAAATAAGTGGAGGACTGCGTTCAGGTTTTTTAAGCAATAAGGAATATACACAGGGTACAGGAAAACCTGACGAAGGACTGTTACATACCGTTATATGGTTTTGAAAATTTAATCTCTTTGAAAATTTGGCTTGCGCAGTGAACACTACATAACAAAGGACTGAAAACCAGCCTTCGAAGAAAATGATACCAAGGCTACTGATACTAACAAAATTAAAATAAATTATACTATTAAATTTCAATAAAACTATAAATTTAACTAAACAGAAAAAACACACACAAAAAACAATTGAAAAGGTGCAATCCTCAAAAAATACAAATATTAATTTAAACACACAAAAAGAGTACAATATTTCAATTATAAAACATCTTGTATATGTCTAGCTGAGCTGATCAATGTAACAATGTTAGCTGAGCTGATCAATGTAACCAGGTTAGCTGAGCTGATCAATGTAACCAGCTTAGCTAAGCTGCTCAATGTAACCATGTTAGCTGAGCTGATCAATGTAACCAGGTTAGCTGAGCTGATCAACATCCAGAAAAAAAATTCTTGAAATTGAGTCACCTGAAAGCATTCTTCAGAACAAATAGGTCATATTCAAATGTAAACAACCTTTTCCCAATCAAGGGAGGGGTGTTTGAAAGGAATGGCACAGCACAAGATTTACTGTGTGAGGTCAATATCAAAACAAAACAAAGAGGATCCAAGTGGTGGTGGCTAAAATGAGGCCTACACATAAACCATCACAAGGACAATACAAACTATCTGCATGGTCATTCTTCACATTTTTCTCTACCCTATGCATATTTTTTGATGTACAAAAATGCAATCCCTCTTGATGTTTGGTATTGCAAAAGGGATGAAAAAGCAGTTTCCTTTAAAACAATGTGTATAATCCTCAGCTTTTGAGGCCAGGGGTTCTCAAAGGGTAGCAAACTAATGTAAACTTACTTTAATGAAAAGGATAAATACAGATAAAGACATACATAGTTCAGTGAAGGCAATTTGAATAAATTAAACTTTATACCCTCCAATCATAACCTCCCATCAACGGCCCTGAACGAGTCTTCTACACACCTGTACTTGAAGATGGCCGTAGGATTCTTCTCATAACTCAACTTGAAGAACTCCATCCCCTCAGAGTCTCTGGCCAAAAGACTAATGTTCTGTGGGTTTACAAACTGGGAGACCGGATTGAAGGCTGTTCGACACAATGGGTCCTTAGACATCAGAAAAATTGCAAGGATATAAATAGTACAATTATAAAACGATCAGTTCAGCTAAATCTATTTTTACCTTTTTTATGACTTTTTTAAAATTATTGATTTTAGAAATGTGAAACAAGCGATAATGATACACAAGACTTAACAGCAAATGTTAATTATTTTAAACATTGTAAAAAGTAAATGAAAAGCTTTACCTTAACCTGAGGACATATGATATACGTGAAAGTTGGGTTCTTGGCAGTCTGGTCCTGGACATAGAGGCTGCCCACAGCAAGTGAAAACTTCATGGCACTGGTGCGAGGCCGGGACTCAAACTGCATCTCTATAGTAGAACAGTGAAGCTCCACCAAGGAATGGCTTTGGGCTTCAGCTGCAACAAGAAAAGGTAGACCATTTTTAAATCAGTTACAGAATGTATTCTATCTAATCATATTTATAAGAGATGGTAAGAGTTAAAGTGCTGCTTGTTTTTGAGGTATGAACCATTTTCAATAGTATTTATGACCCGACAGTGAAAATTATTAGTTCAATCACTGTCATGCTGAAAGCGCAGTATATGCTGTGCGTAACAGATCATTTAAAAGTAAATTTGAGAGATTTTAGTTATGGTAGGTTTCCATTTTAAAAAGGTTATTAAAAAAACAAAAAAAAAACAAAAAAAAAAACCAAACAACACAAAAAATTGAATAGGAATATATTTTATGAAATAAATTGAAAGACAAATTAACATTGCATATTATTTCAACGCGACCAAAGAAATTTCTTACAAAAAATAAGACTGAGAACTTGATACAGATTTGGGCATAATTATTACTCCTTAATGAGCAAATTGACTATGCCACATTACTCATCGCACAACATACCTTTATCAGAAATATGTTTTTCTTTCAGTTGGAAGGAACCTTTCTTTAGGAGGAAGGCCATCCTGGCAAATACAGTGTCCTTTCTGAGGAATGAGCTATTCTCAGATGAGTCTTTGATAACATCTTGAATCTCTTGTTCTGGAAATTGAAGAGCAATACACTGGTACACAAGTGTTGAGTCATAAATCTTTAGAACAGTTAAAACTTTTCTTTAGAAAAGGTGAGAGTGTTGTGTCTCTAGAATGGCCGAGTCATAAATTTATAGAATAATTTTGCGGAGACTACAGAATTGGCAAGAGTTATATATTTACAGATTAGATTTTATAATAGATAAAATTTATAACTTACTGCCTTAATTTCTGACAAGGGTTTTCAACCTGTCTCAATATGAAGACATATATATCACTACTCATTTTTTTAAAGAGGCTAACAGTTAGAAAAGATGAGACTTGCTCAAACTCAGAATGAGGAGCACAAGAGACAATCAACCACCTCCATCCCAAAACTAACCCTTAGAATTCTGCCTATGGCATGTCATTTTCCCACTAATAGGTCCTCTGAGATATTTTCTTTAATTTACCAATTTCATCCTCTGTCACCACATCATCCTCAGACAAAGGTGTCAATGACGCGCTGGTTTCCTGGGATGAAGATGGGGCAACATCAACTGAGCCCAGATCTGTTGGCGAGGGAGTCATAACTGGCTGCGGGGTGACAGTCGACTGTGTCCAGCCTGACCAGCCTGGGAACCAGTGCTGAAACAAACTGCCACTTTCCTTTGGCTGGGTGGGTGAAGTCTCTGAGGGTGGGGGGCTCTTTTTAGCAGCTAAGTTGTAAACCTGTGTGAAAGGGGAGAGAACAAGATGTGACGTAAGTGCAACCAGCCCTAGTCCCTCATTGCATTGAGACTTGTTAAGTGACAGAATAAGGGAGCAGAATTATCTTTATAAAAAGTCACTGTGACAAAGTTTGTAAGCCAAGGGTTCACCCATGGGAGATGAACACAAGAAAATTGCATACTGAAGCATTCATTATGAGACCAGCATGTCATAATTTCAATTCTGTGTACTGTATTTTAAATCATCAGTTATTTATCTAGACTTAAAATATTTATTTTTTGGTCATAAATTTAATGGGTTCTTTATGCAGAGAAAAAAACTTTTAAAAAAAACAGATACACTTACTACTTGACTGTTTTTCTTTAATTTGAAGAATGTGGCCTCTCTTATTAATTTCAGTTCATCAAACTCCAGCTCTTCTTCAATGCTGGTTTTAGTGGACTAAAAAAAATAAAATAGAATCACTTTTATATAGGTAAAATGTTTGCTTGTCCATAAATGGACTAGTCAATCTGGTATATCATTACTTATTTGTAATGATTATAGGGCAAATGCTATTTAAAAAAAAAACAAGATTTGTATTTTAAACACAGAGGAGTGTGAGTGTTGAAACAAACAAAAAAAACAAAAAAAGAAAGAACAAAATAGGTGGAGGGGGGTTAAAACACACATTTATTTGAAAAGAGTTGCAGTTCATTATTAAGTTGTTTATGAGAATACAGGTTTTAAGAGAACTCATGCAACAGCATGATGGAGTGATTTAACAGTGCAGCTAGAAACTACAACAAGTGTACTGGCTCACCTTCTGCTGCACTGTCAGTGTCTCTCCTCTAAGGTAGGCAGTGTAGATCCTGGCATAGACAGCAACCAGATGAGCCCTGTCCAAAATGAACTTTTTGGTAAGCCTGTCATTTCTGTCTTGTATCCTTGCCAGGTGGACTTCCTGGGTAAAATGCCACCATTTCCGAGGACTGCACAGGGGGAAAAAATGAACAATAATAAAGGCTATACATTCCTACAAGCTTTGATAAAACCAACTTTACTCCTGTGCTATTTATGCATGCAGAAACACCATACTAATAGCGTTGATTAGCAACAAGATTTTTATTAGAAAGAGAAAAAACCCTAGAATCTCAAGCATGGATCTCTTCTTTTTTTTTTTTTTTTTTTTTGTGTGGAAAAATCATTTTCTTGCTAAACATTATACTTTAATACATCAACTGTGCAAAACAAAAAACAAACAAAAAAGTTTCCAAAAAAATTCAGAGTTGAGCTGTGATATTTCTTTTTACATTTATAAATTTTTATTTTATTACAATTAATAAGTTTTAACTTAAATTATACCACTACATGGCTAATGAAATCACTAAAGACTTGAAAGTATCAGATCCTCAGCACAGTAACTTAGTTTTATTTTTAAAAAACCTGATCTACCTCGAGGAAACACTGCAGTTTGGACGTTCCTTTCTAAATTTACGCTGCCTTCCATGTCGAGCAAACTCCCTCTGCCACAGGTTGTAACACTGATACTGCTCAGTAGAAAGGCTGAAAGACATGTCGCCCAGAGTGAGCTCAACAAAAATACGAGGGCTTGTTGCTGATCTAAGGGGCATTGCAGAAGTATTCCTGTTAACCTTCCCTTGAGCTGTGATGGGCTGTAGTATGTATTCATGTTGCTGCAAAGATGAAACATTTCAATTAATTTAAATGACTTGCAAGCAATGAAATGCACTGTAGAAATTGTTTTGTTTATATCCTTGTTCTGTGCATCTCTTAGGTAATCATGACAACAGTGTCTCTGTAGCCATCAAGCTAAGTTTTAAAGCTATTTTATCAAGTACTATGTCACCAGGAATATTTTCTAGCAATGATTGGCATAAACAAAGAATAAATGAAATTTGTAAATATTTCCTATTCATGGGAGTAAAGATAATGATATTCAATGTTAATTTTCAGTTGGGTAAAAAGCACTATTTTGTGTCAGAGTAGTGATATGTGGATCTAAATATAGATAAGGCGGCAATAGTAAAGAAGAAATATTGTAATGGATTTTAAGATGGCAGTTAGAAAGTCTAATTGAATGTTATTATTCTAAAGGAAGTAGCTGTATACTGACTGTACTTCAATCAATCATTATTCTATTATTCATTGATGTGAACTATATTCTAAATCGTGTGATTTGTTGATAAATAAATGATATGTTGATATTGGACTTCTGCTGATACATATAGTGTGAGTGAGACGTAGGTTATCAAGTAAGTAGAGTGTAGCAGCAACGGTCATATTTACATCGATGTCGCGACTGCAACGTTGCCTGACAATTTAAGTTAACTATGGTACAATCAGGTGATTTACCATACTATGTTAAATGAGCAATGCTCACATGATACCTGAGCACACAAGCCAACATACCTGAAATTTCCCTGATGTTGACAAGTACATCTCCCTTTCAAGCACATCCTTTAAACAACAACAACAAAAACAAATCAAAGGATGAATGAAACTTTTTATCAATATTTTAATTTTAAAGACAGAATTATTTCTGATTGAGAAAGCACCGTATAAAATGGCAAATACAGTTTTCATCAATGTGTAAATATCATCTCTCCTTTTCAGTACATGCGACAATTTTAAATGATATGTTTCCTCCACCACCTGTTCAGAAACTTTACAGTGAAGTTAGTTAACCCCAAAGCTTACCGCCAGATCAGACATTGGAAGGTCTCCCACCATTGTTACATTTGTATCACAGTAAATGCCAAAATCTTTGAGATCCACCAGTTTAAACATAACATCTTCCTCATTGTGACTTACAAACTTTGAGGCCTACGGAAAAAAGAGATCACATATATATTTTACTTTGATTGAAAATAATTAACATTTCTATGTATATTAAGTGCAGCTTGTGTAACAGCTTTTGTGTTAATGTGCATAGTTCATGAAATGAACAGCTCTCTTCACGTTTTGTTGTGAACTTTACAAAGCTCTTTTACAGCTTAGTTCATCACAGAAATGTGCTGAACCTAGAAAGAATCAAATCAATCTACATCAAATCCATTTTAGTTTATTTATTCCTTCAATTTTAAAATACAATCTTTTTTCAATTTTTGTGAGTCTGGCAACATGTACTGATTTATGCTTTAAGTAACATGCGGATCTTGTGACTTGATACTTCATAACATCAACATTTCATGAACATGTTGTAAGTGTATGTATAAAATACATATAAATGAACCAATGAAAATTTAAGGTAAAAAAAAACAACCTGGAATTTATTTACTGAAAAACATTTCATTTACTTAAAATTGATTAAGTCAATAATTGTTGAACCACAAGGACGTGAAAAATGTTAACTCACTCTTACTGTGTCTATTATAGCCTTCAAGATATAAGAAGCAATTTTTGTTCTAAGTCTCCGAGGTAGATTTTTTTATTCTTAAGAGCAGAATTTTAACCTACCCAGGTTGCGTCTGTACTTTGTACACTTAAATTTTTTATGATGACACCGCAGGCAAAGGGGCAAGAGGGGTTCATCTTGTCATCTTCGTACCTGATATGTACATCTTTCACTTTAAGCTGTAGATCAAAGAAGAAAATATTACTTCTAACAAACCAACAAAAAACAACACCAAGTAATGAGTTGAAACAACATGGAAAAACAACTCATTTTAACAGAAATAATATATCTGATATAAATGTAATATTTAATGCAAGCACACAATTTCTAAAAATTTTAGTTTTAAAGAGAAGGACTGCACTGGACTTTATGTCTTTTGCAGTATTAGTTTAAGAGGCAGGCTGGTTGGATAACTTTCAGGAGACACAAAAAAAAATAATCTATGACACAAAGCATCCCAAACATTTTTAGGACAGATGATTGCTATACATGTCACAATAAAAAAAAAATCACAAACAAATTTCCAACCACACAAAAAAAAATCTAAACTTTTATAATAAAATGACAGACATTTCAATTACAAACAGGACATCACTGAAAACCTAGAAGTCATAACATGTTTTATTGGTTCAAACAATTAAGTTGGAAAAAAAAAATGCTAAAAAAAGACAGAGTTGGAGTTAGAGCTAATTTTTGTGTTAAGATACATGAAACCACATTAATATGTTTGATTATTCATAATTTAGTGAGTTGCCTCATTCATAATTAAGGTGGGTAGGACATATTTTGATGGTTGGAAGTTCAATTTACCTGAATATTCTCCAAAATGTTTGCTGCCATGGAGGTGCCATATGAAAACCATGAGGCAGACTGGTCCTGCTGACTTCCTTGGTTGATCTGAAATAGAAAAGCTTTCATTAGTTGTAGATTAATTAGACACAAACGATTTGTGTAAATAAAACAATATTTGTTCAGCTTTAATAATGATTATACAGTATGCACAGTAGATGTTTCGGCAAATGCCTTCATTAGTACAAAAAACAAAAAAAATTCATATAAATTTAATTTACATAAAATATATATACATGTATCCTACCTAAAAACAAGATTTGGTACATGACTCCATACAGTATAAACCAAATTCACAAATTTACATAGCTGCAATGTCTTTTTCCTGTTTGGTTTTTCAATTTTAATTCCACCCACTTCATTTATGTTTTTCTGAACTTTGTCTTTGTAAAGGATTTGTGCCCACTCTTATCCTCTCATATTTAGATCAGCAACAAGCCCTCGTATTTTTGTTGAATACACACTGTATAATCATTATGAAAGCTGAACATATATTGTTTTATTTTCACAAATTGTTCAACACTCTTATAATTAGTTCATTAGTTGTCACTTGATAATTTTATAAGCCTAACTCAACCCTGGTGGTAGCTCAACATAGAAAACAGGTCTAACTTATAGTTGTTTCACCCAGTTGCATACTGCATCACCGGTCCAATTGGCCTGTGCTGTCATTTCATTCATAGGATTTTAATTTAAACCCTCAAAGTGATGTTACAACACCAAAATTCAATATTCTTAAAGGAAATACTGGAACAAAATATTTGGAAGTTTGAAATATAAAGACAGGACAATAAAAAGAGACTCTTTTGGCTAAGAGCCATCTTCAGCAGACAGGACAAATGAAAAAACAACAAGAAGTAGAAAACAGTTAAAAAAAACATTTGTGTTTGGAATTCCCCATTAATGTTATTGCTGGAAGTTGGGTTTTCCAAAACCAAAATAGGTTTTCTATTCAAAAGATTACAGGAATTAAAAGAATTTATATATCATTAATGTGAAAAAATAAGATTTTGACAAACAAAAATATTTGGAAAATATGTAAAATCTAAGAAATAAGAAAAGAAATAGAGGTAAATTAAGAATCACTAGTATGAGAGTATTTGATTGATTCCACAAGGTTGATATTGTGCCAAAAATCTGAATGAATTTTTTTTCCCTGATAACTCTCAACAGTGTGACAGTGCAGGAAATCAGTGGCGTGATGGAAACATCTGATGTCCCTTTGTGTTTATCTCCGTTGTAATGTAATGAGACTAGGAAGAGTTCGCCCCGCTTGATATCATGAAAATGTTTAGTGAAATTATTAGATAATCTTCTTCCCATTTCGACTATAAAACAGGAGAGGCACCTACTTAAATATTCTTAAATCAGAGAACTTTAATATAAATAAAGTGTTATGTGATGTTCTCCAAGGACTTAAATGCTTTAAGTGACCACCTGGGTTTTTCTAATGGAGCAGACAGACTTTTTATAAGCATGTTATAATTTATGTCATTGTTTTCCTTTAATGTACATAACCATTTTTAAAAAAATAATTTTTTCACCTTTTAAAGTGGTTTCATTTGTTCAGACTAGAAAATAAGCACCAGTGTAATTTACCTTCCATTTTTCCTCCAAGGCATCAAGCATGGCTTTTTTCTGCTCTTGTTCCTTTTTCATCTCTTCTTCTGCATCACACTGAATAAAATGACAAGGAATTAGAAAATCTAAATCATTTTGATTATGACAGCTATTAAAGGTTAAATATTTTTTATACATAATGAGTATGTCAATCTCTTTTTAATTTTCTCATATTTCATAGCAAGCACACACAAAAAAAAATTATAAAATGAATTTTTATATTCAGAAAATGCGTTTGTCACAAATCAGATTGATTGTGCTAAAACTTAAAAAAAATAATAGAATTCATACATGTAAGATATTGATTGACTTTACACTAATTCAAACATTTTATTTTTTGAAAATGCTTCTTGGAGGAAGAAACAATGCCAGTTATGCAATATTAACAGTTTTTCTTTTATTTAAAAGTAATTAACCCTATAACCTGCTAACCCTTATAGTTTTGATGGGACTACATACCTGTAAATGTGTTAGTGGTCCTGCAACAAGATAAAGCTTTTCAATAGAGATGACCCATGGTTCACTTCTAAGCCTCCTTAATGGAATGTGTAAAGTTATCTTTCCAATAAACCCTGAAATAAACAGTAGCTATTTAGCTGAATCATGAACATGCAATTCTTAGCAATATAAAAATTAATTTATTAACAGTTTACAGTCAAATTTTCATTCAACAAAATAGCTTTGGTAGCTCAAAATAAGGTCTTAATATTTAAACAATTATATTTCCATGAATTATTTGGCAGACAACAAAATGATGTATTAAATATCAATCAAATCTTTTACCTGACTTAACTTCAATTGGTATGTCTAAACTCTTCAGGGCATCTTTCTTTAGTGGCAAATTTTCAAGCTCAACAAAACCTTAAATAGAAATTATAGTCCACATTTTTAAATCACTTGATAATATTTTTTTTATAAATCACTATTATTTCATAGAGTGTGCTGATTTTCAAAGATTTTTGCCCATCAATAGCTGCCATGCCATTCTCGTAGTTATGATCTAGCGCTTTCAAGTCAGCTTCAAACTTTAATTATAACTTCCTTAGGTTTCGTGAATCCAGATAAAAATAATAAAATAATGGTCACGTTTTTATTGATTTATGACATGCAACTGTTACTTTTAAATGAATGAAATAGTGAAACGAGGTATGTGGAAGCTTGAAATAAGGTAACAGGACAAAAAACAAGGACGTTTCGGCATAAAGCCTTCCTCAGCTTGTCCTGTTACCTTATTTCAAGCTTCCACATACCTCGTTTCACTATTTCATTCATTTACATAGCTTGAAAGCAGTCCCTTCATTTATTTATTTGTTACTTTTAACTAGAGTCTATGCAATTTTCAAGAATTATAAAATGCAGTTATCCTAAATAATATTTCAGAACTATCTGGTCATAGAAAATAATAATAATAATAATAATAATAATAAGAGGTCTTATATAGCGCGGTACCCCAGCCTAGGGCTGGGCTCACCGCGCTGTACATAAAAATTTTATCAAAAGAGACATAATCATGACATTAAAATAAAATACATTTATGAAATAAAGAACAGCAATGTATATTGACCCACCCCACCACATAACTTTTACAAGGCAAACCATGGACGGCAGCCAGCAAGATCGTTTATCGTCAGAGGAGGGGAATCAGTCAGGGTAGTATAATTTAAAAAGATATGTTTTGAGTGCAGATTTGAAGGCCTGTGTGGTTGATATATTGCGTATGTTGGCAAAGAATTCCATTGTTTGGGGGCGCAGAAAGAGAAAGATCGTTCACCATATGTTTTAGTGTGTGTCTTGGGAACGGACAGAATACGCGTGTCTACAGAGGAGCAAAGCTGTCGAAGAGGTGAATAGACAGAAAGAAGTTCGGTTAGATAGGAAGGGCAGGAATCCTAGAAAAAATTGTGACAGAGAACAGACAACTTGTAGTCAATGTGTGCCTGTATAGGTAGCCAATGAAGGGAATGAAGTAGTGGAGAGACGTGATCACATTTTTTTGTCTTTAAAACTAGCCTAGCAGCTGAGTTTTGAACTTTCTGCAGTTTTTTCTATGCAGTGTTTTGGTGAACCTGCCTTCAAGTTATGGTCACTGCCAAGATGAAGCACCTACCTATTTCACTATAGATTAAATTTTTAATCAAATGGATACTGCTGCTAAATTAAAACATGATAAAAACTAACCTTGCAAAAGGGCAATTGAGAGTTGAGTTGTGTTTAGATTTTCCACATATTCCCCTACATATGTATTAAGTACCCATGCTGCGAGCCCCTCAAGCATTGTGAATCACTATAGACAGAGTATGGTGTTCTGGAGATGCATCATCTTAAAAGTATAGAGATATTTAAAAAACATAAAATTTAATAAATGTCTTGTAAATATTTTATTTAACCTTGCATCAAGTTATTTAAAAATCAAAATAGAAGACAGGAAAGTAAAATATCCCAAAAAGGCCATAAAACTGTTTTTGGGGTATGAGAAAGAGTTGAAAAAAATTCTTTGGACTGCAAAAATTACTCTCCAGCTCTTGACAGATAAAATAATTTTATTTTGTTAGATAGAATCAGTGTTTATATTAAAAATAAATTTAAATAGACCAAAAAATAATTATTGTAACATAGGGGACCATCCACAAGCAATGTCACACATCTAGATGGGGGTGTGGGGTCACAAATTTCTATGTGTTATGATGATGTCTCAATTTTGTGACAAATTTGTAACAATAGGGGGTTAAAAAAATAGAAAAATAAGGCTGATGTCATTTATGAATGCCCCGGGTCATTTAGATCTATAAAATTTTGTTGATGGACCACAACGGAGCATTTGTAGATTCCTTGTCTGATCTGGTTTATGTTTGATTAAGCCAACCATCCATCCATACAACAATTGAGCCAGGAAGGATATATCTCTCTAATTTTATCCACTCCTGTAAAGTGATCGCATGTCGGTCTTGCACTTTAATGAGAAAACAGCACCCACTCTCGATTTCTATGCCACCCAAAAATCAGTGTACCTTGCTCCACTGTCATATTAACGGATGTAAATAAAAGAAAAAAACTTCATAGCGGAACAACACAATTTTTAATGACCAATGCTAAAATGGTAGATTACCAAAAGTTGAAAAAGGGGCATGCTACTCGGCAATCATTGCAGCAATGACTTCTCACTAGTAGAAAAATTATTTATCCAAGTATCTACCGGCAATGCCTTAAGATTCCAATGGGCTCTTAGTATTAATATAATAACTGATCATTTTAAAAGACTACTATGACATTTTTAAGTCAAGTACTATTACTAATTAATTATATAAGTCGCCTAAGTTGTGATTATTGAATTGTCAAAACTAACACTTACTAACACTCAATTAATACTGAAATTTAAAGAGTAGAGTAGTGATGAGTACTATACTATTAATAAGTAGTATACCGACTCT